AAAAACCTAGCCTCTGTAGGGAATTACAAGCAGCCCGGTCCCTGGTGCCAGACAATGCAGATGGAACATAAGCAATATTGATAAACAGTGATAAGGCCATCAGGGGGTCTAGAAGGGGAGGGAGCGGTTTGTTTAAAAATTCTACAGGTAGTCCTCGACTTACAACTGAGCTGGAAATTTCTGTCGCTAAGAGTGAAACATTTGCTGTGCCCATTTTACCATCTTCCTTGCTGCCACTGTTAAGTGAATCACTGCAGTTGTTAACTTAGTGACACGGTTGTTAAGTGAATCTGGGCTTCCCTGTCAACTTTGCTTGTCAGGTCACAAAAGGGGACCACGGGACCCCGGGACACTGCGACCGTCATAAATACGAGCTGGTTGCTAAGTAACTGAATTATTATTTGATATGGGATTTATTTTATCAATGGATAGATAATAAAACATGGAGATAAATATGAAATACGAAGTGGAAGTTGAGATATTTCTTTATGAAAATAAACTTTGGTCATATATTGATACTTTGAAGATGGGATTGAGCACAAAAGGATGTTAACCGATCGATACACTGTGATTGTTTGGAATGATGTTGTTTTTATGTTTTATTTTTATTTTAAAATAATTTTTTTTTAAAAAAAAAAAACCGAGCTGGTTGCTAAGTAGCTGAATTTTGATCACATGACTGGGGAGACTGCGACGGTTGTAAAGTGGGAGTTGAAGTCCACCCATTTTTAAGTGGCCAAAATTGAGAAAGACTGGCCTAAGGTCCAGACTGGCCTTCAGTTCCTGAAGCCTTGGAACTGGCTCTCCAGGGAGTAAAGAGTTGGGAGAAGAGGAAGGGGGCGAAGACGGTGAAAGGACAACCGAGCGATCCTCACCTGGAACCTCTCGGGCATGTCGGTCACGCGGATCTCGTTGTCCTGGTCGGTCAGGTGGCTGCTCTCGAGCTCGCTGGGCTCATAGATCTCGAAAATGCTGCGTCGGCTGACCCGCTTCTTGGCCGTCTTCTTAGGCCGAACCCGGATCTCCCCTTCCGTCTCCTCGGGCTCGTAGTCATACTCGTCCTCCATCTCCTCATCGTATTCGTTGTACTTTTCGAACTCATCGTAGTCGAAGTCCACGCCGAAGATCTCCTGAGCTTCTTGCAAAGCTCTGTTGGAGGAAGCAGAACCAACATCTTCCCAAGAAGGTCCATAACTGGATGAAGAGCCATGTCCCCAATGGGACCACCACCACCTCAAGAATCACCACCTTCTCAAGAAGATCTGTATCGCATTAAGCTGGCCCCATCCTCAAGAGTCATCTCCCCAATGGAACCACCACCTTCTCAAGAAGGTCCGTAACTGGATGAAGCTGGCCCCATCCTCAAGAGCCACGCCCCCAATGGCCCAGAGGACTTATGGGCACGTCCAGCCACCTCCCATCCCACGAAATGTCTCCCACCTGGGGAGCATTTCAGAGCAGAAACGGATTCTTTCTCAAGAGAGAAGAGGAGGAAGAAGAGGCGACTCACGCGTCTGTGTATCCGGGGAGCTTCTTCCTCCATTTGGGCTTCTTCAGGGGTTGCCCGTCATCATCCACAATGAAGTCATCGATGTCTAAGACAAAACAACAGCAAGAACCCCTGCAAAGCTGCTCTAAGTAGACCCTCGCCCTCCTCCTCAACCCGATGAGCGGGGCCTGCGTTCCCATCAGACCGGGCGTAGAAAATTCTGAAGGGCTAGTGGATGAGTACATCTAGCGCCTTCCTCTACCTCCGCCATTCCCCTTGCAGCTGGACTCTGATACCTCCAAAGTGAAGGGCAGAAAACTCACTGCCTGGCTCTCTTGGGCTGCTTCCCTCCACTGCTGGTGCCCTTTCCACGCTAAATCCCAGGAGGCTCACGGCCACACGTACCAGACTCGTCTTCCTCTTCATCCTCCTCATCGTCAGCTGCGGCCAGGTGCCCATCGGCTCCATCGCCCCCTTCCTCGCCTTCCCCATCCTGGAAGATCTCTTCTGCAATGGCTTCTTTCTCATGCTCCTCCTTCCCATAATCCTCCTCCTTCTCGTCTTCATCATCTGACATTTTCCGTACCCGCCTGAATTTTTGCTGTCAAGAGGCACATCTATTCAATACCCCACAATCTCTTCCCCTTCCCCGTCCCAGGGCCTTCCTGCGAGGCCACCTGCCCATCTGGGGGAGCTTCTCTGCCATCAACCAAGGGACCATCTACTCCAAGCAGCAAACCCCCAAAGGACACCTGAAGGAACAGGTGATTTGGGGAAGAGCTACATATGGATATCCACTAGCAGCACAGGCAGTGGGGCCTGGAGTGAGACAACTCCCCATGGCCCACTGAATAACAGAATAACAGAGTTAGAAGGGACCTTGGAGGACTTCTAGTCCAACCACCAACACCCTGCTCACCACAACCAACTCACTGTGGGGTGACTCGCTGCAGGATTCACTTACTTCCTTTTATTTCTGTTGGCCATGTTTCATCAAAATTGTTCTATCTCTTGTATCAAAGGAAATGCGTCCTCTGGTTATCAGCTTTTGTAAAGCTTTGATGCATAAGGAAATGAACTAATCCTTTCTGCTATGGTGAGTTGTCCCACAACGGGTTGGCTGTGGTGAGTAGGCCATGCCGAGTTGTCCTAGACCCATGGGCCTGGGCTTTATTTTATTCACTCTTTTATTTGTTAAATCTATTGGCTGCCTATCTCATTGTGGGACTAAAGGGCTTACAAGAACAAAAAGGAAGAGAAGAGCAAAGCCCTTAGACTTCTATATCTTTATAGTGTTTTGCAGCCCTCTTTAGGCAGGTTATAATGTCAGCATCTCCCCACCACCACCACCAAACAATCTGGGCCCTCCTTCTGTCGAGTGTAAACAGAAGCAAAATAACTGAACCGTAAAATAAGCAAGGAGAAAGATCCCAAGAAGATGCCCAGGGTTCCAAGGCCCACCTTCCTCCCAGCAGACCGCGGAGACCCCCCAGAGGCTCGCCAGGGACCCCAATAATACTCACGCGTTTCACTTTGACGCCCAGGTTTTCTTCAATGAGGTCAAAGTCATCATCTTCCAGGCGATCATCAAAATCTGTCATGAAAGAGAGGTGTCAGGTCCCCAAAGTTCCCTATTGGGACGCTGCCCTTCTGTTGGGAGGGGAGAGGCTTTTTGGGGGGGAAGGGGGGGAAACTGTCACGGGCTTTCCCTTGCTTCATTGTATGGGTCCATGAGAGGAATAGGGAGGGGAAGGAAGGTGCCTGGGGTCACCCCAGGGAGGAGGAATGGAATGCGCTTGGAGCCATCTGGGCTATCCCGGCCACGGAGAAAGCGAAACCGGAGCAACGTCTGGGAGAATGACAGTTACCACCTTCCCTGCCTGAGGTTCTCAAAACATCTGCACCACTTGGTATTGGCTCAATGTTGGACTGGGCATCGGGAGGGCCTTGGCTTGCAAGGTTTTAATTTAGCGCTTTGAGCAGGAAACCTCAGTTCCCGCCTACACCTCCTTTGCTATCCCTGTCTTTCAATAAAAGTTCCTTTTGAAATGTTCATTGTTTCAAGAGTTCTGTTTCCTGGAGAAGACTGGCGAGGCAGGATCTGACAGTGTCATGCCAGCAGGAGGGAGGAGAGGCAGAACTACAAGGCCTCCTCTCTTTTTTCCTTCCTTCCTCTTTCTTTATTCCTTCTTTTCTTCCCTCCCTCCCTTTTTTCCTTTCTCTTTCCTTTCCTTCTTTTCCTCCCTCCCTTTTCTCTTTCTCTCTCCCTCCCTTCCCTCTTTTTTTCTTTCTTGTTCCTTCCTACCCTCCCTCCCTCCTTTCTTTCAATACACACAGACACATATACATACATACATGTCTTCTAGTATGTCTTCTAGTCCAGCCCCCTGCTCAAGCAGGAGAACCTAAACCATTTCAGGCAAGTGACTGTCCAGTCTCTTCTTAAAAACCTCCAGTGATGGAGCACCCACGATTTCTGGTGGCCAGCTGTTCCACTGGTTAATTGTCCTCACGGTTAGGAAGTTTCTCCTTAGTTCCAGGTTGCGTCTCTCCTTGATTAGTTTCCATCTGATACTTCTTGTCCTGCCCTCTGATGCTTTGGAGAATAGGTTGACCCCCCCTTCTTCTCTCTGAAAGCCCCTCAAATATTGGAAGATGCTATCCTGTTCCCCCTAGTCCTTCTCTTCACTAGATTGGCCAAACCCAAATCCTGCAACTGTTCTTTGTATGTTTTGGCCTCCAGCCACCTGATCATCTTTGTAGTAGCATCCTACCTTTGGGTCAGTAGCATACCTTCCCTGACGGAATGAGTGGGAGAGGCTGATGTAAGGGGGCAGACAGTTCCATGGATATTCTGGCCCTCTGCCAGGTAAAGCTTTCTAGGTAATGACCAATCCTTTCCTAGTCACTGCGTGCCCGTCTCAGACACTTACTGCGTTTTCTTTTCTTCCGGCCAACGTCATCCTCTGAGTCTCCCGAATCGCTGGCCTCTTCCTCCTCCTCCTCTTCCTCATCGTCATCGTCGTTGATGAACCCTTTCAGGTTCCCTTGTTCATCCTGGTCATCCAGGTTCTCCTCTTCTTCCTCCTCTGAAAGGGGCAGCCAAAAATAAAATAAATAAAAACCAAACGGAACGGGAGATTTGGCCTGAAGGAGAGGGACCAAAGGTTAGGCCGGATGTAACACTTGACAGGGGCAGAAGAACTTCTGGGGAACAGAGTCCCACAGAGTCCTTGGCTTTGGGTCACACACTGATTTGTGGAAGAATCAGACAGCAAGCCCTTCTCATTCCGGGGACGGGCAAACCAGATGGGGTCTTGGTTCAGCTAGGAGCAAAGCAGCCACCAAAACGGACGGTAGCTGACTTCAAATCCCAGCAAGGCTGGGAGTTGTGGGGCTCCTGAAAGGCCAACTGACTGATTGTGACCAAATGGGTCCTTGTCACAAAGAAGCAGGGCATCTGCTCTGCCATCTCTGAGGTGATGTTGCTCCTCAAGGCGGGTGCCATGACAGAGAAGGCCTGGGTCAAAGTCTCTCAAGGTGACCGAAAGATGCTCCCCCACCACAACTCTGTTGGCCTGTGTTATGTAGGGCTTTTCGGATGACCAGCTGTGGCCTGAATTGTACTCCAAAGCCACTGGGAGATGGCAATTGGCAGAGAAGAGGTATTATGGAAGGCCTTTGCTCCTGGATGGAGATGATTGATGGGATAAGATCTCACACCTGTGCTGTCTGGCTCTTGGTCTTAGTTCTTACACATTTCTTTTTAATTTTAATTGCTTTTATATTTATCTTTTTCATCGTTTGTAATCCACTCAGGGCTGCCTTATCCAGGCGATGGGCAGCATATAAATTTAGTAAATCAATTTACATAAAGAGCACGGTGGGTCATTTTGGTTGGGACACTAGGTAGAAGGTTTCCAAGCCCATGTTTGAGACCCACCTGCTGCTGTGGGACGGAGTGAGTTCCCATCATTTGCTGCAGTTCCTTGACGGGGATCTAAAGGGAGCCCCACAGGCGTCCCCCAGGCAATGGTGATACCCTTGGTTAATCCTTTCAACCTGGAAGTGCCTTACAAGATCCCTTTGACCCGGAGGGACAGGGGACTCCATTTACTTGGCCATTTTGTGGAACGCCCAAACCTTTGCTGTGCCAGGGCATTCTGGACCAATGGCAGCATTTGAATGCTTTTCAAGGGCAGCCCCAAGCGCAGAACGTTACAGTAATCCAACCACGAAGTGATCAAGACATGAATTACCATGAATACGGCCTACAGGATTAATTTTGTATTGCTTTATTGAATTTATTTGCTGTCCATCCAATGAAACAACTTTTAATTTTCACAGAACAAATTGAGAGACTGAAAGGTGAACACAACATATAAGTGTTGGGAACGCTATCTAAGCTCACCATCTTCGTCTTCCACGAACTTTTTTGGGGGTCTCGAGACCACTTCCCCATCTTCATCATACTCCTCCTCTGATTCTTCCGCTTCGCTTTCCACAAAGTCGGACATGGCTGCGGTTCTCAGCTGCGCTGCCTGGAGGGGGAAGAGGCTGGAATTAAAAAGAGGCCTCCAAAACTGCTTTACGATTGTGGCAGAAAACATTCTGCATTTGTAACTTTTACACATACATTTGCAACTAACGACTAACCCTCGGGTTGCTAACAACCAGATGAGACGGCAAAGATTAACAAAGATGTTCAAAAACATGTCCACTAAATGTTGGAAATGCAATCAGATACCAGGTTCATATTATCACATGTGGTGGACATGCCCAAAGGCAACACTTTTTGCATGAAAATACACATTTGGCTAGAAAAAATGATAAAGCAACATATAGATCTAAAACAAGAAATATTCTTGTTAGGTATAATACCAGAAAATTACAACAAAGGGAATACATATCTAATACTACATGTGTTGACAGCCGTGAGAATTGTATTTGCACAATATTGGAAGAATGAGGATACTCCTACAGAGGAGAAGATAATCTAATATCTTTTTATTAGATTGTGCAGAGATGGATAGATTGACGATAAAAATAAAGGATAAGGAAGAATCAGAATATTTCTCAATATGGGATGTGTTCTATCAGTGGCTAGATAACAAGTAAAAAATAGAAGATAAAAGATTACTACTAGATACAAGTAAATAATGAAATATTATTAAAAAATAAAATAACTCAATGCAATGTTCACTAAGACTTATGTTGATTGAAATAAAATAAAAAAAGAGACAGCAAAGAATATAAATCCTTCCATTCCCCCCAGTTAGTCAGAACTGAAGAAGCTTCTAAGAAGAGAAGCGAAACGTTTTCACAGGGAAAAAGAAACCAAGAAAGTCCAGCTGCTTTTTGGAAAAGCACCTCTGGGACAACCATGGCCTGGAGCACTGAGAATTCCCATGAACATTTTACTCATTTACAAAGCAACCTAGAACGAAGGAAAAATTTCTTGACAGTGAGAACAATTCATCCGTGGAACAACAACTTGCCCCCAGAAGTTGTAAATGCTCCAACACTGGAGGTTTTTAAGAAGAGATTGGATAACTATTTGTCTGAAATGGTATAGGGTTTCCTGCCTAAGCAGGGGGTTGGACTAGACGACCTCCAAGGTCCCTTCCAACTCTGTCATTCTATGTTCTAAATAAGACATGAGGTAGTATTTATTTAGAAGAGACATGAGGTAGTAGCTAATCAGCACTGCACAAGTACACAACAGGAAGGGGCCAGCATGTTCCAGCAGTTCCAAGTCCACTTTTTCCAGAGAACAACAAATATTTTATTATGGTCCAAGACCAGACATGTCCAAATACAACCTGAAAATTCAGAAAAGCCTGATTAGGTAAGTATTATTGTAAAGCTTTATGGCTGGGGTCTAGAATTTAGCAGTGATGTTTTCCAAATGCTCATCTTTTAGGAAAAATTCTAAATTCTATCAGTCAGAACAGCCAGACTTTTCATGAAGGCTGTTGCATTGCAGCTGGTCCTTGACTTGCCACGGTTCGTTTAGTGACATTCAAAGTCACAACGGTACTGAAAAAAAGACGACTTATGACCACAGGATCAAAATTCAGATGCTTGGCAACTGGCATGTACTTATGACAGTTGCAGTGTCCCGGGGTCTTATGCTCCCCTTTTGCGACCTTAGAACTTAGAATAACAGAGTTGGAAGGGACCTTGGAGGTCTTCTAGTCCAACCCCCTGCCCAGGCAGGAAACCCTACACCACTTCAGTCAAATGGTTATCCAACATCTTCTTAAAAATTTCCAGTGTTGGGGCATTCACAACTTCTGCAGGCAAGTTGTTCCACTAATTAATTGTTCTCACTGTCAGGAAATTTCTCCTTAGTTCTAAGTTGCTTCTCTCATTGATCAGTTTCCACCCGTTGCTTCTTGTTCTACCCTCAGGTGCTTTGGAGAATAGTTTGACTCCCTCTTCTTTGTGGCAACCCCTGAGATATTGGAACATTGCTATCATGTCTCCCCTAGTCCTTCTCTTCTTCAAACTAGACATTCCCAGTTCCTGCAACCGTTCATCGTATGTTTTATCCGCCAGTCCCCTAATCCTCTTTGTTGCTCTTCTCTGCACTCTTTCTAGAGTCTCAACATCTTTTTTACATCATGGCGACCAAAACTGAATGCAATATTCCAAGTGTGGCCTTACCAAGGCATTATAAAGTGGTATTAACACTTCACGTGATCTTGATTCTGACAAGCAAAGTCAACGGGGAAGCCAGATTCACTTCACAACCATGTTACTAACTTTAAAATTGCAGTGATTCACTCAACAACGGTGGCAAGAAAGGTTGTAGAATGGGGCAAAACTCACATAACAACCGTCTTGCTTTTGGGGCTTAACTGTGGTCGTAAGTCGAGGACTACCAGCCCTCCTTAATAAAGGCCCATGCTTGTGGTAGATTATTTCAAGAAAGATGTTCCTCCAGTATCCCCCTGAGCCTCTCTTCTGCCTCTTTGTGTCCCAGACCATCTCTGAGAACCGGGGGGCTTTGAGGGACCCATAAGCAGAGCCTATACAGGCTTGATTTGATATAGAACCATCTTCCTCCTCTTGGTCAAGGCAATGGAAGCCTCACCTGAACTGGGCGTCGGGAACAACCTCTCTGTAATCAAGCTGACGGTTGCAGTGTCCTGGGGTCAGGTGATTCCCTTTGGCAACCTTCTGACCAGCAGAGCCAAAGGGGGAAACCAGATTCACTTAGCAACTGGGTTACTAATTTAACAACTCTGGGAATTCACTTAACAAATGTTGTAAAATGGGGGAAAACTCACTTAACAAATTTCTCACTTAGCAACATAAACTTTGGGCTCAACTGTGGTTGTAAGTCGAGGACTACCTGTAAATTCAGGATTCAACTGTGTGTGTTTGGGGGGGGTGTCCTTGGTGCCCCTCTGAACTTGGTGGTTTTTTTGCAGACGTCTCATTACCAAACCAGGCAACGTCACCAATGCAGGTCAGGAGTGGGGTTAAAATGAGAGCAAGCTCCACTTCCTAGTAGTACTGATGATGTTACCTAGTTTGGTAAGGAAACGTCTGCAACAAAACCACCAAGCTCAGAGAGGACCAAGGACTCCACTGCTCTCTCCATCTCAGCCTCCCACCACCATCATCGTCACTACCATCACCCAAGTGGCCACCAAAGGCCAAGGGCCCCTTTTCTTCCTGGGCAGAATGGACCCCTCCTTGCAAGCTTCAATTTTGTTTGTCAGAAGGTTGCAGAAGGGAATCACATGACCCCGGGAACACTGCGACCGTCGTAACTGTGAATCAGTTGTCAAGCATCCAAATGTAACCGCGGGGATGCTGCAACGGTCAAAAGTGTGAAAAATGGTCAGAAGTCACTTTTTTCAATACGGTTGTGTATTTGAATGGTCATTAAGTGAATGGTTGTAAGTCAAGGACTACCTGTAGGCCCTGCAGCTTTCTTGGAAGTGGGTTGTCATTGCCTCCTTCCTGAGGCTGAGAGAGAATGACCGGCTCAAAGTCACCCAGCCGGCTTTCATGCCTAAGGCAAGATTAGAACTCAGCGTCTCTCCGTTTGTAGCCTGATGCCTTAACTACTATGCCAGCCTCTCTCTCTACTACGTGATTACATCAAACTGGCACTCAGCAGGAATTTTGGGGTTTCCTAAACAAGATGGTAATTACAGAGCCCTGAATTCTTCCTTTTATTATTCCAGCAAGGGCCCCTCCCTGCTCTGCCAGCCTTAAAAAAGCATTTCTAAATGATCTCCTCCAAAGCCATTTTGCTCTCTGGGGCAACTCTGAATACCAGAATACAGAAGCCTTTCCCCACTTGCCCCCATCCTGGCCGGAGGATTGTGGGAGTAGAAATTCAAATTTGGCATCTGGCAGGTGCCAAAGCAGAGAAAGCTTTTCCTGAATTACCTCAGCATCTCTAACAATCAGCAAATCAGAACAAATAATGACAACAAATAATAGCAACAATCGGCAAATAACACTATCTGGCATTACAATTGGAGAATTAAGACTAAAAGATTGATTCCCCTAAGGCTATAACTCACAGGAAGGAAAACCTGGGGCTGCAGGTTGGGGAAAGGTCTTCCTGGCCTACAAATCGGCCTCCATGTTATGACAGCTTTGTAGATCCCCCAATATCCAAAAAAAGGACATTAGGGCATATTTTTCTCCTACTTACTATTCTTCAGGGAGGTTGGACTACAATCCCCAGAATCCCAAGTATGCCAGGTCAGGGTTCATAAATACAAGAGACTTCACCCACCATGTTTAAGTGAAACCATTCCTAAACGAAGTACCGGTGTATTATTCTCATCCTATATTGCAGAAAAGAGCCAAGAGGAGAGCTGTGGTCGCAAAGAACCCCAAAATGGAGGCTGATAATGGAGCAGAGGTTGGCAACTAAAATGTGTGGGCTTCAACTCCCAGAATACCCCAGCCTCCATGGGGAAATTATGGGAGATGAAGTCCACAGGTCTTAAAAGTGGCCAAGGTTGAACATCGTGTCTAAGTCAAAGCAGCTCCATTGCATCTTCAGATATCCCACCTGAGCTGAAAGCAGCAAGAATTCATGGCCAGCTCCTGCAGACCCACCAATCAAAACCTTGGCAGGATATACAGGAAGGATGAAAAGCTCAGGAATCCAGGAATGAGATGTCAGAATGGAAGGGAGGGAAGGTTTCTCCTCCCAAGTTTGCCCCCCCCCAATTTGGTTTCTTGCAATATTCTGCATTGTTGCCGAACTCTACGGTACAAGTAGTCCTCGACGTACAACCATAATTGAGCCTAAAATTTCCATCGCTAAGCAAGACAGCTGTTAAATGACATTGGCCACATTTTACGAGCTTTCTTGTCACCGTTGTTAAATGAATCACTGCAGTTATTGAGTTAGTCACATGGTTGTTAAGTGACTCTGGCTTTCCCATTGACTTTGCTTGTGTGAAAGTCACAGAAAGGGGATTCATGAGCCTGGGACACTGCGACCGTCATGAGTCAGATGCCAAAATTTTTATCTTATGCTGCAATGGTCATAAGTGTGAAAAATGGTTATAACTCATTTTTTTTCAGCGCTGTTGTAACTTCAAATGACTAAACGAACTATTGTAAGTCAAGGACTACCTGTAATGCAACCCCAGCAGCAGGATGAGTATGTGTGCACGGCCCTTTTTTCTAGGAAGATCCCTCTTGTATTCCTGATTGCCGGCCACTTTTAATGCATGTGGCCCATCGGTCACAACGATCCCCCCCCACCAGCACCCCAAATCTTCAACTTCTCTGCCTTCCCCCCCTCAGCAGCTTTGGACAACTGCAGGAAAACTGGTTGAGCCAACTGGAAGAAAACACTGGAAATGCAGCAAGAAATCTCATCCACAAACAGCACCCTTTCCTCTTCTTATTCATCTACCGGTAATCCTTGACTTACACAACTGTTCGTTTAGTAACCGTTCGAAGTTAATGGCACTGAAAAAAGCGACTAGGGCTGTTTTTCACACTTACGACCGTTGCAGCATCCCCATGGTTACATGGTCAGAATTCAGATGCTCGGCCACTGACCGGTGCCATGTCCTTCTGGACAAGCAAAGTCAATGGGGAAGCCAGATTCACTTAACAACCGTGTGGCTAACTTAACAACGGTGGGAAGAACTCCATCATCCCTGGATGGTTTTTAAGAAGAAACCGGACCGCCACGTGTCTGCAATGGCACAAGGGTCTCCTGCCTGACGAGGGGGTTGGACTAGGAGACCTCCATGGTCCCTTCCATTATTCTGTCATTCTGCCCCCTTAAGACGGAATGGGGGCCAAATCCGCTGCCCAGAACGCCCCACTTAAGCAACGGAAACGCTGGGCTCCCTGGTGGTCGTAAGTCGAGGACTACCTGTATTTTTAATCGATTGTTTTTCAATTCCTGTGCCCTCCCCCCACTCCCAGCCAATAATTGGGGGCCGCTTATGGTGGCAGCTTGGGCGGGGGTGGGGGTGGCGGGAATTGTCTTGCACTTCCCGTCCCCTCCCCCGACGGCAACACTAGGCCCTCCAACCACCCTCCCTCCCCCTCTTGCCTGGGGCCCGGCAGGGAAGACCGAGGGAAAGAATGGCAGACCGCCGCCCCTTCCCTTCCCTTGTATCTGAAGAGGGGAGGGAGTCGCCCTCATCCTCAAACCGCCGCCCAGCACGAGGGGCCCCGGGGGCCGCTGCTAGGCCCAGCCGAAAGCCCCCCTCAGGCGTGTGGGGGGGGTTAGGCTTACGCAATCGGCGGAGGGCGGAGGCGGCACCGTGGCGATCCCGGCCTCGCCCTCCCCGCCTCCGACTCCTCCCCGGCTGGGTCGCCTCGATCGGGGCCCAAAGGCCTGGGGGGCGCTCCGGGACCCCCTATCCGGAGGCCCCGCCTTCCGCCCGGCGCCGGCCCGCCTCACCTCAGTCGGGGAAAATGGAGGCCCCGCAGCTCCCTCAGTGGCGGCGACGACGACGCTGGGGGGTCGGGGCGACAACCGGAAGCGTCGCGTCGCGACATCCGGGGCGGGGCGACAACGCCCTCGGCAATTAGAGGTACGCTCTGCCCTACCCTCTCTGTGGTTGTGAGGGGAGAACGCTGGGCCGGAAGTTGATGGTGCGGAAGTTCCTTGGGGCGCTCTGCGCGGTGCCGCCTCTATGGCTTCCTGTCAGACTCGACCGGCGGCGGAGGATGAGGCTGGCGGTGGCGGCGGCGGCGGCGCTGCTGCTGGTTCTCGGGCCGGCCGAGGCGGGCGAGGCCGGCGCGGTGACCTGCGGCTCGGTGGTGAAGCTGCTTAACCCGCGTCACGGCGTCCGCCTCCATTCGCACGACGTCCGATACGGATCCGGTACGACCCAGGGTCGTCGGTTAGGGGGGGGGGGGGGGCAGGGGAGGGGAGGGGGCGTGAGAGGATTCTGCGCATGCTCAGGGGCGCTCTCGACCCTTCCGGGAAGGGGGGCCATCCTTGTCTCCATTCCCGGACCCCACAGCCCTTATTTGGGGGGTGGGCTTCTCTCGCCCTCCCCACCTGCTTCACGGGCTATAAGTGTCCACAAGGGCCACGGACTCCTCGCCTTACGAGTTACGACCACAATTGGGATCCGAATTTCCGCTGCTAAGTGAGGCTCACCATGGTCGTTAAGCGAATCACAGTCATTAAGTGAATCACGGGGTCGTTAGGCGGATCCGGCTTCCCCTGTCGGAAGCCAGCTGGGAAGGTCGCAAAGGGTGATCAGGCCACAATGACCGGTTTACAACGTGCTGAGTGCGAGGATGCTGCGATGGTCGTAAGTGAGAGGACCAGTCATGCGTCACTTGGGAGGGCAGTGTACGGTCGGCACATGCTCAGGGGCACTCCCGTCCCTACCAGACCCCCATGAGGCCCGACCGTCTCTCCAGCCGGGCTCCAGACCCCAGACCCTTCCTTTGGGTGGGGTCTCTGCCCCCCCCCCCCGCTTCACAGCCCCACAATCACTTGCTGGCCTCAGTTGCAAGAATCCTTGACTTACAACTGTTCCTTTAGTGACCGCTTGAAGTTACAACGGCACTGAAAAAAGTGACCAAGGACTCCTTTTCACACTGACGACCATTGCGGCATCCCCGTGGTCACGTGATCAAAATTTGGATTCTTGGCAATTGCCTCATATTTAAGACGGTCGCAGGGTCCCAGGAGTCAAATGATTTCCTTTTGTGACTTTTGGACGAAGGGGAAGCCAGATTCACACAACCGTGTTACTAACTTAACAACTAACTGCAGGGATTCATTTGACAACTGGGGCAAGGGAGGTTATGAAACGGGGCAAAACAAATGTCTCACTTAGCAATGTAAATCTGGGGCTCAATTATGGTCGTTAAGTCGAGGACTACCTGTAGTCATCATCATCATCATCACCACCACCACAAGGGCCTGAATTTCCATTGCTAAGCAAGAAGCCGTGTCTCTGATAAAGTTGAAGGCCAGAGAGCTTGAGCACTTAAGCAAAAAGAGGCTATAAAAAAACCCCAGGAGTCTGTTTTTAACACATTAATCACCGTCAATGAAGTGTGCAGGGTGAACAGGCACCCTGTTGAATGAGTTGCCCGGGTCAAAGTCACTTCCATGCTTTCTTCTCCCTTTGACCAGGCAGCGGGCAGCAGTCTGTGACCGGAGTCACGAGTGTGGACGACAGCAACAGCTACTGGCGAGTCCGGGGCAAGTCGTCCGGCGTTTGCGAAAGAGGCACCCCAGTACAATGTGGGCAGACCATCCGCCTGACCCACATCAACACAGGCCGCAACCTTCACAGCCACCATTTCACCTCTCCCCTTTCGGGCAACCAGGTGAGGCAACCAGGTTACCACGAATGGTTAGCAAGCAACGGCCTTCAGCCCTTGTGGAGCCGGCGATTCGTTTTTAAACGCTGAGTCGCTTTGTGGAGTGAGATGGGCATTGTATTAAATGAGTAAATGAATAATAATAAAATTGGGCTTGGATACCCAGGTCAAATGCTTCTAGGAGGCCATGCTTGGGCTCGTAGAAGCAAAGATTCCTGTCTTGGCAAGTGGGAAGCTGCCATTTTAGGGTAAAGACAAAAGACAACCCTTGGTGGCGCAGCGGACTAAACTGCTGTTAAAGTAGCACTTAGCTGCCAGCTGCCTGCAATTACTGCAAGTTCAATTCTCACCAGGCTCAAGGTTGACTCAGCCTTCCATCCTTCTGAGGTAGGTAAAATGAGGACCCGGATTGTGGGGGCAATAAGCTGACTGTATAAATAGAACACCGCTTAGGGGGGGCCCGAAAGCCCTACTAAGCAGGTATATACAAAAGTATGAAGGTTATTGCTTAATGCATTGTAAGCCGCCCTGAGTCTCCGGAGAAGGGCGGCATATAAATTGAACTAATAAATAAATAAATCCCCCACCCCCCCGTCTGCTTGGCTCCTGTCCAGGGCTCTGGGAGGGGTCCTTGCCAACCCAAGCTGAGTGAACCGTGCACCCTGTTGATTTGACGGAAAGGGCTGGCTTCCCCTGTGGAATTTTGCAGTCCAAGATTTCTATTTTGCTTCTCTCATTTCTTCCAACTCAGTAGAAGCAACTCCACTGCTGCTGCAGCAGCAAAGGATCAGGGAGTCTCGCTTACTCCCTTATTTTACTCCCTATATCTGGGGAGGGCTGGGGTGGTCTTCTGCTTCTGGAGTGTACTTCATAGAATCCTAGGGCTTAAGGAACCTCAGAGGTCTCCTAGTCCACCCCGCTCCTCAGGGCAGGAATCCTCATATCACCCTGGACAAATGGCTGCCCATTCTTTTCTTGAAAACCTCAATTTCCAGAATTAAGCTATTCCAACTGATTAAAAGTTCTCAGGAAATTTCTCCTTAGTTCCAGGTTGGATTTCCCTCTGATGAATTTCCCATTGCCTCTCTCTCTGTCTCTTTCTCTCTCCCTCTTCCCTCCCTCCCGTGCCCCAAGAACTGAAAAAGTTCCTTGGATGAGAAGTGAAATATTTTCAAGGGGGAAAAAAAGCAAGAAAGTCCAGTTGCCTTTTGGGAAAAGCACCTTTGGGTTCCTTCCTCCCTCCCTCCCACCCTTCTCTCTCTCTCATCTTCCTTTCCTTCCTTCCTTCCTTCCTTCTGGAATTACAGGGATATTGAAGATCATGTAGTCCAACCAAGGCAGGGGTCCTCATACCATCCCAGAGAAATTGTCGTCCAGTCTCTTCTTGAAAGCCTTCAGTGATGGAGGGAAGCCCTTCCACAGGTTGACTGTTCTCAGATCAGGAAGTTCCTCTTTAGTTCCAGGATCTCCTTCTGACCACCTTCTACCCATGGCTTCTTGTCCTGCCCTCGGGTGCTTTGGATGATGTTCCTTGTTACACGCGTGTTCCTTCACTGCTTGTATTCACACACACACACCCTTGCTGTATGGCTTCCTGTCCCGAGGGTGGGTTCTCTGTGGTCCCCTTGATGCCACCCACCCACCCCCGTCTCTTTGCATAGTGTTTGAAAGAGGTGCTCTCTGTTCCAGGAGGTCAGCGCGTTTGGGGAGGATGGTGAGGGGGACTTCCTGGACGACTGGACCGTCCTGTGCAACGACAAGTATTGGGAGAGGAAGAGTGAGGTGCGGTTCAAGCACGCGTCCACCGAGGTGCTTCTTTCAGTCACCGGGGAGCAGTACGGCCGGCCCATCCACGGGCAGAGGGAAGTTCACGGCCTGACTTACTCCGGCCAGGACAGCTTCTGGAAAACCATGGAAGGGATCTTCGTGAAGCCCGTGGAATGGCTCAAGGCCGACCTCTACCACACGGAACTATGACCTCAAAGGGACGTCCTGCTATGCCCACCGCTTGAGCCCATCAAGTCGGTAGTTTTCCAGGCTGCGGTTTGGAGACCGAGACGTGGATGGGGCAGGCACTGCTCGGCTGCTGAGACGGGCTCTTTCCCACCACGTGTAAAGGACAATGGCGTTTCTGCTCTCGGTCTTGGCCCGTTGCTGCCTGTTCAAGCCTGGGGAGGGGGTGTCTGGGAATCCACCCTAAATAAACATTGGATATCCAAACAGCTGTTGCAGGTAGTCGGGTGTTCCTTCTGCGAATTCTCACACTACTTCGAAGTTACGGCTGAAAAAATGACTTATGACCGTCTTTCATACTTATGACCATTGCAGCATCTCTTTAGCCATGTGATCAAAAATTCAGATTTTTGACGACTCATATTTATGACGGTCACAGTGTCCCGGGGGAGGGGGGCGGTCACGTGATCCCCTTTTGCGACCTTCCAACAAGGAAAGTTAATGGGGAAGTCAGATTCACTTAACAGCCGTGTTACTAACTTAACAGCTGCAGTGATTCACTTAACAACTGTGGCAAGAAAGATTATAAAACGGGGCAAAGCTCACTTAAAAACTGTATCGCTTAGCGACAGAATTTTTGGGCTCAATTGTGCTGGTAAGGTGAGGACTACCTGTACCACCTGCCCACCCCAGGTCCCTGGGAAGGATAGCTGGGCAAAATTGCCAAATGGGGACTAAACCTGTGGCTGATTGGGCGACCAACCACCTCAACAATAGTTGATTGGAAAAGGGGCTGCAGGAGATGGGCAGCAAATACATTTCATAATAAAGAAATACAAAAGAAATACAGGCCGACGCCTGATTTTTGGCCCCACAGGATCACGTGGCTCTTCTTTCTCAACCTTTGGGCCCTTGAATGTGCGTGGACTTCAACTCCCAGAATCCTCCAGCCAGCCACGTGACACCCCCGAAGGCCCTCCCTTGACAAACGCCGTCCTACCGGTAGCAGGAGGCTCCTTTTGCGCGCAGTCCAAGCAAGAGAACTCGCTTTCCCAGCACGCTCTAGGCGAGTTTTCGCCGCGCATGCGTAGTACGGATCCCCATGCAACCCTTCCTGGAAGGCGAGGAGCGTCAACCCAGCGCCCGCCGGAAGCTTTGCAGGCGAAAAAATAAATACCCTCCCCTCCTCCACTGAATTCCCCCAAAATATGGGACCCCGCCCCCGGCGAGGCTGCCCCCCGTCCCCGCGGTGCTAGGCTGTAGGGGCGGGGCCTCCTCTCTCCGCCCCTCCTTTGCGCCCGCCTATGGCTGCGCCGCACAGCTGCGGGCTCTGGCTCCGCCTCCTCCGCGCGCGCTCCCGCTGGCCCCGCCCCAGGCGCCGCCGGTGACGGGCGGTTGGAGCGCCCCCCCCTGCCCCCCCCCCCCCCATGGCGGTCCCCGTGCTGGGCGCCCTCCTGCTGGTGCTGCTGGTGCTGCTGGGCGGCCTCTGCCTGGGCAGGTAGGCTGGGGGGGGGTCCCTCCTGCCCCCCCACCCCCACCTCTCCCCTTGCTTGCCCCCCCCACTGCCCCCAAGGGACCCCCTGCCCCCCCCATTCCCTCCTCCCTGGGGTTGGGGGCCAGAGTCTTTCCCCCCCTCCGCCCTTCCTGCTACCTGTCCCACCTGTGGGTCCACTTCCCCCACCTGTCTCTGTCTACCCCCCCCCACTGCCCCTATTGCACGAGCTGGGGGGGCGGTGGGGGGGATGGTGCCTCTGAGGAGGTGCAGAGAGTCTTCTTGCAGCCTGGGTTTTGAGGAGGGTGGGGGCAGGGCAGGCGGCAGGTGGTTGGCACCTGAGGCTTCCCTGGAAGGAGGGGGGCTCACTTGGGAGGGGGGGAGGGGAGATGTACCACCCGGTTGGTGCTGATCAGGCCCACTTCTGTGCTTAGACACAGCCCTTTTGGCCACTTGAAGGCTTGTGGACTTCAACGCCCAGAATTCTCCAGCCAGTATAGGTAAGACCAGGAAGTATAGCTGGCTGGGGGATTCTGGGAGTTGTAGTCCACAAGCCTTCAAGTGGCCAAAGGTGGAGACCCCTGTGGCTTTGAGTTCTGCTGTGGGTTGATCTACAGCTGTCCCTGCAGTGTCCAGGCTACTCTTGTTTACAGTTAGTCCTCGACGTACGACCACAATTGAGCCCATCATTTCCGTTGCTAAGTGAGACATTTGTTAAGTGATTTCGGCCCATTTTATGACCTTTCTTGCCGTAGTGGTTAAGCAAATCACTGTGTTCTGACCTAGGCTTCCTGAGTCAGTAAAACACATGAGTAGTCCAAAAACCTCTTTTATTGCAACAGTTGTGAATTCTGTTCATTCACAGATGAGTCCCAAATAGTTGTAAAGAGTCCTTTGGGATAAAGCTGATAATCACCCACCTTTATCTCCCTTGACACGCTGCCAAAGACCTAATTTATTTATTTATTGGTTTGATTTATATGCCGCCCTTTTCTGGAGACTCAGGGCGGCTTACAATGCGTTAAGCAATAGCCTTCATACTTTTCTATATACCTGCTTAGTAGGGCTTTCGGCCCACCCCAAGCGGTGTTCTTTTTTTATACAAAGTCAGCTTATTGCCCCCACAAACCTGGTCCTCATTTTACCTACCTCAAAAGGATGGAAGGCTGAGTCAACCTTGAGCCTGGTGAGGTTTGAACTTGCAGTAATTGCAGGCAGCTGGTGTTACTTAACAGTGCTTTAGTCTGCTGCGCCACCAAGGCTCTTAATTGGCAAAGCCACACGGAGTTCAGAATCAAACAGAGCTTCAGACTTTAAACTGAACAGAATTAACAACGTTGCTTCCTGCAAAGGCCCATGTTCCTCCCCAACCTCCTCACTGTCCGACTCTGCTGCCAGCTCCGCAGGCCGCCGGCAGCAGCTGGACAACACACTGCAGTTGTTAAGTGAGTCACACAGTTGTTAAGTGAATCCGGCTTTCCCCCCAGGGACATTTCAACGGTCATAAATACGAGTCAGTTTCCAAGTATCTGAATTTTGATCACATGACCCTGATGATGCCACAACGGTTGTAAGTGTGGAACATGGTCATAAGTCACTTTTTTCAGTGCCGTTGCAACTTCAAACCATCACTAAATGAACTGTTGTAAGTTGATTATACTGAATTAAGAAAATAAAGGGCACGTTAATGGGAAAAAATTCAACAGTACATCTACATTAATGAGGTTTTAATTGTCACCTTACATTTTTGTAAGGAGACATTGGTTATTTCTTACAAAGGTTAAAAAATGCCCAATTTTGTCTCATAAAAAGATAGCAATAGCACTTAGACTTATATACCGCTTCACGGTGCCCTCCCTAGGCGAATTGCCCCCAACAATCTGGGTCCTCATTTTACCGACCTCGGAAGGACGGAAGGCTGAGCCAAAACATGGGGCCGTCAGGACTTGAACTGCCAAACTGCTGGCCGTCAGAATTAGCTGCAGTCCTTCAGTCTAACTAACTGCGCCACCCTGGCTCTTCAGATAAAGTGACTGTGGGCATTGGGGTACTTGCACTGACCCCTTTGTGTGGGGTGTTCCCAGCCTTTCCCTTTCCCCTAAGGGAGAACGTGGGCCGGAGCCTTTTAAGAATGCTGAGGGACCCAGTGAGGTTCATACAGGTGTAGCTCTGCAGGTGAAATCCAGGATTGTATCACTGGACTTTGGGGACTAACCCCTCCCCCCAGCCCAATTGGCAGGTTTAATGCAAGGCCTCTTCCGTGTCTTGTTCCTTTTCTTTTGCCAGTTTAATGAAAAGAAGGACTAGAGCAGTGTTTCTCAACCTTGGAAGCTTGAAGATGGGTGGACTTCAACTCCCAGAATCCCCCAGCCAGCGCTGCTGGCTGGAGGATTCTGGGAGTTGAAGTCCACCCATCTTCAAGCTTCCAAGTTGAGAAACACTGGACTAGAGGTTGACATGATAGCAGTCTTCCCATATTTCAGGGGCTGCCACAACATGGCATATACACAAACGGCATAAGGTTTCCTGCTTGAGTAGGGGGTTGGACTAGGATCCTTCCAAATCTGTTATTCCATTAAAGAAGAGGGTGTCAACTATTCTCCAAAGCACCTGGAAGCAGGGCAAGAAATAACAGATGGAACCTTAAGAAAGAGACCCAACCTAGAATTAAGGAAAAAATTCCCGACAGTGAGAACTATCAACCAGTGGAACTGCTTGCCTCCAGAAGTTGTGGGGGCTCCATCACTGGAGGCTTCTAAGAAAAGATTAGAGAGCCATTTCTCTGGGATAATCTAGGGGCTCCTGCGTGAGCAGCTGGCTGGACTAGAAGACCTCCAAGGTCCCTTCCAACTCTGTTATTCTATTTACTTCTAAATAAGCAGGGCCCTTAACTCTGCAAGTCAGTGTTGGGTGTAGCGGGAGAAACAGAAAAGTAAATGGAGGGTGGTGGGAGTGGCATCCTTCGGCGGGTGGGTGGTAAGCAGGAGGAGAGGGCCCAAGAAGGAAAGACACGTCACAGAGGGCAGGACTAGATGACCTCTGGTGGCATCTCCACCTCCACAACTCTGCCAGAATGAGGCGAGAACTTGAGACACAGAAGCCCAAGTGTGTTGCCTTGTGTCATTCTTTTATTCTGTTGTTGTGGGTGCTTCATCACTGGAGGTTTTCAAGAAGAGACTGGGCAGCCATTTGGAATGGAATGGAATGGGGTCTCCTGCTGGAGCAGACCTCAAAAGTCCCTTCCAACCCTGTTATTCTGCCAGGGATCCAGGGAAGGAGATGGGTAGCAGGTGTTTATGTTTATGTTTATGTTTTATTAAATTTGTATACCGCCCTACTCCCGAAGGACTCAGGGCGGTGAACAGGCACAGAATAAAATACAGAAATACAAAAGTTAGAAACAATTTAAAACCAAATTAAATAATTTAGCCCAAGACAATTAAAAATCCCAATAATTTAAAACAAATTAAAATTTCAGTTTAAAAATTTAAAAGAAAGGGGAGAAAATTAGGCCAGGCCGGCTTGCTGGAATAGGAGGGTCTTAAGAGCACGGCGGAAAGTGCGCAGATCCGGGATCCTCCGTATCTCCGGGGGGAGCTCGTTCCAGATAGTGGGTGCCCCCACAGAGAAGGCCCTCCCCCTAGGGGCCGCCAGTCGACACTGCTTGGCTGACGGCACCCGGAGGAGCCCCTCTCTATGGGAGCGTACTGGCCGGTGGGAGGCTATTGGTGGTAGTAGGCGGTCCCGTAAATAACCAGGTCCTAAGCCATGGAGCCCTCTAAAGGTGGTAACCAAAACCTTGAAGCGCACCCGGAAGACCACCGGGAGCCAGTGCAGCTCGCGCAGGAGAGGTGTCACACGGGAGCGCCATGTTGCTCCCATCACCACCCGCGCGGCCGCACTCTGCGCCAGTTGGAGCCTCCGAGTGCACCTCAAGGGGAGCCCCATGTAGAGAGCATTGCAATAGGTGCATCTGGCCATTCAGTTAAATGATTCCTTGGGCTTCTTGTCCTCCCTCAAGGTGGCTCCTGTACATACTGATTACCAACTGGTGCCGGCGGCGACTCCAAGCAGAGTTGAAGATCCAGTCCTTCTGGGTTTTCGGGATCCAAAACCTCAGCTTGAAGTTTCAAGAGGAGCAGCAGACGGTGGTGAGTAGGGACCCTCTTGTGGTCTCCTGAAGAACGAGCAGCTGTTCACCTCTGGGCAGGTCCCTGCGAGGACACCCTAATTGCTATTATTTATCTATTTATTATCTGTTACTTGTACGTGCCAACCCATCTCACTCTTGAAGCAACTGCATTGTTATGGCAGGGACCATTTGGGGGAGCTGGAGGGTGGGCTGGGTGTCGTTTGTTCTGCAGACAGGCCACTCGGCTCCTGCTGCATCTGCGGCACAGAGAGGACCCCCGTTTGAGTAGGGTAAAGAGATACCCAGGGGCTCTGCGCGGACGGCCTCTGTAGACCTCCCATGAACAAAGATGTTGAGACTCTGGAAAGAATGTAGAGAAGAGACACAAAGATGAATGGGGGACTGGAGGCTAAAGCATTTGAAAAACAGTTGCAGGAATTGGGAATGTCTACTTTAATGACAAGATGGACCAGGGGAGGTAGGAGAGGATCTTCCAATACTTGAGTGTTAGTACCGCTTTACACTGCCTTGGTAAGACCACACTTGGAATATTTCATCCAGTTTTGGCCACCACGATACAAAAAAGATGTTGAGACTCTGGAAAGTGTGCAAAGAAGAGTAACTATGATGATTAAAGGCCTGGAGACTAAAATAGATGAAGAACGGTTGCTGGAATTGGGTCTGGCTAGTTTTTTTTTTAAATTTTGATTTATATGCCGCCCTTCTCCGGAGACTCAGGGCGGCTTACAATGCGTTAAGCAACAGCCTTCATTCTTTTGTATATTTTATACAAAGTCAGCTTATTGCCCCCACAAACTGGGTCCTCATTTCACCTACCTTAGAAAGGATGGAAGGCTGAGTCGACCTTGAGCCCGGTGAGATTTGAACTTGCAGTAATTGCAGGCAGCTGGTCTTAATAACAGGGTGCTTTAGACGACTGTACTACCAAGGCTCTTAGTTTAATGAAGAGAAGGACTAGGGGTGACTCCAGGGGCTGCCCCAAAGAAGAGGGGGTCAAATTATTCTCCAAAGCACCAGACGGCAGGATAAGAAGCAACGGGTGGAAACTGGTCAAGGAGGGAAGCAACCTAGAAATAGTGAGAAATTTCCTGACAGTGAGAACTTCCCTCCAGAAATTGTGAGTGCTCCATCATTGGAAGTTCTTAGGAAGAGACTGGACGACCATTTGTCTGGAACGGTACTATAAGGTTAGGAGCGTCCAACCTTTGGAACTTTTAAGACTTGTGTCTATGGAGATTTTCAGTCATCTAGGTCATGATTGTCCCAAAGGATGCCTTTCTTAGATGAGAAGAGAGACGTCTTCAAAAAACTAAACAAAAAAAAAAAAACCACCCAGTTGCCTCTTGAAAAAGCCCCTTTAGACTTCAACTCCCAGAATTCCCCAACCAGCCTAATCTTTAATGTTTTGTAGTCCAACCCGCTGCTTGAGCAGGAGACCCCCTTGACCAGGGCTGTCCAACTTTGGAACTTTAAGACCCGGTCTAGAGTTTCCTGCTCAAGCAGGGGGTTGGACTAGAAGACCTCCAAGGTCCCTTCCCACTCTGTTATTTTGTCATTTCAGGAGATCGACAGCATCTGGATCTCCAGCAGGCTCCTGAACCATGATGTGCCGTAAGTCTCCAGGGGTTTTTGGGTGTGTGTGTGGATTTTTAATCCTTTATGAGCAGCATGGCTCATTCCCCCCCCCCCAGCCTCTCACTGCAGACCCTCTTGGGGAGAAGTCCCAGCTCAGGAGGTGGACCCTGGTGTGCCTTGTGGGGAGGGCCCACCTGGCTCATATCTTCAGACTGACAGCCAGAAATGTCCCTCTCAACTGAATACTGTAAAGAAATGATACATTGGCAAGTGGGAAGTTTTGCACTTCTGGGCTGAAGACTTCTGTGCCCAGCAGGGTGCCTTCCAGGTGTGCTAAAACTCCCAGAGTTCCCAGCCAGCTTTGCCCCATTCTTGGGACGTCAGATTGGGCGCGAGGCTTCCTGTCCCAGTAGCAGGAGAAAGGGGGGAAGGGGGCTCCTGCAGCCACTTAGAGTCCCTTCGGGGCCACGGCAATGCCCGAACAGCTCCACCTCCCTCCTGCTGCCATGGGCTGCACTTCCTGTTGGTGACAACTTGTGCTTTTGTAGAGCAACGTCACGCGGCACGATGGTTCTGTGTGCTGTGGGGGCTCCGTCACGGGGGGCTTTCAAGAAAAGGTTGCACAACCATTCATCCGGGGTGGAATGAGGACTCCTGCTTGAGCAGGGCATTGGACCAGAAGACCACCTGTAAAAAAGGAAGAAAGAAAAAAAGGAGAGGGAAAGGAAGGAAGGAGAGGATGGGAGGGAAGGAAGAAAGGAATAGAGAGAGAGGGGAGGAAGGGAGAAAGGGAGGGAGGGAGGGAGGAAGGAAGGAAGGAAGGAACTTTGTTCCTGGAATTGTGGGTGCTTTGGATGGGATTGGACTAGATGACCTCTGAGGTCCCTTCCAGCCCTAAGATTCTATGCCTGTGAGATCCCCCATCTCTGACTCTCAGGGTGGGAAGCAGGCTGCCCCTCCGAGCCCCACCCCAGCTGCCTCTCGGTTGCCTTCCTCTGCAGGCGCTACCTGGCCCTGTGCTTTGGAGAGGTGCGCATCCGGGTGGATCTGCAGAAGTCCCCTCACCTGCAGCCCTCTGACCCCTTGCCCCCCGACCCTGCTGACGGGGCCCAAGAAGAGGCGCTGTCCCTGGGCCCCTCACTGCTGCAGCTGCTCAGCCAGGTAAGATGAGGCTGGCTCCCTTGGGGATCGGCTCCCCCCTTGGCCAGCAGTGCTCACCAGCTCCTCTCTCCCCCTCCCCAGCTCTGCTCCTTCCACGTGGACTCGGTCAACGTGATGGTGCTGCACGTGGCCGCCTCGGAGTCCCTGTGGCACGTCCAGGTGTCCAGGTCTCAGGTCTTGCTGGGCTGTGACGGCAGGAGGTGAGTCTGGTGGCTCGGATCGTCCCCTCGGAGCTTTCTCAGGCCTCTCTGGGGGCGAATACGGCAGGGGGGGTGGCACGGAGGGCACCTTCAGGCACGCCAGGGGTGCCCGGCTGAAGTCCTGGGGAGGTGCCCCCTGGTCCCTCCCCAGGAGCCGAGCTCTCCCCATGCAGGGCCACTTCCTGCTCAGCCCTTGAGGGTGGCCGGACGTTTGGGGCCGTCTGAGGGAAGGCCAGGCTGCTGCCTCTCTGACCTGCTCTCCCCTCCTCCCAGCGTGGCCTGCGAGCTGACCTGTGGCCAGGTGAACAGCAAAGTGCTGAAGAGCAGCCAGCAGGTAAGGCCGGGAGGGAGGGGCAGTCGAGAACCCCAAGTCCATCCACCTTTTGACTCCTCCTTCCCACCCTGGGCAACCCTCCTTGCAAAGACGCCAGCTGATGCCCTCACAGCCGGAGCAGGGTGTGCCAAATTATGTGGCCCAGGTTAAAATATTTTCTTTATTTGTTTGTCTATGCTGCCCCCCCCTCCTCTAAAAGGTGACTTTGGACAGGTAAACTAGGCAGCAAACAACATCCAGGAAATTCTTGGGCTGACAACGGGGGGGGGGGGAGAGCCCTCCCTCCCTCCACCTACCTTTTAATGAGTATTCAACTTTAACTATCCTTGCCTCTATTTTAAATTTTCTGTTTCGTTTTTGTCTTTAACCTTTGATTTGTACACTGTCAAGGGTCCCTTTTGTGAGGGAGAAGAGTGGTTTTTAATGTGACTGGTAGGTAGGTAGGTAAGTGGGTGGATGGATGAGAGAGAGAGAGAGAGAGAGAGAGAGAGAGAGAGAGAGAGAGAGAGAATTGATAGATGAGGTGTAGATGTGAGAACAATAAGCCAGTGGAACAAGGTGCCTCCAGAAGTTGTGGTTTCTTCCTCACTGGAGGCTTTTAAGAAGAGTGGACAGTTACTTGTCTGAAATGGAATAGGGCAGGCTCTCCTGCTTGTGCAGGGGGTTGGACTAGAAGACCTCCGAGGCCCCTTCCAACTCTGTGATTCTGTTATTCAGTTAGATGACAGATGTAGATTGATAGATTATGGATAGGCTGGATAGATGGATGTGGATACCGTATTTTTCGGAGTATAAGACCTATCTTTTTTGGTGGTTGTTTTTTTTTAGTTTTTTTTTTATTTTTTAGACACACATACAAACATACAATGTATTTTCTTTGAACAGAGTATTTGGCTGGTTCACAAATTTAAACAGTGTTTAGTCATTTCAATTAAATTTACAATTTCTATATTTCCTTTTTGCCATATTTATTCCTCATCTATTTTTTTAAAAAAACCAATATTACCCTTCATCCTCATCTCTAATCTTAAGAAAATTCAATTTTTCCCTTCTATTCTATATTATACCCCTTCCCATTGTCATCTATTTTTATATCTATCCTCACATTGGTTAATTATGTAATATTAGTTGTTTAATACAAATTCAACATTTTAATATAAATCAATTAGTTATATAACTACCTTTTTTGTATATTAATATGAACATGAATATTCCAATTATTTCAATGCAATCCAATTTCTTACAAATCAATTAATTATATTTACCAATAATAATAAACCAAATAATTTCCCCCATATATTCCTCCAAACCACAACTTAACCATTTCTGCTTTCAACACCATATACAATTAATAGTATCTCAGTTATTACAATTCCCTAGTTAAATAGAGCTTTCCCCTTATGTTACTCATTTTCACATCTTAAACTCTCCCAATAACCCAGTTTTGCCCATATAGAAAAATATTCCAATTATTATTCATTTCATTTTTACAATCATGATTTCCCATTTATTTCTTATTACTATTCATATTTCAATTCTAAATATGTATAACATCTTTCTCTTTCATTTCTTTTTCTTTTTCTCCCTTCCCATTTTTATTTTTGCCTTTTTTCTTTTGTGTTTTAAAATCTTGAACTCTCCTCTTTTGCCCTAACTTTCCCTTTGTTTGCACCTACCTTTTTTGGTGAGGAAAAAGAAAAAGAAATCTCCTCTGCCTCATTTTGCCATGTTGCAACAAAGAGCCTGCTTTACTTTCAGTTTCGTTTTTCAGCATAGCTAGGGGAAAAAAATCTGCTCCAGCACCACCCCTGCGCAAAACAGCTGAGAACAAATCAGCTGAGAGTCGGGAGGCTGATCTAATCAACTTGTGCTAATTAACCTATGCTGAATCTGAAAGGAGCTGTTTTTTCTTGCTGTTTGCTTGCAAGGAGGTAACTGCTGTGAGGCACAGACCAAAGGGTGGGGGCCAGTGGGTGGACAGGGCTACATTCGGTGTATAAGATGCACCTAAATTTTCACCCCCTTTTGGGGGGGGTAAAAAGGTGCGTCTTATACTCCGAAAAATACGGTAGATAGATAATAGAGACAGACAGATAGAGAATAATGGATAGATGGATGGGTAGTTGATAGAGATGACTGGATAGATGATGGATGGATGACAGATAAATATTATAGTTAGAGATGGCTAGATGGAGGGGGGTCTTCCCTGGAGGATTTTGGCCCAAGGGCCGGACCCCAAACTGAGCAGGAGGCAGGAGAAGCTCTGGCCAACTGTGGAGCAGAGCAAGAGGGCTTTGCTGAGGTTGGTTGCAGGCCCACGTGACCCCCAAAGGTAAAACAACAGGGGTCCCCCCCCATTTTCCCTGCCCCTCTGCAACTGTCTGTGCACCTGGGAAATTTCAGCTGGGGGGCCGTGTGCGTTCTGTGGGACTGCAAGGACCTTTCCGTACACACTGCTTCCCTCTCCGCCCCCCCCGCCCCGTTTCTCTCCCCAGGACGATGCCTGCCTGGCCGAGCTCTCCCTGGCCCTCTCCGTCTCGCTGGACGTCAGCCTGGGCAAGCAGCAGCTGCAGAGCGTGGCCCTGGGGGTCTGGAGCCTCCATGCCGAGCTGCACGAGGGGCTCTTCCACAGCGAGCTTCTGCAGCGCATGGGCGGCAGTCCCCGGAAGGGGGCAGGTGAGGGCCCGAGGGGGGGGTGCGGCAGCCGAGGGGCAGCGGGCAACTGACCTGGCCCAAGCACGGTGTCCCTTTCCTGCCAGCCCGCTCTGGTCCCCTGAGGCAGGGGAGTCGGTGCCCTCGGCTTCTGTGGTGCCCAATGGGGGTGTCAGGTGGGCAGGCAGTTCAGGGAGCTGCTTTGCCCCAAAGATCTGGATCAATCGGCTGCTGTTTGGGTTTTAATCGCTGATCGTCTGCTGACCCATTAGGCCAGCTCCCTTTGGGTATCCTTTGCCAATGCCCAGGGGGGGCTTGGGGGCTTCACTGGGCCTCCCCTTTCCTGACCTCCCCACCCCCCCCCCCAGATTCCCCGAAGGCTCTGGCGCTGGGTCCGCCCCCCCTGGGCCTGGCCGGCCTGAAGTACGTCCCCTCTCGGCTGAAGGTGGACCTGGAGACCACCAGCCTGGTCCTCTCCATGAACAGCCAGAAGAGGTAAGGGGGCTGAGGAGGGGTCCGCTCTGCAGGCCTGGCCTTTGCCCTTCCCCCCACTCCCGTGCCTGCAAGGGGGGGCAGGCACCCCAGTTAGCCTTGGCCTGCAGCCGAGAGCAAGCAAGCGGGATGGGGGGGAGACTACCAAAACCCCGAAGGACTTTGTGTGGGGGGCTCATCCCCTCCCACACCTGGAGGGCACCGGGTTGGGGAAGGCTGGCAGAAGAGGCCGGACTCAGTTGGAGGCAGCTTCCGTCTCGCCCCCTCCCTCCCCCCCCCCTCCAGGCACCTCACCTGGACCCTGAAGCGGCTGCATTTCGCCCACCAGTGTGATGAGGAGCAAATCCCGCTCCGGAGCTTCACCCCCACCTGCGACCTGCCCCAGATGAGCATCGAGCTGGTGCTGGAAGGCAAGTCGGGGGTCCCGTCCCTCCCCCCACCCCACCCCCCCGGTCTCCCCTGCCCCTGAGAGCCCCACTCCCGGTACAAGTCTCCCCCCAAAGAAGCCCGTCTAGGTCGCCCAGGTGAAGGGGCGCAGGGAGCCGTAGGCAGAATGGCTGTGGGGGGGGGGAGACCCCCACCGGGTGCCACGTTCCCTTCAAGGGAGAGCCTGTGGCTGCCGCTTCCGTGGTTGATTCTCTGCCCCCCTGGAAATTGGTCAGTGTAGGGGTTGGTGGGGGGGTGTTTTTAATTCACAAGTGCATGAAACGGCCCCTCCTGCGAGCTAAATGGGCCTCACGGGCAGTCCTCGACTTATGACCACAACAGATGTTTGTTAAGTGAGTTTTGCCCTGATCTTTCTTGCCACGGTTGTTAAGTGAATCTGGCTTCCCCATGGATTTTGCTGGTGAGAAGGTCGCAAAAGGGGATCGCCTGATCCCCTGGACCCCCATGACCGTCATAACTATGAGTCGGTTGCTGAGAGTTCGAATTTGGATCACGTGAGCATGGAGACGCTGCAGTGGTCGTTAAGTGTGAAAAACGGTCCTGGGTCACTTTATTCAGGACCAGTGGGTAACAGTCACTAAATGAACTGTTGTAAGTCGAGGACTACCTGTGTGACTCCATTGCCGAGCATCCAGATTTTGATCACATGACAATGGGGAGGCTACAATGGTCATAAGTGTGAAAAACGGCCACAAGTCACTCTTTTTAGTGCTGTTGTAACTTTGAACGGTCATTAAACGAAAGGACTGCCTATAGTCCTGGGGGGGGTCCCCGGGTGGAAGGCAGTGGTGGGCAGGAGCCCCTGTGATTCATGGGGGGGGGAGCCCCTCAAATCCCCCCTGATCCTGCCCTGAGTTCTGCTGGGAAGGGGAGGCTGGGAAAGGGCACCCTCAGGTGATCCCGAGGAAGGGGAGGAGCCAGCTTCACCCGCCATCTTCCTGCCTCCCCAGACGGGCTGCTGCTGTCGCAAAGCCGCCAACGCATCGTGTGCCTCAACCTGTTGAAGGCCAGCCTGCAGGTGAGCCCCTGTGGGGTCCCTGGGGTCGCCCCCCTCCCCTCTCTGACCCCAGCTGCCCCTCCCTCTGAGCGCCTCTCCCCCCCCCCCCGCAGGTCATGGCCATCGACATCTCCGTGGCCGTCATGGTCAATACCTGCATCGTCCACTACCGGCACCAGGAGTTCTCCCACTGGGTGGGCATGCTGGCCTCGGCTGAGCAGACCTCCGGATGGGCCCTCTCGGCCAGGGGCCCCGGCGGCAGGTGAGTGCGCGCCCCCTGCGGTCGTTGTCACGGGGGACGGGGAGGGGCTGAGGTTGGCACAAGCCCAGGCAGTCCTCGACTTATGGCTGCAATGGAGAGAGAGACGTTTGTTCAATGAGTTTTGCCCCAACTGATGACCTTCTTTGCCACCGTTGTTAAGTGAATCGCTGCAGTGGCTAAGGCAGTAACCCGGTTGCTAAGCGAATCTGGCTTCCCCCATGGACTTCGCTGGTCAGAAGGTTGCAAAATGGGGATCACGTCACCCCCCCCCACGACACTGCGTCCGTCATAAATACGAGTCAGTTGCCAAGCGTGGGGAGCCTGCAACAGTCGTAAGTGTGAAAAACGGTCCTTTTTTCAGGGCTATGGTCACTAAAGGACTTGTTGTAAGTCGAGGACTAACAGCTTTGCAGTGCCTCCTGAAGGGATGGCAGGCGAGAGGCTTGGCACTCGGCCACACTCGTCCCCTCTGGGCAGCAACCCTGGAACCCTTTACAGGCGGGTCCTCACCTTGGCAATGTTTCGTTTAGTGACCGTTCGAAATCACAGCGGTCCTGAGAAAAGTGACCTATGGCCATTTTTCACACTTACGACCGTTGCAAAATCCCCACGGTCACGTGATCAAAATTCAGACGCTCGGCAACTGACTCACTTTTACGACGGTCGCACTGTCCCGGATCCCCCTTTGCGACCTTCTGGCAAGCCGAGTCAGTGGGAAAACCAGGTTCACTTAACAACCGTGTGACTAATTTAACGACTGCAGGGATTTGTGTAACAACTGCGGCAGGAAAGGTTGTAAAATGGGGCAAAACTCACTTTAACAACTGTCTGGCTTAACAACAATAATTTGGGGTTTTGATTGTGGTCGTAAGTCGAGGACTGCCAGTTAAGTTTTTTTTTCTTTTGATCAGTTTTCAAACTCAAACCTTTTGTGAGAAAGGAGGGAATCCGGTGACTGAGAGACCCGTCCTCCATTTCTGGCAGGAACCAGCCGGGCAGCAGCTCTGCCTTCCCTTCTGCTGGAAACCGGCTGAACTGGCCAGGGGGGCTCCCAGGGGGCCAAAGCCGGTCTGGGCAGCAGGGGTTTTGCTCTTGCCCTTGCCAAAGGAGGGATGAAACAAAACGTGAAGGAGGAAAAGTAAAATATATTTTTAAAATTATTTTAAATTGTTGAATTGTTGACTTGGCCTGTGGCTCATTCATTGATGTCCGTAGTTGAAGCTATGAGAAAGTGTGTGGTGGGGAGTGGGGTGGGGTTGATCAAGAAAAATGAAATTCGCACCCAATTCCCTCAGGAGGCACGGCCCTTTTCCGCCTGAGGGAATTGGGTGCGAATTTCATTTTTCTTGATCAACCCCCCTTAAACCACTCGCCCTAAACCACCGACCAGTGCAGAGTGAGCCAACCCATCAAATCAACAATTCAATCACTTAAAATAATTTAAAAATATATTTTCATTTTTCTCATTCACATTTCGGTCCCTCTGTACATGAATCCCAAAGGCCTGGGGATGCCCTAAAGCAGGGGTCTCCCCCCAGCTGGCTGGGGAATTCTGGGAGTTGAAGTCCGCCAGGCTTAAAGTTGCCAAGGTTGGAGACCCCCTTGCCCTAAACCACACGGCCCCCAACCTTGGCCCACCTGAAGACTTGTGGACTGGGAGTTAAAAGCGGCCATTGATGGAGAGAGACCTGGCTGAGGAATTCTGGGAGTTGAAGTCCATAAATCTTAAAAGTGGCTAAGGTTGGAGACCCCGACTTCAGAGTCAGGGGCTCCCCCTTGCCAGGATTCAGTTTGACCCCTCTGGCCATTTGCAGCCTGCGGATGCTGGGTCAAGGCCTCAGCGGGGGTGGGGGGTGGTTTGATGCTTTCTGCCTTGCTAGACGTGATAGATGCCTACCAAGAAGATTTCCATGCCTTCGTCACAATTTGGAGCCTCTTGAGCCACTACAACAAGCCAGGATCCCCTTTAGGGCAAAAGAGCTCCCCCCACTTACTGGGATGTCGACATTTAACACTGTTTCCTGATGTCAACACCCCCCCCGCCCCATCCCATCCCATCCTGGTTTCCCCCTCAGGATGCCTCAGATCCTGGCCACCATCATCCTCAGCGCTTCGGTGTCCAACGTCAACCTCTCCGTACAGCTGGGAGACACCCCTCCGTTCGCCCTGGGCTTCAACTCCATCTCCGTGGGTGAGTGGCCGGAGCCGACCTCCGTGTCTGTCCGGGTGGCTTTCTGATCTCCCCCTGATCACCCCAAGCTTTCCAAGGGCCACGATCCAAGACATGCACCCTTCCCATGGGAGCACAGCTCTCTTGGGCGCCCCGAGTCCTCTTCCCTTCCTTCTCTCCCCCCAACCCTCCAATGGTCACTCTGCCTCACGGCCAGCCAGACCTGCCCGGATTCTGCAGAGGCCAAGGGGGGGAAGGCCTTGCTCCCTCCTCTCTACCCCTCCCACCCTGGGAGCTCCAGGCTGCAGCCTTCCTTTTCCCCAGAAGGCCTTGGAGACCCACGGAGGTCACTGAAGCATTCTGGGAAACAGAGTTGCAGCTGTTTTCCCCGTTCCCCGTTTAATTAATTCATTATACCCTGCCGTTCTCACTATCTTGAATGACTTTGGGTGGTTTATAGTATCAACCATTAATATAAAACCATGAAAAGTATTCAAATACAGATTAACAATAGTTAAATATTAAATATTACTCAAATATTATTAAACATTATTTTCTTTCTGAAATTAAATCAGAGGTGTCCAAACTTTTATGACATGTGGACTTCAACTCCCAGAATTCTTCAGCCCTGGCTGGAGAATTCTGGGAGTTGAAGTCCACATATCATAAAAGTGGCCAAGTTTGGAGAACCTTGATTTAAAATAAATCATGGTTTGTTAAAGAACCCCCCCCCCCCTGCAACTGACTTTCCATGATAGAAATCAGGAGTTCCTTTTCACCTAGCATAAGTAGTCCTCAATTTACATCCACATTCGGGACCAGAACATCTGTCATTAAGTGAGGCAGTTGTTAAGTGAGGCCCTCCCAATTTTACGGTCTCTTTTGCTGTGTTCATTAAGCAAACCACTTAATGGTTGTTAAGTGAATTACAGGGTTGTTAAGCGAGTCTTGCTTCCCCGATTGACTTCCTTTGTTGGAAGCAAGCTAGATTTTATTTAAAAGTTTTCATGACCTGCAGACTCCTGATTTTTTTCATTGAGAGTGGAGGTGGGGAAAGGATGGGCCTATTAGGGCTTGTGGACTTCAACTCCCAGAATTCCTGAGCCAGAATTCTGGGAGTTGAAGTCCACAAGCCCTAAAAGGCCCATCCTTTCCCCACCTCCGCTGCACAGCAACTCTGAGCTCGCAAGTTCTGCAGTGACGCACCATGTCCGTTTTCCCCTTCATAATTGGGGTGGGGGAATCAAGACCCCCACAACCAGGGGTGAAATCCAGCAGGTTCTGACAGGTTCTGGAGAACCGGTAGCGGAAATTTTGAGCAGTTTGGAGAACCGGCAAATGCCACCTCTGGCTGGCCCCAGAGTGGGGAGGAACTGGAGATTTTGCAGTATCCTTTCCCCAGGAGTGGGGAGGGAATGGGGATTTTGCAGTATCCTTTCCCCAGGAGTGGGGAGGGAATGGGGATTTTGCAGTATCCTTCCCCTGCCACGCCCACCAAGCCAAGCCACGCCCACAGAACCGGTAGTAAACAGAATTGGATTTCACCACTGCCCCCACCCATGCCAAAAGCAAGCAACAAGGAGAAGAGCCCCCTTGTGGCGAGATGGGGAGGGGCAAACAAATCTAATAGATAAATAGAAAATAACAATAGTAAAAACGTCCATGGCCTTCCTCCTCCGGCTTAGATTACCAGCACTTGCGTCCTCAGAGCGTCCACCAGCGGGCCGTGCTGGCCGTCGACCACTTCTGCTGGCGGGTGGGGGCGGACTCGCACATCCAGCGGGCCCCCCACCCCCCGAACATGCATGTCTGGGGAGAAGCTTTCATCCTGGACTCCTTCAACCTTCAGGTGCACCGCGGGGCAAGCGCCAGGCTGGGTTACCCCAGTGCTGCTCAACCTTTTCCGGCTTTGCGGGGTGGCGAGGGGGGAGAGGAAATGGTTCCGGGTGAGCAGCAGGCCCTCGTGGGCGGGCACTGCTCCATTGGCATGAGCAGCGGGCATGAAGCTCCCTTGGCACGAGTACCCACCACTCGCTCAAGCGGAGCTTGCTTGCACGGCCCCGGTTCCGAACGGGACGCGGCCCGATACTGGTCCACTGCCCGGGGATTGGAGATCCTGGGTTATCTGGTCTGGGAGATTGATGGGAGGGAAGGTCTGCATGCGGGGGGGGGGGGCGAGACCCCGGCTGCCCTCCCACTGCCCCTCGGCCCACCCCAGGGCCCCTCCGGACGTTGCCCCTCTACTCGTTCCGCAGGGCAGCTACAACCAGCCGCTGGGGACGTCCAGCACCCACGCGGACACCCTGTTCCTGGATTGCACCCTGCGCGGGCTGCAGCTGGAGTCCTCGGACGCCTGCGCCGACTGCCTCTCCCGGCTGCTGCTGCTCTTGCGCCCTCAGGACCCTGGGCCCCAGGAACCCCTGGGGGAGCTGCCCCCCGCCCTGGGGGAGGAATTCGGGGTGCTTTGGAAGGTGGACCTGAAGGTGGAGGACGTCAACCTCTTTACGCTGTCGAGCTTGGCAGGTGAGCCTTGGGGGTGGGGGGGTCTTTTGTGCCTTGGGAACCAGCAGAGAGGAGACCCCCTTGCTTGGGGGTGGGGCCTGAGAGACGGACTGGCTCTTCTTGGCTCCAGCTTTCAACCCCTGAACCCAAAAATGATTTTGGGGACACTTAAGAGTGTTTATTTATCTCATTTAGGGCCGTTCTGTCTCCCCACCTCACAGAGACGCTCTCTCCCTCCCGGCCATTTTGATTTGGCTCTGGATTTGCACTTCGATGGCCAGATTTATTTTATTTGCATATTGGTTTTAGATAAAGTATTTTCATATTTCATTTATTTTATTCAACAAATGAAGCATTAAATTTGTTCGTTTAGTGAGCTTCAAAGTTACAACGGCACAAAAAATAAAGTGACTTAGGACCAGTTTTTCAGAGGACCATGGCCGCATTCCCCAGGGTCACCCGATCAAAAGTCAGACGGGCAGCAAGGGACTCACAGTTATGACGGTCGCAGTGTCCAGGGATCACGTGACCCCCTTTTGTGACCCTCCTGACCAGCAAAGTCCACGGGGAAGTTTTAGCAGCGGTGTGACTCACTTAACACTTAACACTTAAAATTTTGGCCTCCTTTGTGGTCATAAGTCGAGGACTGCCTGTACAGGATTAAAAACCATGCAAAGAGGGCTCGCCAAATGCACTGACTTTACGACTTCCCAGAATTCCCCAGCCAGCAGAGTCAAAAGTCCAGAAGTCGTGAAGTGGCTGCATGAAAACTTTGGGCGTTGACAGGGAAGACATTAAAATTAACATGAAAGGGGATCAAATGCATTGACGGGCGCAGAATCCGCCCTGGTTCCATCAGCCGCCCCCAAATTGGGTTGCTCCCATCTGGCCCCAGGACAGATTTGCAGGCCCCTTGGGAAGCAGACGAGAGAGAGCGGCCGACCCTCACCCCGAGGGGCCTGGTACCCCAAAGGAATACTCTGCTGCCAGTGGCCCTGGGGCGGGGGGCCTCTCCAAGCAGCCAAATGGCTCCCTTTGGGTCCCCCTGAGTTAGTGGCCGTTTCCACTCGCGACGGTCGGCCGCCTGGAGCAGCCCTTCCCATTTGGGGTCTTCCTGCCTTCAGCTTCCATCAGGGAAAAGGGACTCCCTGCTGCAGGGACACGGGTTCAAGGAATGGGATGGATGGGCTTTGTGGCTCTTTGGGCCAGGAGGTGGAGAGTTGTGCCCTGGCCTCACTGAAGGTCTGTCTCTCTGTCTCTCCCCCCGCCCCATCACTTTTTCTCCCTCCCCCTCTCTCTTTCTCCCCACCTCTCTCTCTTCCCCTCTCTTTCTTTCCCCCTCTCTCTTTCTCCCTCTCTCTCTCTCTCCCTCCCTCTCATCCAGGGGCCACAGAGCTTCGGGTGGACACCTTGACCACGTTGGGCAGTGCCGAGAGCTGCACCATCAGCATCCAGGGGGTGGCACTGTCCCTGGTCAAGAGCCTGGCGGAGAAGATGCAGCCCTGTTGCAAAGCCCCCGCCATCCCCAGCCCCGTGGCTGGCCTGGCCGCCCTCTGCCTCACCTACCGCAGCAGCATCCGCTCTCTGGAGGTGCCCCTCCTACCTTGCCAGTCGCCTCCCCCTGCCCCAAGCGCTTCGCAAGGGATCCTGGGCTCTGGGCTCAGGGAGGGGGGCTTTGTGGGTGCCAGGTCCAAGGCAACGTTGCCCCCTCCCAGGACGCTCAGTTCCAGCCTTGCTTGGCATCATGGCTTCCTATCCCCCCCTCTCCCCTTTTTTGTGTCTTAGCATGGGGGGGGCGAGGGAGGCTCGGCAAGCAGCCTTGTTTGGGGGGGGCTCATCGCCCAACGTGTCCTTCCCCAGGTGCAATGCGGAGACAACCTGACGCTGCTCTGGAGCCCAGCCACCCACATGTACCTGTTCGAGCACCTGCTGGCCACCCGGCGCTGCTTCGAGACGCTGCAAAGCTTGCTGTCGCCCCAAAAACCCACCTCCGCGGCCCTTCCCCCGCAGGGCCCCGAAGGCCGGCTCCCTGCCCAGGATGGGGCTCCCTTCCCAGAGGGCCCGGCACCCAGGAGGCTGCTGGGGCTGACCTTGGAGTTCAGCTCTCTGAAGGTGACCGCCTTCGTGTCGGAGAGCCGCTACTTGAGCCTGGCGGCTGAGCGGCTTTTACTCAACCGCCACGGCGCATCCCTCCATTCCTACTGCCCCGGACTGGTGGCCGGCTTTGACGGCAACAGCATCCTGGTCTTGAAGGAGGTGGAGCTGCAGGCCCTGCCGGAGCTGGAGGAGATGATCTTGCACCGTGGCCCCTTCCCCACCCTCTGCACTTTGCGCAACCGAGTCTGGGCCCTCTCTTGCGCCACCGCGGCGGTGGAGTTCCCCTACCAGTATGACTTCTCGGCTACGTTGGACGAGGCGCTGGGCGTGCAGAAGTGGCTGAGGGGACTCCACGGGCGGAAGGCCGCTGGCGGGACTCCATCCCATCCCTTGCCGCCCGACCTGCTGCTCAAGGTCCAGCACTTCTCCTGGGTCTTCCTGGACGACGTCTTCGAGGTGAAGCTCCGCGACAACTACGAGCTGATGAAGGACGAGAGCAAGGAGAGCGCCAAGCGGCTGCACCTGCTGGACGCCAAGGTGGCCGCCCTGCGCAAGCAGCACGGGGAGCTGCTGCCCGCCCGGAAGATCGAGGAGCTCTACGCCTCCCTGGAGAAGAAGAACATCGAGATCTACCTGCAGCGCTCCCACCGGCTCTACGCCAACACGCCCATGCGCAAAGCGCTGATCACGTGGACCATGTGCAGCTTGGAGCTGGTGGCGCTGGCGGACGAGGCCTTCTCTGGGGCCGAGCGGGTGCTGCAGCAGATCCGAGACATGGATGCCGCCAGCCCCTTCCCCCCCGAGGGCCTGGAGCTCCTCACCCACTGGTGCCGCATGGTCAAGGGCAGCGTCAAGACCTTCTTCGGTGAGTGCGCGGCTGGGCTCCTCGGCGTAGTGGGCCCCGTCTGTCAACCTCTGCCTTCACGTTTTGAGGGACGGGGCAGTTCAGGGTTCTGTTTGTTGCTCGGTCGCTAAATTGTGTCTGAATCTTTGTGACCCGATGCAATACAGGTAGTCCTTGACTTACAGCAGTTCATTTAGTGACCGTTCCGAGTTACAACGGCACTGGAAAAAAGTGACTCGCACCCGTTTTTCACACTTACGACAATTGAAGCATCCCCACGATCACGTGATCAAAACTCAGACGCTTGGCAACTGACTCACACTTACGACTGTTGCAAGGGTCACATGATCCCCTTTTGTGACCTGACAAGCAAAGTCAATGGGGAAGCCAGATTCACTTAACAACCGTTTTGCTAATTTAAACAACAGTGATTTGTTTAACAACTGTCTCACTTAGCAGTGGAGATTTTGGGCTCAATTATGGCGTAAGTCTAGGACTGCCTGTAGATCACACCAGCCCCTCCCTCCCCCCTTCCCCCTCCTCTCCCATCTCCCAGAGTCTGCCTAAATTCACATTTGTTGCATCGATGGCCCTCTCTAACCATCTGATCCCCTGCCCTCCTCTTCTGCTTTTGCCTTCCCTCTTTCCCAACCTCGGGGCCTTCTCCAAGGAGCCCCCCCCCCCTTCTCAGTTGGTGGCCAAAGCATTTGAGCTTCAGCTTCAGGATCTGTCCTTCCAAAGGACAGTCAGGGTTGGTTTCCTTTGGGATCAACTGATTGGATCTCTTTGTGGTTCAAGGGACGCTCAAGCGTTTTCTCCAACAAATGTTCCGTTTAGCGGAACGCAGTGGTGTATTTGTGGTGCCCCAGATACTGTGGGAAGTGTGGAAGGCAGGCCCCTGCCCCACAGAGCATGGGGCCTGAGGTTTGCTGAAGGAAGGGGGATGCAAGAGCTAACTGGAGGACATCCAAACGTGCCTGGGGACTATGGATTGTGAAAATGGGCCATGGGTGCCCCCGTGGATACAGTGAGGCTCTTCTGGCTACGGGGCCACCGTGGTAGGTATCGGCACCTTGGTGTCGTCCAAGCTTGTCTCTAAACCTGGCCACTTTAAGACGGGTGGGCTTCAACTCCCAGAACGGCCCAGCCCACTGGAAGACTTAGGGACTTCAACTCCCAGGGTTCCCTAGGCAGCTCATTCTGCTGTGCTGGCTGGGGAATTCTGGGAGTGGAAGTCCACAAGTCTTGAAGTCGCCAGGGTTGGGAACCTTTTGTCTCATTAAATTCATCCTTGCCGAGTGTGGTATGAGATGCATCAAAACATCCGAAGGCCTCTTTCCATCAGGATCTGGGGACTTGATCCCTCTTTGATTTGAGGTGACGTTGATATTGAAGTCATCAATATGGGGGGGGGGATATTGAAGGTCCTCGACTTACGACTTGCCCATTATGGTTGCAAGTCATGATGGTTGTTAACGGAGGTGCCCCACATGATCACCTCGCTTAACATCCCGATCCCTGCTCTCCGTGTTGTGTTAACTCCCTTCTAGCGCTGATGATGTTACCTAGTTGGGTCATGAAATGCCCTCTACATGGGGCTGCCCTTGGGGTGCACCCGGAGGCTCCAGCTGGTCCAGAATGTGGCCGCGCGGGTTGTTACGGGAGCTTCCCGTTACTCCCGTGCAACACCTCTCCTGCGCGAGCTGCACTGGCTGCCAGTGGGCCTCCGGATCTGCTTCAAGGTGCTGGTGCTCACCTATAAAGCCCTTCATGGCATGGGCCCGGGGTACTTGCAGGAGCACCTGCTACCGGCCTCCCACCGCCCAGTGCGCTCACATAGGGCGGCCCTCCTCGGGGTGCCGTCGGCCAGGCAATGTCGGCTGATGGCGCCCAGGATGAGGGCGTTCTCGGTGGGCGCACCGACCCTCTGGAATGCCTTACCCACCGGGCTCCGCACAGCCCCCGATCTCCGCTCCTTCCGTAGGGACCTGAAGACGTGGCTCTTTAAACAAATCACCTGATCCGCTGGGAGTTTTTTAGTTTTTAGTTTTGCTAAGGGTTTTAATTGGAGTATTTTAATTAACTAAAATTAATTTACTATTTTATTGTGTGATGCTTTTTATTTTCGTGAGCCGCCCCGAGTCCTTCGGGAGAAGGGCGGCATATAAATTTGATTAAATAATAAATAAATAATAATAATGAAACGTCTGCTGCTCAGAAAGCACCAAGGACCCCACAGCTCAGCCCTGAGCTGCAGATATTAAGTAAGATATTAAATAAGGTCTCTACTTAAGAGCATTTTGAAGAGAAAAGAGGTGAAGGAGCCTGCCCCCCCCCCCCCCAACTGTCCCGCCTCTCCCCTTCTCAACGTGGCTTCTTTCCTTTCCTCTGCCCCCCCTCCCCCCCAGTGCGGATCCGGGACTACCCCCGTTATTTATTTGAGATCCGGGACTGGAGACTGTCAGGCCGGCTGGCCGGTGCGGAGACCCCTGGGCAGCCCTGCTCTCGCCGGCGTCAAAAGCTGGAGCTGGGGGCCCCCTGGGGCCCGGTGACCGTGGAGAGAAACATGCCACCCTTGAAGTTCTACCACGACTTCTGCTGTAAGTCCCTCTGGGGGGGCTGTCCAGAATTGTGGGTTGGGGCTAGGATGGGACTCTGACCCCTTTGGGGGAGGGAGGAGAAAGGTCCCCCTTGTCCCCCTCTTCTGATGCCCCTAATCCCCCTCCCCTCCTTTGCCCCCCAGCTGAGGTCTACCAGTTCACCATTGTGTGGGGGCCCTGCTGGGACCCCGCCTGGACCCTGATCGGACAGGCCATCGACCTGCTGACCAAGCCTTCGGAAGACCCCAGCGCGCCCCTCCCCTGGTGGGACAAGAGCCGCCTCCTGCTGCACGGCGACTGGCACATGGATATCGAGCAGGCCGGCCTCCACCAGGTGGCCACGGAGGTGAGGCAGCGGCCAGGGGGACACGGGAGGGGGGGCAGGCTCGGGGCTCGGACCCCCCACCCAGCCTCGTCTTCTCCCGCAGGATCCCTACAACACCACGGAGAACCTGCACTGGGAGTGGAGCCACCTCTCCTTCCACTGGCGGCCTGGCCAGTTCGTCTTCAAGGGAGACCTGGATGTCAACGTCCGGACAGCGTCCAAGTGGGTGGACAACCCCTCCCCCCACCCATCCCCCACAGGCAGGGTCTCTCCAATAAAATGGACTAAACAGACCATTTTTAAAATAATTAAAATTCCCAAAGAATTTTTTTTCTAAACGAATAAATACTTTTTCTAGATAAATAAATGAATATGTTTTTCTAAACAGCATTTTCTCTAAACCAACATTTTTCTAGATGAAGAAATGAAATTTCTAAATAACCTTTGACCTATGACCAAAATTGAGCCCAAAATTTCCATTCCTGAAACAGTTGAGTCTTGCCCCATTTTATGACTTTCCTTGCCACATTCGCTAAGTGAAACACTGCAGTTGTTAAATTAGTAACATGGTTGTTAAGTGAGTCTGGCTTCCCCATTGACTTTGCTTGTCAGAAGGCTGCAAAAGGGGATCACGTAACCCCGGGACTCTGCAACCGTCATAAATACGAGTCACTTTGCCCAGCGTCTGAGTTTTGATCACATAATCATGCGGATGCTTCAGTTGTCGTAAGTGTGAAAAAAATGGTTGTAAGTCACTTTTTTCAGTGCCGTTGTAACTTTCAACGGTCCCTAAATGAATGGACTAATGATCTTTCAACAGTTCACCAAATGAACTGTTGTAAGCCAAGGACTACCTGTAATCTAAATATAAAAGGGAAATATTCTAAGTAAACATTCTGTGTAAGTCCATTTTAGAAAGAAGGGAGGGAGGGAAGGAAGGAAGGAAGGAAAGAACGAAAAGGAAGGGAGAGGTTGGGAAGAGAATGGGAGGGAGAGAAGGAAGGAAGGAGAGAATGTGAGGGAAGGAAGGCAGGGAAGGATCTGACTCCTGGCTCCCTTCCCGTCCTGGGCAGGTACGATGACTGCTGCTTCCTTCACCTGCCCCAGCTGTGCATGACCCTGGACCTGACCTGGCTGTGCCACGGGAACCCCCACGACCACCACAGCGTGGTGCTGCGCTCCCCGGAGTTCCTGCCCGAGGTGCCCGTGGGGCAGCAGTACGACTCCTACCGGGCCTTCCGCTCCGAGAACCTCAACCTGGCCATCCGCATGGACCTCACGCGGCCCAGTGGCGGTGAGGGAGGGAGGAGGGCGGGGGGGCGAGGGGAAGGGGTGCCACACATGGGCATCTGCGCTGGGGTGGCCCTGCGGCTCAGGATGGCAGCCACCCCTGTAAGGAGGCCTTCCCAAAGGTGCTTTTTTCCCCAAAAGGCTTTCTTGTTTTTTTCCCTTGAAAATGTTTCCCTTCTCATCCAAGAAGCTTCTTCAGTTCTTCAGAGTTCCTCCCTCCCTTTCTCTCTCCCTCCCTCCTCTGATCCCTCCCATTTTCTTTTCTTCGTTCTTATTTTTCTTCCTATATTTCTTCCATCATATTTTCCTTGCATCCTCTGTCCCTCCCTCCCTCCCTCCCTCCTTCCTTCCCATTTCCCTTTCTTCCATCATTCCTCCATCCTTTTCCTCCCTCCCTTCCTCCGTCCCTGCCTTCCTCTTGTTCTTTTTCTCTTTCTCCGTTTCTCTCTCTCTCTGAAGAAGCTTCTTGGATGAGAAGAGAAACGTTTTCAAGGAAAGTCCAGTGGCCTTTTGGGGGACGGGGGGAGTGACCAGGGCCTTCTCGTCCCCCGTCCGCAGAGGCCTCCCAGCCGCGCATCCTCCTGTACAGCAGCACCCTCCGCTGGATGCAGAACTTCTGGGCCACCTGGACCAGCGTCAGCCGCCCCATCTGCCGCGGGAAGCTCTTCGGCAACCTCAAGCCCAGCAAGAAGAAGCTGGGCCAGCACTACCGCCAGCTCTCCTGCACCGCCCTCTTCCCCAAGCTCCAGGTGAGGCAGGGAAGGAAGGAAGGAAGGAAGGAGGGGCAGGGGCCCTCCCTCGAATTTACAAGGCTGTGTGTTCAGACCTTCCTGGGATCCATCTCTGGAATTTCCCTCTCTCTCTCTCTCTCTCTCTCTCTCCCTCTCTTTCTTTCTTTTTTTTCTTTTCTTTCTTTCTTTCTTTCTTTCTTTCTTTCTTTCTTTCTTTCTTTCCCTCCCTCTCTCTCTTTTCCTGCCGGGCCTGCCATCTATTTATTTATCTATATCTATCTCTATCTCCCACCTATCTGGCCTGAGGATCTAGCTATCTAACTATCTCTCTTTCTTTCTTTCTCTCTCCCTTCCTTCCTTCTTTCTCTTCCTTTCTCTTTCTTTCATTTTCTTTTCTTTCTTTCATTCATTCAAAAATTGATTTATTTAGAATATTCCTTCATTTGTTTAGAATTCTTATTTAGAAGTATTTATTTAAAAAAAAATTTTTTTTTGAAAAATTGTTTAGAAATTTTTATTTCTTTAGAGAAATATTTCCTTAGAATAATTTATATTCACTTACAAAAAAAATATTCATTTCTTTAGAAAAATTATTTGATTATTATTAGAATAGAATAGAATGAATAGAATTATTTATTGGCCAAGTGTGATTGGACACACAAGGAATTTGTCTTTGATGCATCTGCTCCCAGTGAACATAAAAAAAAAACAATAAAAAATACCCAAAAAAAATTGGAAACACATGTTTAGAAAAATGTATTGATTTATTTGGAGAATGTGTTTGTTTAGAAGAAAAACATTGGTTTATTTAGGAAATTGTAGAAATATTTATTTGTTTGGAAAATGTATTTAGAGGATTTTTATGGCAGCCCGACTCCATCCCAGTGACTCTAAAGCCCCTGAGGGCGAAGCCCAGTGAGTCTTGCCGGATGCTGCCCTCCGTCTGATGGGCTTTCCCCTCTTGTCTCCTCACTTTCCAGATCCATTACTGGGCCTCCTTTGCCCAGCAACGTGGCATCCAGCTGGAGTGTGGCCAGGGCCACATCTTCACCCGTGGCACGCAGCGGCTGATTCCTCAGGGTGAGCGAAGGGGGCCGGGCGGAGGCCGAGGGGGCCGAGTGCGGATCCTGATGGCCTGGCAGGGCCCCCCCCCCCGACCCCTGACCCTCTCCCCTCCCTTCCCTGCAGCCGGCACGGTCATGCGCCGCCTGATCTCCGAGTGGAGCATCGTGCAGATGGTGAGCGACCTCAGCCTGGTGAACGTCCACCTGATGGCCTCCCCCTGCGATGAGAACGTGGACCATCGCTTGGACTCCCTGGTCAAGAAGACCCACCTGCTGAGCCTCTCCTCCCTCACCTACCAGCGCCACAGCCTCCGCACGGCCGAGGAGGTAGCCTTTTCCTCCCCCACACACAAAACACACAAAACACACACCGGGCAAGAGGGAAAAAGCAGCCGACTGGAAGAGAGCCCTTGTCAACTTGCAAAGCTTTCAAGTTGCCATGAGCAGGAGGGAGGGAGAACTGATAGAGCTGATTGATTTCCCTAACTGAAGTGCATTCCATACACTCTTTCTGACCGCAATCAGAAGGAGGGTGCTAGGTTTCACAGCTAGCCAAAGTGGTTTATTGGAGAATGTGATTTATGAAATGGCCAGAGAGGAGGGGAGAGACAGGGTCATAGGGGAATGTAAATCTACGTGGGATCAGTCCTGACTGCATCCGAGTATTGCCGGAATGTTGCTCCTAATAAATGGCTATACTTCCTTTGAAGTTTGGATCATGGCTCATGAATTAATTAGGGCATCTTTCGGAAACTTGACAGCCCTCTTAAGCCACAACAAGCCATGGTTTACAAACTGCAGTTCATGCAACAGTAAAGTAACCATGTTTGGGCATTGCAGGGTGCAAATTGGTGTCACCTTTTGCAGAATAAATGAGGGGAGCAAATTTGGATGTCAGGAAGTCCTCAACTTACGACCACAACTGAGCCCAAAATTTCTATTACTAAGACAGACGGTTGTTAAGTAAGTTTTGCCCCATTTGACAAGCTTTTTAAGCGAATCATTGCAGTTGTTAAGCGAACAACACGGTGGTTAAGCTTCTCCATTGAGGTTGCTCGGGTCGCAAGAACTGATCACCTGACCCCAGGACGTTGTGACTGTCATAAATACGAGTTCAGCTGCCAACCGTCTGGATTTTGATCAGGTGGTCACAGGGAAAGTGCAACAGTTGTAAGTGTGAAAAAGGGTCATAAGTCCCTTTTTTCCAGCACCGTCGTGACTGAACGGTCACTAAATGAAAAAGAAAGTCCGGTGACCTCTTGAAAAGGCACCTTGGGGTCACTAAATGAACTTTTGTAAGTCGAGGACTAGCTGTTCTGGGGACACTGTTTGGGTCTTGTATTCTCGAAGTGGAGTACAGGAGGAATGTCCAACCTTGGCCACTTTAAGACTTGTGGACTTCAACTCCCAGAATTCCCCAGCCAGCAAATGAAATTCTGGGAGTTGAAGTCCACAAGTCTTAAAGTGCCCATGTTTGGACACTCCTCGTTCTACAGGTTGGCCTTATACTGCCCAATGATTTTTTTTTAGTTATAAAAACCAGTTTTCAAACCTCTTTAGTTTTAAAACCCGTCTTAAAACCTCTTTCGTTTCAAAACAAGGGCCGGTCTGACCCTCTTCCCTCCCCAGGAGATTCTGCTGCGGGACGGGGACGCTGTGCTTCACACCCACCAGCTGCACCTGGTGGACCTGCGGGCGTCCTGGACCACCACCAACCGGGACATCGCCTTCGGCCTCTACGACGGCTACAAGAAGTCCGCAGTGCTGAAGCGCAACCTGTCCACCGAGGCCCTGAGGGGACTGAAGATCGGCCCCCAGTTGCCCGCCAAGAAGCCCAGGCGGGGCCCTCCCCCCAGCCACCAGCCCCCGCTGCGGGTCATCGTGCCGGCGAGCAGCGGCCGGACCGAGCGAAGCCCCTCCGGAGGTGAAGCCGCCCCAGCCCTGAGCCCTGTGGGGGGGGGAGATGCCCCTTGGAAACCTGACAGTTGCTTGGGGGTCGTTGTGTGGGATCAGGAAGATTCAAAGGGCTGTCACCCAGAGAAATAGTGTCCAGATATGTGCCTTCCCTGAAGTGGTCACCCGTGTGTGAAATTACCCATAGAAGAGAATATTTGGGGCTCAGGGTGGGACTCGGGGGTCCTGAGCTTGCTGGTTTTCTTGCAGACATTTCATGACCCAACTATGTAACATCATCAGAGGTGGGGTTGGCTGTCTGTTTCTATACAGTGGCTTGTCCAATCAAGCAGAAAACAGTACCCCAGTCAAGGAACTGCCAAACAGGACACCACATCCCCACCACAACTGGGAAGGCAAACAGAAAGCAAAACTCACTCAGATGGTGTTACTCTTAACTCCCTTCTAACACTGATGGTGTTACCTAGTTGGGTCATGAAATGTCTGCAAGAAAACAACCACATTCGTTGAGAACCAAGGAACCCACAGTCGTCGTCTTCCTTCTTCTTTTGCTCCTCTTTTTCCTCCTCCTCCTCCTCCTCGCAAACTTCCCTCCCTTCTAGCACTGATGGTGTTCCCTAGTTGGGTCATGAAACGTCTGCAAGAAAACAATCACGTTCAGGGAGTCCCAAGGGCCCCAGAGAGTCTGAAGCCACCTAGGAGAGAAGCTTACAGAAAGGAAAGGGGGCAGCTAGAATTGGAGGCGTGGGTGGCAAATCCTTCAGGAGGGAGTTCCCCGGTGCCACTAATTGTAATAGGGAGGGTTCATTTTCGGCCACGGGCGTGTCTATTTAGTATTTTGGAGGACAGAGCTGTCCTTCCTCATCCGTAAAGGGGTCCTGGGGCCTCCTCCTCCTCCTCTTTTTCTGCAGGGGCCTCCATGTTGCAGAAGCTGATTGAGGAGACAGACAAGTTCGTGGTTTTCACCGAGGAGGAGTCGGGGGTCAGCGAACAGCTGTGCGGGATCGCAGCCTGTCAGACCGATGACATCTTCAACCGCAACTGCCTGATTGAACTCGTCAACTGCCAGGTCTTCGCTTTTTGTTCTGTGCGAGGGGTCTGCGGCCTTGTCCCCTTTAAGACCGGTGGACTTCAACTCCCAGAATTCTCCAGCCAGCACATGGAATTCTGGGAATTGAAGTCCTCAGAGCAGAGGGGTCCAATTCTGTTTGGAGACTGGAGGACTGGCTGGGGAATTCTGGGAGTTGAAGTCCACTAGTCTTAAGGTGGCGCAGGATGGACACCCCTGCCCTGCCCTGTGCCTGCTGCTACAGTAAGAGCTGGCCTCCTCTGATCCAGATAGTTCTCAACTTACGACTGTAATTGGGGGCTGTGAGATCTTGTATATGTTAAGCAGGCCTCCATTTGTACATGTCCAACTTTACGACGTAACCCTGGAATGCTGCCAACGAGCATAAAGGTCTGTCCGGCAACTGTTCAAAGTTATGACGAGGGTACTGTAAAAACAGACTTAAAATCAGTCTTTTGAAACCGTTGCAATGCTCCCGCGATCAGAATTTTGTATTTATCAGCTTGTATTTCTGATTGCCCCCCCCCGTTGCTACCACCCCCAGCTGACTTCCAGCATTGCCTGCCCCCCCCCCTCCCCGGGGCCCCCCCCCCCCCCCCCTCCCCCCCCCCGGCTCAAGCCCCAAGATATGAGTCTGGGTCAGCCATTTATTTGTTTAGAAAATGTATATAGCCGCCTACTTGCTCACAGAGACTTTAGGTGGCTTACAAACAATGAAAACACAGTTTGGGGGGAGAAATTAAAATTAAAAGAATAAAAATAAAAAACAATACAGGTAGTCCTCGACTTACGACCACAATGGAGCCCAACATTTCTGTTGTTAAGTGAGACATTTGTTCATTAGGTTTTGCCTTGTTTTACGACCTTTCTTGCCCCAATAGTGAAGTGAATTATGGCAGTTGTTAAGTTGGTAAGCAAATCCGACGGTTCTGACCTAGGCTTCCTGAGAAAGCATCAATTGCAATCTTAGTCCCAAAAAGCCACTTTTATTGAGACGGCTGTGAATTAGGGTCATTCACAGCCCGTAATGATTCACAGACAGTCTGTGCAGATTCCGACAGACGTCTGCTTGAGTTGACACAGTCTTTCAGGGTGATGTTGGTAAGCGCCCACCTTTATCCCCCTGGAAACACTGCCAGAGACCTAATGGCCAATTAGTTTTTATCAGTGTTTACATCGCCCAGCCTGGACTGAGAGGGTTTTTAGAGTTTGGGGGTTTTAATATAACTTATATACGTCCATTATGTATTTTATAATTTTAACTGATTGTTTTATTGTTGTGAGCCGCCCTGAGTCTTCAGAGATAGGGCGGCATATAAATTTTATTGATAAATAAATAAATAATAGTTTTTGCAAGGCCAAACGGAGCACAGAGTCAAATGGAGCTTCTCAGAGCTTGAACCAACTATATGAACTAATTGCTTCCTGCAAAGGCTCATGTCCGTTTGCTCCTCCTTTATATCATCTCCAAGCCTTACTCCTGAGTCACCCTTTTTTTCCTTAATTGTTCTTGCCTTCTGGCAGCTCTGCCCATGCGCACACTGGGAACAGGCTCACACTGTTCTTCTGCCTCGCTGATGTCAGATTCCAGAGTCTCCGGAGGCAGCACATAACTATCAGATGGCCCTGGCCTCCTCTCTGCCTCTGACGCAGAGCCCTCGTCCCAGCCCTCCCCAGACTCCAGGACTGGCCCATGTTCCTCCCCGGCCTCCTCACTGTCCGACTCTGCTGCCAGCTCCACTGGCCACCGGCAGGCCACAACACTGGCTGTCCAGTTGACTTTGCTTGCCGGAAGGTCTCAAAAGGAGGATCACATGATCCTGGGATACTCCGACCGTCATAAATATGAGTCAGTTGCTAAGCATCCAAATTTTGATCACATGACCGCAGGGATGCTGCAAAGGTCGTAACTCTGAAAAAAGGTTCATTAGTCACTTTGAACGGTCACTAAATGAACTGCTGTCAGTTGAGGACTGCCTGTAAACCCCCCCCCCATGTCCTGCTGGGCAGAAGAGTCCCTGTGCAGGGGGGCTGCCCCACAGGGTCCCAGGGCGCCTTGCAATAACTTCCTCCCGTCTTCCCCCTCCCTTCCAGATGGTTCTCCGTGGGGCCGAGACAGAGGGCTGCGTGATTGTCTCGGCCTCCAAAGCCCAGCTGCTCCAGTGCCACCACCACCCGGCCTGGTACGGGGACACCCTCAAGCAGAAGACCTCCTGGACGTGCCTGCTGGACGGCATGCAGTACTTCGCCACCACCGAGAGCAACCCCTCCGAGCGGGAGGACGTGCAGCTCTGGCTGGAGGTAGGGCCGATGACCGTCTTGCTTGCCGGCCCTGCCGGTCAGAGGGTGGCGGACCCATTGCTGACCCCGGATGAGCCAGGCTGGGCTGCAGCTCTTGGTAGAAGGGGGGGAGGCTAAAGACCCATCCCCGCTTTGCTCTACGCAATTTGCTTGTGTCAGCGTTCCAAGTAAACTGAACCCCTCAAAGAACAGTTTTGTTTGGAGATCTCATATTGGCACAGGCTGGTGAAAACCGACTCAGAGAGTTCCCACGGATTTTCACATAATTAAAAAGTGAAAGTTTGCCTTTTCCCAAAACAATCAGTCCCATTGTCCAGTGGATGCTGGCCGGTTGCCTGGTTACTTCGCTCCTCCTTCTCTCTCCAGCCGGCTGTTGGAGTGTCCTTGGTTCACAGGAGAAACTATTTTGTTTTGGCTACAAAACCCCAACTACCTCTACTCCCACCTCCCTCCCTCTCCCTCATCTCTATTGTGGCAGGCCTCAAAAATGGCCTCAGTCAGGCCAGCGTCACAGTTGACAGCTTGTCCGTCTCGGTACCACTTTATAAGGCCTTGGTATGGCCACCCTTGGAATGCTGTGTCCAGTTTTGGTCACCATATTATAAAAAAGATGTTGAGACTCTAGAAAGAGTGCAGAGAAGAGCAATCAAGAGGATTAGGGGACTGGAGGCTAAAACAGGAAGAACGGTTGCAGGAACTGGGTATGTCTAGTTTAATGAAGAGAAGGACTAGGGGAGACATGATAGCAGTCTTCCAATATCTCAGGGGCTGCCCCAAAGAAGAGGGAGTCAAGCTATTCTCCAAAGCCCCTGAGGGCAGGACAAGAAGCAACAGATGGAAACTAATCAAGGAGAGAAGCAACTTAGAACTAAGGAGAAATTTCCTGACAATTAGAAGAATTAATCAGTTGCCTCTAGAAGGCTTTTAAGAAGAGATTGGACAGCCATTTGTCTGGAATGGCATAAGGTCTCCTGCTTCAGCAGAGGGTTGGATTAGAAGACCTCTAAGGTCCCTTCCAAGCCTGTTATTCTGAATTGGGAACTCTTTGTCCGCAGAGAGCAGGCTCTTACCCTGCACACACACATGGCTCAGCCTGGCTCCCTCCCTCAGTCCTTGCTGACCATGTGCCCTCCTTTCCCTGCCCTCCCCCCCCAGGTCAAGAACATTGAGGAGCACCCGCAGCGCACCCTGGACTCCGTGCAGGAGCTGATGGAGAGCGGGCAAGCCGTGGGCGGCATGGTCAGCACCACCACAGGTCAGCAGCCAGCCTGCCCAGGACTGGCACAGGGAGGGGGTGCGCAGCCCCCCAAGAGACAGCCTTCTTCTGCAGGAGACATGATGGGCCAGCCGTGATGCCTCCTGCAAGACGCTCAGGCAGGGAGTGCCCCGGGCATCCTGGGCCCTTTGCTGTCCCCGGGCACAGCTGTCTTCCTTCTCCCCGCCAGATTGGAACCAGCCGCACGAGGTGAAGCCCACACAGCAGGTCCAGCGCATCATTTCGCGCTGCAGCTGCCGCATGTACTACATCAGCTACAGCCACGATATCAACCCCGAGTTGGCCACCCAGATCAAACCGCCGGAGCTGCCTGCCAACCTGGAGAAAGACGACCTTCTCAAGAAGCGGGAAGGTGGGCAGCGGGGAGTGTCCGGCCTTCTTTGGATGCCAAAGGGTCTTGGGTGGGAGGGGGGGCTTTCTTAGTCCAGGTCACCTCCCCACCCCTTGCCCCATCCAGCCACAATACAGGAAAGATGTTGAATGCACATACATTGAACAGATGCAGGAACTGGGCCTGGCTGGTCTAGTGAAGAGAAGGACCAGGGGAGACAGGATAGCAGTCTTCCAGTATTTGAGGGGCTGCCACGGAGAGGAGGAAGGGGGTCAAGCTATTCTCCAAAGCAACCAAAGGCAGAATAAGAAGTATCAGGTGGAAGATCAATAAAGAGAGATCCAGTCCTGGTGGCTCAGCAAACTAAAGCACTGTTATTAACATCAGCTGCTTGCAATTACTGCAAGTTCGAATCTCACCAGGCTCAAGGCTGACTCAGCCTTCCATCCTTTCTTAGGTAGGTTAAATGAGGAGCCAGATTGTGGGGGCAATAAACTGACTTTGTATAAATATACAAAAGTATGAAGGCTATTGCTTAGCGCATTGTAAGCCGTCCTGAGTCTCTGGAGAAGGGCGGCATATAAATCAAATTTATAAAAAAAAATAAATCTGGAAATTAGAAATTTCCTGACAGTGAGGACAATTAACCAGTGGAACAGCTTGCCACCAGAAGTTGTGGCCGCTCCAACCCTGAAGACTTTCAAGAAGAGACTGGGCAGCCATTTGTCTGAAATGGTCCAGGGTCTCCTGCTTGAGCAGAGGGGTGGACTAGAAGACCTCCAAGGTGCCTTCCAACTCTCTTATTCCTTGCAGGGGCCGTGGACACCTTCACGCTAATCCACCATGACCTGGAGATCTCCACCAACCCGGCCCAGTACGCCATGATCCTCGACATTGTCAACAACCTCCTGCTGCACGTGGAGCCCAAGCGGAAGGTGCCTGGGGGGGGGATGGGGGGGCTGAGGTGACGCTGATGTTGGGAGGGTCTTGAGAACTTTTGCCCTTGCGAGCGGCCATTTTCCTCCACGGCTTGCCTGGGGTGCTTTGTGGATGGAGAGGAGGGTGAACCCACCCCTGCCAGGTTCCCGGGGCATCTCCTCTTTGGTGCCATCCCAGGCCCCCCTCCAAGGTGCCCGAAAGGAGGCCAGGTTGTGCTTGGCGATTCCACCTTCGGGATCCAAGCAGGGCAGAACGCTGGGTCTTGTAGTCAAAGCAGCCGCTGAAGGAGAGAAGGGCCCAGTAGGGGGGGGGGGTCTAGGACAACTCCCCACAGGACAGTTGAACAATTCAGTTTAATTATTTAAAATAAAAACTACTATAATTATTGTCATTCAGGTTTCATTCTGTCCATTCCTTTTGCATCCCTTCTTTAATGATTCTATTCCGCCATTTTTGGGGCTGTTAGTGTAACTCTCACCCTGCGGCGAGTTGGCCGTGGCAAGTTGCCCGCAACAAATTGTCAGAGACCCCTTGGTGCGGTCAACCCTCGGGGGCCCAACCCACCGTGGGACAAGGGTTACACGAATATCAAAGAAATGGTGGAATAGAATCATGAAAGAATGGACCCCAAAGGAGGAATGGGATGAAATGTGAATGGCAAAGAATTAAAACGAGATTTAAAATTATTTCAGATAATTAAACTGACCTGTTGACTTGTCCCACGGTGAGTGGGGAGTGGGAGGGAACATTTGAGGGGAAAGCCTGGGGGTCTCTACCGGCCGTTTCCCGAGATAAGACAAGGGAGTCGGATGCGATTCTTGTAATATCAGCAATAAAGAAAACTCCTTTGGCCCATTGTGGGAGCTGTTCTGGTTGCTTCTGCCTTTTGGGTGTGTGTGTGTGTGTGTGTCATCTGTGAGCAGCGTTTCCCCCTCTGTTGTGACCCAGACCCATGTAGTTAGTATTAAATACAAACAGTTCTAAAACAAACAGACTTTATTAGAACAGCTGAGAATTAACTCATTCTCAGCCTAGTCCAAACTAAATTAAAGCAAATTCTTCAAAACACCATTCCTCAGTTTATCACCGACCTTGGGATAATTAGGCAAACTGCCAAAGGCTTTTCTTGGCAAGAGTTCAGAAGCAGAAGACGCAGAAGAGAAATGAAACAAGAAGCAATTCTCTCAATGTTGTTTTCCGGCAAAGAGGCCAAGAGCCATTGCTGGTCTTTTAAGCCTTATGGGAGGGGCCAATCATCTCCTGGCCTTACTCCAGAGTCGTCCTCTCTGCTTTAGCTGCTCCTGCCTTCTGGCAGCTCTTCTGATGCATGCACCAGGAACAGGCTCTTCCTGTTCCTCTGCCTCTCCACTGTCAGCGTCTAGAGGCTTCGGAGTCCGTACATCACTCCCCGATGGCCCTGGCCCCATCTCTGCCTTTGACACAGAGCCCTCATCTTCCCCTGACTCCAGGACTGGCCCATGTTCTTCCTCAGCCTCCTCGCTGTCCGACTCCGCTGCCAGCTCCGCGGGCTGCTGGTGGACCACAACACCCTCCTTGCCACTTCTGGAGGGGCAGGGGTCTTTTCTACCCCACGCAATTCCCACTGGCCCCATCTGCCTTAAAAACCGACCAAGGGGGTCTTGGCCCCTGAACCTGGCCCCCCACCCTGGGTTTTTTTTTCCCCCCCCCCCCCCCCCCCCCCCCAGGAGCACAGCGAGAAGAAGCAGCGAGTCCGTTTCCAGCTGGAGATCTCCAGCAACCCGGAGGAGCAGCGTAGTAGTATCCTGCACCTGCAGGAGGCCGTCCGGCAGCACGTGGCCCAGATCCGGCTCCTGGAGAAGCAGATGTACTCGGTCATGAAGGTGGGCGCGTCGGGGGATGGGGCTGTGATGGGGGGAGGCTTCCTGCGTGGTCCTTGGGGAGCCTGTGTGTGACACCCCCCCCCCCCCGGCCTTCTCTCCCCAGTCCTTGCAGGACGACGGGCGGAACGAGTCGCTGCTGGAGCACAACCAGAAGCTGCAGCAGCAGCTGAGCCAGGAAAAGGCCACCTTGCAGCAGGAGAGCGAGGACCTGAACATTCTGATCAGGTGCGGGGAGCAGAGGGGGGGGCAGCCAAGGGGGAGGGGCTGGCTGCTGCTTCTGCTACCTACGGAGGCCCCTGGGAGAGCCTGCAGGGAGCCCACCCACCCACCCAAGGGGGCCACGGCCTCCGGTCTCCAGAGAGAGACGTTGGACTATCTTAGACTGTCACACCTGATGTGGTGGGACCTACAGGTAGTCTTTAGAATGAATGAATGAGCTGCAAGGGACCTTGGAGGTCTTCTAGTCCAGCCCCCTTCTCAAGCACGGAGACCCTACCCCATTTCAGACAATTGGTGTACAGTCTCTTGTTAAAATCCTCCGGTGATGGGAGCGCCCACAACTTCTGGTGGCCAGCGGTTCCACTGGTTAATTGTCCTCACTGTTAGGAAGTTTCTCCTTAGTTCCAGGTTGCTTCTCTCCTTGATGAGTTTTCATCTGTTGCTTCTTGTCTTCCCTTCTGGTGCTTTGAGAAATAATTTGACCCCCAACTCTTCTTTGTGGCAGCCCCTCAAATACTGGAATATTTCTATCATGTCACCCCAAAATCCTTCTTTTCTCTAACTAGCCAAACCCAAATCCTGCAGCCGTTCTTCGTATGTTTTAGTCTCCAAGGCCTTTGATCATCTTAGTTGCTCTTCTCTGAACTTCTTCCAAAGTCTCAACGTCTTTTTCATAGTGTGGTGACCAAAACGGGTTGCAGGATTCCAGGTGTGGTCCTTGAGTTACGACCATAGTTGAGCCCCAAAATTTATGCTGCTAAGCAAAAGATTTGTTAAGTGAGTTTTGCCCTATTTCATGACTTTTCTTGGCACAAATTCACTTAACAGATCATTGCACTTGTTAAGTTAGTCGTACGGTTGTTAAGTGGAACTGGCTTCCCCATTGTCAGAAGATCACAAAAGCTGATCGGGACACTGCGACCGTCATAAAATACGAACCAATTGCCAAGCGTCTTAATTTTGATCACGTGTCCGTGGGGGTGCTGCTGCAACGGTCGTAGGTGTGAAAAAGGGTCGTGAGTCCCTTTTTGCAGTGCCGTTGTAGCTTTGGTCACTAAGCAAATGGTTGTAAGTCGAGGACCACCTGTCTCTCTTTTCTCAGGTGCTTTAAGGACTTCCAGCTGCAGAGGGCCAACAAAATGGAGCTGCGCAAACAGCTGGAGGACGTCAGTGTGGCTCGCCGGACCGAGTTCTACTTCGCCCAGGCCCGCTGGCGCTTGACCGAAGAGGACGGGCAGCTGGGCATCGCGGAGGTGGAGCTGCAGCGCTTCCTCTACAGCAAGGTGAGGCCGGGGGCCAGAGGGGCCGGTGGTGGGGCAGCTGGGCCAAGCTGGCTGTGGCTGCGGCTGTGGCTGACCGCTCCGGCCTCTTGCAGATAAACAAGTCGGACGACACAGCCGAGCATCTCCTGGAGCTGGGCTGGGTGACTATGAACAACCTGCTGCCCAACGCCGTCTACAAGGTGGGTGGCCCATCCTCTCCCCACCCCCACCCATCCCCCCTCGGCCTTTGGGGGAGGAGTGGGAGTCAGCGGGTCACTCCTGCACGGCTGCGAGGGAACCTCTGGGCCCGGATGGGACAATTCAACCATTCGATTCTATCACTTAAAACAATGAGAAAAGGTTATATTTTTTTACCTATGTGCCTTGAGGATCCAGGCCTGCCCCCCATTTCATTCCGCCCCTCACACAGCATCCAATCAAAACTCACAAGACCAGAATCGGCCTTGTGATTCAACCAGTCACAAGACCAACTGACCACCCAGCACCCATATAAAAGGACAAGACACCCCACCCCAAGACCTCGCTGAAGAGGTTAGCTAGTTTGGTAACAAAATGTCCAGGAGTTAAACAGCAAGCTTGGACAATGGAGCCCTGGCAGAAGTGTCAGCCTCGTCCCGCGGGCAGTTGCCTAGAGCCCCTCTGGACACACGCAGAGTGCATAGAAGCAAGGAGGGGGCTTCCCCCGTGCAGAGGGGGATTTTGACCCCCTGGTATGTCCCCTGCAGGTGGTCCTGCGGCCCCAGAGCGCCTGCCAGTCGGGACGCCAGCTGGCCCTGCGGATTTTCAGCAAGGTCCGGCCGCCAGTGGGCGGCATTTCCATCAAGGAACACTTTGAGGTGAGAGGGGCCGGGCGCCAGGGCTGTGATGCCCCCCCCACCCCTTTTGCAAGTGGGGGGGCCTGATATCTCTGCCTCCCCCCCCCAACAACCAGGTCAACGTGGTGCCGCTGACCATCCAGCTGACGCACCAGTTCTTCCACCGCATGATGGGGTTTTTCTTCCCTGGACGCAACGTGGAGGAGGAGGAGGTGGGCGACGAAGAGGACAAGTCCAAGCTGGTGACCACGGGTGAGCGTGAAAGGGACAAAACCACCCCTCCCCTCCCCTCCCCTCCCGAAGGAGGCTGCCTGCACCTCTCTCTGCACGCTTCCCAGCTCCGTCCCGGGGGAGGGGAGGGCTCTGGGGGCTGAGAGTTTTTAGGTGAAGGAAGGCGAATCTACGTGTCCCAGGATAATGTCGCAGGATCCAAATTGGGTCGGTCACCAGGACCGGAATTTTTAGTCTTCCAAGCTTTCGGACTCGTGCTGGAGCCCATCGTCAGGGAACGTCTCTGCCTCCTTGACTGTGGCTTTTGATTTAGTAGAGTGTTGATGGCCGGCTATTAAGTGGTTAGTCCTTGTTTGCGCTCAGGTCTTAAGTACCCGGTAAGCTGGTGGTAAATCAGCATTTTAACATTTTTATTGGGTTATAAAATAAAATAAGATGCAAAATACAAAAGTAAGTAGGAAAACGGTGGGAAGAGAAGAGAGGGAGGATAAGAAAAGAAAAAGAAAAAGAAAAATTGACTTCCGATTCTCTCGGTTGCAGTAAAATAAGGTATTAATATCACAACTTTTTGTTTTTTTTCATAATAACATGAGCGAGCCATTTCTAAAGATGCATCAATCTAATCCAGGGGTCTCCAACCTTGGCAACTTTTAAGACTGGTGGACTTGAACTCCCAGAATTCCTCAGCCAGCAAAGCAGAGTCGAAGTCCACCAGTCTTAAAGTTGCCAAGGTTGGAGACCCCTGATCTAATCGGTAAAACTCAAAATCTGAGTTTCCTTCTTTTCCACTTCAAGCGCAAAGTTCAGAAGCTGCCTCCATGTGGAAACCAAAGTACTTACTTTCTTTTCTTTAATCAAAATGGTCAATTTTGCCATTTCATCCAACGGTAAATCGGTGCTCCTATTGACCGACAACGTTTCTCCTGGGCTTCAATCATTTCCCTGGCTGTTTTTGTCCCTGCTCGGCCAACAATCGTAGTAGCTGCGAAACCGAATGCCACGTCCTCGTTCATGGCAAACGAGGCTACGCGTGATCTTCGGCCCTCCTCGGCTGATGAGTGTTTCCTCTCCTGGATGTGCAGGCATGCCGGTTGTCAAGCCGCGGCAGCTGATGGTCTCCGAAGACTCGCTGGGCTCCGGGAAGGGCATGGGCCAAGGGCTGAACCGGACATCGGGGGTCAGGCGCTCCTTCCGCAAAACACCCGAGGTAGCTGCCGTTGTGGGACTTCTTGGTCTGACTTGGTCCTCGGCCAAGCAAAGCACCCCGGAGTCCTCTGAGTTCAGAGACACGTGTGTGTGTGTGTGTGTGTGTGTGTGTGCGTGTGTGTGTGTGTGTGTGTGTGTGTGTGTGTGTGGTCTTGCTTCCTCAGAGCCCAGCGGTGTCCTCACCTTCTCTGAGAGACCATCTAGAAGTGCCCTAGCGGGAGAGGCCGTGGGGTGAGGGCGAAGGGGGTGGGAGGTGAGGCCACGGACACTCACGGGGACTTTGGGCAGTGGCTCTGCAGCCCATCCTGCCTCGCAGGGGTGTCGGGAGGGCCTCCACGCAAGGCCTGCTTCCCATGGAGGTGGGGAGAGAAGGAGCCCAGTTGAGCCTGGCAAGTGGTCAAAGCTGTCCTTAATGTGGACCCAAAGAGGCTGCCTCCTCCGTCCATCCATCTGTCTGTCTGTCCATAAACTATACAGATAGTCCTCGACTTATGACCACAATCGAGCCCCAAATTTCCGTTGCTAAGCAAGACACTTGTTAAGTGAGCTTTGCCCCATTTTATGACCTTTCTTGCCTTTCAATTCAGTGTTTCATCTGAGTACATATTTTGTGTCCTCTACTCCCTCTCTTGCCACTGTTGTTAAGTGAATCACTGCAGTTGTTAAGTTAGCAACTCGGCTGTTAAGTGAATCTGGCTCCCCCCTTGACTTGGCTTGTCAGAAGGTCACAAAAGGGGATCATGCGACCCAGGGACGCTGCCTCCGTCATAAATAAGAGTCAGTTGCCAAGCATCCGAATTCTGATCATGTGACCCTGCAACGGTCGTAAGTGTGAAACACGGTCCTAAGTCACTTTTTTCAGTGCCGTCGTAACTTGGAACGGTCACTGAATGAACCGTAAGTCGAGGGCTACCTGTATGGTGGTCTTGTTGTGGGGTCTCTCTCCTGCGGCAGCCTTGCCAGGAAAGTCGGGGAGCTCCTGGGCGCAATGTGGGGGGGCCGCTGGGCTGTCTCTAATGGCCGCCGTCCCCCTTTCCCTCCCCAGTACCCGGTGGACGACATTGACAAGATGAAGGAGCGGGCGGCCATGAACAATTCCTTCATCTACATCAAGATCCCGCAGGTGCCCCTCTGCGTCAGCTACAAGGTGCGTGTGTAGGGGGGCAGTCGGGGGTCTTCCTATTCAAAGGCTCCATTGGGTTCTCCTCCCTCACACCACCTTGTGGCAGTGAGTTCCACAGGATTGCTTTTGTTGGAAAGGGATGATGGTTGGGTTGGGGTGGGGGCTGCCACGAAAGAGTGGGGGGGCTCCTGGTTTCTGAATCCCCCTTCTGCCCCCCCTCCCCCCCGGTTGCTGCAGGGAGAGAAGAACAGCGTGGACTGGGGGGACCTCAATCTGGTGCTGCCGTGTCTCGAGTACCACAACAACACCTGGACGTGGCTGGATTTTGCTATGGCAGTGAAGCGGGACAGCCGGAAGGCCCTGGTGGCCCAGGTAAGGGAGGCCGGAGGGCCAACAAAGCCCATCCTCCAGGCCGGGCATGGAGTTGCGGCTGAGACTGTAGAACCACCCCCTGTTCCTGGCACTGCCACCCCAGGCAGCTGGCAAGCTTTGCAGGGATGGCACTCTTAACGCCAGCTCTGGTACCCGGTACTTCTGGCTGGGCTGGGGATTATGGGAGACGCATTACCTGGGATGGGGAGAAAGTGGGTGGAAGCCTGACACACGGGCTCAACTCCATTCTTCCCTCCCACCCTTCCTTCCTTCCTCTCATCCTTCCCTTCCTTCTTCCCTTCCTTCCCTCCCATCCTCCCTCCTTCCCTGCTTCCTTCCTTCCTCCATTCCTCCCTCCCTCTCATTCCCATCTCTTCTTCCTTCCCTCCCTCCCCCCTCCCCTCCCTTCTTTCCCTCTCATCTCCCTCCCTCCCTCCCTTCTTCTCATCTCCCTCCCTCCTCCCTCCCTGCTTCCTTCCTTCCTCCATTCCTCCCTCCCTCTCATTCCCATCTCTTCTTCCTCCCCTCCCTCCTCCCTCCCTCTCATCTCCCTCCCTCCTCCCTCCCTGCTTCCTTCCTTCCTCCATTCCTCCCTCCCTCTCATTCCCATCTCTTCTTCCTTCCCTCCCTCCCTCTCATCTCCCTCCTCCCTCCCTCCCCCCCCCCAAGGTCATCAAAGAGAAGCTGCGCCTGAAGCCAGCGGTGGGCACGGAGTCCCGGGCGAGGCAGGAGAGCAAGCTGGAGGGGCCGGTGCAGCAGCAGGAGGAGGACGAGAAGGCCCGGCTGCTGATCGGCCTGAGCGTGGGCGAGAAGAACCCGGGCAAGAAGTCCATCTTCAGCCGGCGCAAGTGAGGCCGCTGGGCCTGCCAGGCGGGAGCCCACCATCACTGCCTGCCCTGCCGGGGCCCGGCCTGTGGGCGCTCTTGGGCACTGTTGGCCAGGTGCTGGGCTGAGACTGAAGGGGCCCCCGAGGGCCCCAGAGGCGCGTGGGACCAGGCTACGGAGAGCGGGGGGGCGGGGGGGTCCTCCGAAGGCCAGGCGGTGGGGAAGGGGAGGGAGAGTTTAAATAACAGAGTTTATCATTTGGAGCCGTCTCCTGTCGTGATTGCTCTCCCCCACCCCCCGAATCTGCCAAGGGGGGGGCCGCCCCCTCCCCACTTCATGCCAGTCCCCCCCTCCCCCGCCTCTTGGGACTGGCTCTCCCTCCTCCTGCAGCCTTGGGGAGCCCTGGGGGGGGAAGGGGGGGGGCTTCTGGGCTCCTCAGCCAGAGCCCCTGATAGACCGACAGCAGTTCGTTCAGTGACCATTCAAAGTTACAACAGCACTGAAAAAAAGTGACTTATGACCATTTTTCACACTTACGACCGTTGAAGCAGCCCCACGGTTGTCACATGATCAAAATTCAGATGCTCAGAAACTGACTCCTATTTATGACGGTCGCAGTGTCCTGACCCCTTTTTGCGACCTTTTGACAAGCAAAATCAGTGGGGAAGCCGGATTCATCCAGCAATTTAACAACTGCAGTGATTCACTTAACAGCTGTGGCAAGAAAGGTTGTAAAATGGACCAAAATTCACTTAACAAATGTCTCGCTTAGCAACATAACTTTTGGGCTCAGTTGTGGTCGTAAGTCGAGGACTGCCTGTCTTCTGAAGCTGAGAACCCACTGTGGATCCCCCCGCTTTCGACCTCTCGGAGTCTGCCCAGAGCAGGGGGACCATCCTCAGGTGGGGGAGGGGTGTCACTGCAGGGGGCTCCCCAGGACCCTCCAAGCCCCATCAGTCCAGACCGCTGGAACTCGGCCGCCACGTTCCTCCTCCTCTGAGCTAGAAAAGGCCGCTGGGGGTCCTCAAATAGGCAGTCCTTGACTTAAAACAATTCGTTCAGTGACCGAAGTTACAACAGCCCTGAAAAAAGTGACTTTTGACCGTTTTTCACACTTACGACCGTTGCAACATCCGTCACCTGATCAAAATTCAGACGCTTGGCAACTGACTCACCTTTATGACGGTCGCAGCATCCCCGGGGTCACGTGATCCCCTTTTGCGACCTTCTGATCAGCAAAGTGAATGGGGAAGTCGGATTCACTTAAGGACCCTCTGGTTAACAACTGCAGGGATTCACTTAATTGTGTTTGTAACTGAACTGCAGGGATTCAATTAAGAAACGTGGCAAGAAAAGCCGTTAAACAGGGCAAATCTCCCTTAACAAATGTCTCACTGAAGGTCAATTTTGGGCTCCTCCTTTGAGGACCACCTGTATCAATGCAATGGAAGGAAGCGAACTCCTCCATGGCAGCCTTGTCCCCCGCTTTGTGGCCCCCGTGGGTGTTAAAGGGGCCCTCGGCCAGGAAAGGGGTTGGTGCCTCTGTTGGCCCCCCTCTTCCTTCAGCCCAGCTGTGCAGGGGGGTCCTTGGGGGAGCAGACCCCAGACATCTGAGGGGACCCCCTTCCTTTAAGGGGAGGCTGCTTGGGGGGCCCAGAGAAATGCCAGGCTCTTCAGAGGCCTTAGGAAGCCCCTGGCTCTCTTTTCCACCCCCTCCCCCGGTTTTTGGGGATTTCTTTCCTTCCTCCTCCTGTTTCACCTTCCTCCTCTTCTGTCTCTTCCTCCTCCTCCTACTTCACCTCTTCCTCTCTTATCTTCTTCCCTCCTCTCTTCTTCCTCTTACTTCTCCTACTTCACTTCCTCCTTTCCTCTTCCTTTTCTACTTCTCACCTTCCTCTTCCTCCTCTTTCTTTTCTTCCCTCCTCTCTTCCTCTTCCTCCACCTCTTCCTCCTCCTAAACCCCGTCCCTTGCAGCACTGATGATGTCCCCTAGTTGGGTCACGAAACGTCTGCAAGGAAGCAGCCAAAGTCGGAGAGCACCAGGGACGCCTCCTTTCAACCCTGAGCTACAAAGATTCTCCTTTATTGGCAGTTTTTCCCCGTTTGGATAAAGACCCCCAGAGGCTGTAACTTTCCCACCGGAGGTGCCTTTGCGAGTCTCCAGCCAAGCCATCCGGATGTCGCACCGCAGGTCCCATCGGCCCCAGCCAAAGCCATTGCAGCCCAAGCCCGAGTCTGCGCCCGCGGGCGCCAGCAGGGATTTAGAGGCGGGGCGGCAGCTCGTGTTATGCAGGAGGGGGTGCGGCTTGGCTGCGCGTAGCCAATCCGCTGCGAGCTCCGGTAGGCCACGCCTCCTGGGCGGGTTTTCCTAGCGCGGGAACGTCTTGAATGCCGGCTAGGGGCGGGGCCTCCCAGGCGACGGGGCGGGGCGGGCCCCCTGGGTTTTGCATAAGGGGCGTGGCCGGAGGGCTGCCGGCGGGGGATTAGCGGCGCGGGGCTTTACGTAAGCGGGATTACCGCGGGGCCTCCGCTCCTCCGAGGGCGCCCACCGGCCGCAGCCCAGATGGGGGCCGCGGGCAGCAACCCCGCCGGGGAGCCGGCCGAGCGGGGCTTCCCCCCGAAGTTGCGGGTAAGGCCAGCCGAGCACGTGCAGAGCGCCTTCTGCGCCCCCGAATGGGGAGGGGGTCGCGGCTCCCGGCTCCCCCCCGCCGAGGAAGCCCTGGGGAGGGTGGGGGGTCCCGGGGTCGCGCAGCGGCGGGGAGGGGGAGCCCCGCGAGTTGGGGGGCTGCATGCCCGGGCGGGGGTCTCCGGAGGGCTCGCTGCCCTTTCCCCCCGCCCGGATTAAGACGAAGACGAAGCTGGGGGGGGGCTTCACCTGGAAAGGGGATCCTTGCCTGGGGGGGAGCGTTGAGGGGAAGGGGCGCCTGCTGGGTGCTGAGCCCCTCCTGCCCCTCCAGGGTCTCTCCCGAAAGACCCCCCCCGGCTTTAAGCCTCGGCTGCTTCCGTCAAGAGGGGCTCTGGGCAGAGGATGGGCATTGTAGTCCAGCCGGCTTTGCGCAGAGGGAGCCGAGCGGGGCTCCGGCCTTCCTGCGATTCTGCGCTCGCCCGAAAACCTGCGCTGCGTCTGGATCCCGCGCAGCGAGCGGTCTCTGCGGAAGCGGGGCTCCGCTCTGCGCCCCTCCCGCTCGGTGTGCTTGGCTGCTTCTCCCGGGACCGGCCTGGAGCCTCCCTCCCTCCCTCCCTCCCTCCCTTTCATCCTCACAACGGCCCTGCGAGGCAGGCAGGCAGGCAGGCAGGGAGAGGGATGGGCGATGCTTTGTGCCCGGCTGGGAAGGGAAAACGTGGCATGAAACGAGATTCGTGGAATTATTTCCGTGGCCCTCTCCTTCCGTGGCACTAAGCAGAGCAATGCAGGCAAAGGGGCTTTCACACCCACCCACACCCGAACCTCTCTAGCCCCTCAGTTTTAGGGGCACTAAATGACCCCAACTGGCTTGCAGCAGAGAGCCTGGAGTGTTGAGGAAGCCCCCCCCCAAAGTGTAAAAGTTGGCTGTGAGTCTCCCAAGCGATTCCTGCCCAGCTGCCTCTCTCACTTGGGGCCACTGCCTTCCTTTGAGCCCCCTCCTCGATTGAGGCAGGGGTCACCAGCTCTTCTGACTTCCCCAGCTCAGGAATGGCAGAGAGACCACTGGGTAGGTGGGGAGGGGAACACACTCGCACAGCACACCACTCCATGAGATCATGGACCCCCCCCCCCCCCCAAGAGGGGGGGGAGGTCCCCAGGCGCCGCCCCACCCCCCCCCCCCACTTGGTTCACCCCTGAAGCTTTGCTGGAGCCCCTACGCTGGGCTGGCTGAGGAATTCTGGGAATTGAAGTCCACATGCCTTAAAATTGCCAAGTTTGGAGACCCCTGCCTTACACACACAGACGAATACCAACCTCTCACCATACAGTAAGAGAAGCTGGAGGGAGAAAATGGGCTGCTTCAGGCATTGGGGGTCCCGGTTGGGGGTCCTGGACTGCTTCCCCCACCCAGTTCCTTCCTACTTACTTGTGCTTCAGTGGTTCAGGCCATCAGGGCTGGGGGGTGGGGGGGATCTTATACTGGTGATACCAGCAGGGGGAATCCCCCAGCAGAGGCTGACGGGGTTGGACTGAATGACCTCTAGGAACTTCTGAGTCCCCGCAACAAACCCCACCCACAGCAAGCAGTGCTGGATGCACACAAGACACCGATGGACTCCAGGGAGGCATTCACAATGAAAAAGAGGAGGGGGCTTCTGACCGAAGTCCTTGCCTGTTTGGGGTGCATTTCCCCCTAGATTGGGCTGATTTCAGGTGGTCCTGGATCCTTTCATTCTTCTTCTTATTTATAAAATTTATAGGCTGCCCATCTTACCTCAAGGAAACTCTTGGAGTTCTACAATCATAAAAAATAAAACTATAGAAATTAAAAACATAATACAGAATCCAAAACACTACAGCCAATTAATAGATGGGCAGGGTGGGAGCAGGATATGGGGCGGGGGAGGGAGGTGGGACCTTTCGTTGGAAGTTTTTTCTCTCCTGTTGACCCTTTTTGGGGGTCCCACTTCAGGCAGAGCCCCTCACGCACCCCTGTGTCGTTCCCCCCCCACAGGGCCATGGCACAGGCGCCCTGCCCGATGCTTTGTGGGTGCGAAGCTGGAAACGCCTCCTCTCCCACCTGGGTGGGACTCTGCTGGGTCTGGAGCAGGCCTTGGCCCCCCGAAGCCCCCCGAAGAGAGAGCTGGTGCAGGGAGACAAGAAGACCCCTGATATGGCGGGTGCCGAGTGGCCAACGGCCTCCCATGCCTCGCTCTTCCTGCCGGAGTTTCCTGTCCAGCCTCCACTGCAGCGGCAGCAACTCAAGGTGAGTGCCCGGATTCAGGAGGCGGGGAGGGGTCTTGTAGGGTGGGGGTCTGGGCCGTCACCCTTTTGCCTCTCTCTTGCCAGATTCTGGGCTTCCTGGCCAAGGGCACCTTTGGGACCGTCCTCAAAGTGCTGGACAGCTCTCAAGCGAAGGTCTTTGCGCTGAAGGTGAGCCTCCATCCCGTCTCCCACCCCTCCCACCCCCATTAAAGGTCTCAGGCCCCACTCATCCCCCCCCCATGTGTCTCCCACAGGTGGTGCCCAAAGTGGAGGTGCTTCGCAGGGACAGCGTGAGGCAGTGCAAGGAGGAGGTCAGCATCCAGGTGAGGCTGGGGGGCCTTGGGGGAGGGGGGGCTGGGTGGTGTTAGATCCCGGGGAGGGTCACAGGGGACCTAAACAGGGGTCTCAAAGCTGCCGAGAACTTCCAGCAGCAACACTGGGCTGACCATTTCAACTATAGAAGAATAATAGGATTGGAAGGGGCCTTGGAGGTCTTCTAGTCCAGCCCCCTGCAGAAGCAGCAGATCCTAGAGGCTCTTCTGGATCTCCTACACTGTGACCCGGTTGGCAAGATGGGGAGTATCATTCTGGTTTACTCGGCAGGGCTGTTGTAAGAATCCATTGGTGTTTATTATTTATTTACTATAGGTTTGCCCTGCCTTGATTGCTTTATAAGTAACTCAAGTATCTCCTCCTCCTATTTTTCTCATCACAACAACCCTGCGAAGTAGATTGAACTGTCACCCGGCCGGCTTTCATGCCCAAGGGAGGACTGGAACTCCCAGTCTCCTGGTGATTGACCTAATGTCACCCAGCCAACTTTCGTGCTTAAGGCAGGACTAGTTATCTGGTAGTCCGTCATTGAAATCAATCACTAATCAATATTGCTTTATTATTTGATAGCTTTATTAAGCCCATATTGCCTCGATCTCAGTCTGAAAAGCGACTCTGGCAGGGGGTGGCAAAGGCAGGTAGAAGAGAACGGTGCCACGTGTGCGAATTTACCAGACCCGGGTGCTAAAACTCCCATTTCATATACATATTTCAATATTCCCGGCAGGTTGCAATAATTAAATTTCAGCACAGGGAATGCCTTTAAAAACAAATGCTGGACTTTAATGACCCACCAAAGGCCAGTGAGAAGGACCACGCCAGTCACTCTTGGAGGCACTGGTTCTAAAGGCAGTGCCCCATGGACTCTATCCCTGTCCCAGTGATGCACAGCTTGAAAGGGGAGTGGGTTATCATCATCGTTTAACGACCCCATAATCCCTTGCAGGGTGGAGTCGGGGCAACTGAATGGAACTAACAGAGTGTTTCCTGGCCGGATGCCCTTCCCTGTTGCCAATGCGGAGTTTTGTTCAGCAGATACATTCTCATTGTGCCCAGAGAGAGAAATATCTGCCTCTACCTAGAATTGAACTCGCCGCCTCCTGATTGTGAAGCGAGAGCTGGCCCTGTTGCAGATGTTAAGTCCAGTCGTTTTTAAAGACTTTAAAGGAGACTGGGAATCTTAGCAACTGGAAGACCCATGGACTGCAACTGCAACCCAGAATTCTGGGAGTTGTAGTCCACGGATCTTCCAGTTGCTAAGATTGGACTGATTGATGTAGCTGGCTGGGGAATTCTGGGAATTGAAGTCTTAACAGTTGCCAAGCTTGGACACCCCTGTTTTTTACACAATGCACATCGGGGGGGGGGGGGGAAGGAAAGAAAGCCCCCCCCCCCAAATGCCAGCCTAAAATTGTCCTGCCTTTCTACAGAGTACGCACAAAAGACAGCTGCTGGGAAGCTTGCAGATTTCTTGCAATGGCTTTTATTATTTAACTGGAATGTCCTGTTCTTTTTTTAAGTCCCCAGCCTCATTCTATACGACCCCCAGCCCAAGATAGTGAACCCCCCAAATCTGGCTGGCCCTGACCCCCTGTTTCTCTTCCTTCCCCAGAGGCAGGTGCACCACCCGTTCCTCCACTGTTTAGGAGACAGCTGGCAGGGAAAACATCATCTCTTCATTAGTGAGTGAGCATCTGCCCGGGGGGCTTAGGTAGCCTAGAGACCCCCCCTCTTCCGTTCCTCCCACGTCCCTCTGCTCCTGTATCCCCCCCCCCTTTCCACAGGACGCTCCAATCCCCCCCTCCTTGGTCGGGATCATAAGGATTATTTCCTGCTTTCTGCAGCCATAAATCTCCTTCCCCCCTCCCTCCGTTCGGCCAATCCCTGCAAGCCCGCAATCTGTGGATTGTCCTTCATCTTTTGCAATGGGGTGGGGGTGGTGGGGCAACAAGCAGGATGAGCTGCCAGGCCTCATGAGTGAGGGGTCTCTGTTCTGCCCCCCTCCCCCCATGCTTTCCAGTGTGCAGCTACTGCAGCTCCGGGGACCTCTTCACGCTGTGGAAGACGGCCGGGCCCTTGGCCGAAGGTGCCATCCGACTCTTTGCCACGGAGCTGGTGCTGGTGCTGGGTGAGTGAGGGGCTGCCCCGGATGCTGCCCCTGAGATGATCTCTTGGGACTACCCGAGACTTCAGCCCTATATTCTTATTTTTATGCTGGTTATCTACTTTTATTATAATTAAGAGTATTATAAAAACCTTTAATTGTATTAAGTGGCAGTGCCCTCAGGAGGAGCAGCCCCACTTAATACAAGTATAAATCATTATTTTCATTTAAGGACCACATAATCCCTTGCGGGGTGGAGTCTGGGCAACTGAATGGAGCAAGATGAGTGTTTAATGGCCGGATGCCCTTCCTGTCTCCAATGCGGAGTTTTGTTCAGCAGATTTATTCTCATTGTGCCCGGAGTGTGAAATATCTGCCTCTACCTAGGATTGAACTCTCAGCCTCCTGATTGTGAGGCGAAAGTTCCACCTCTAAGCCACCACACCACTCCACTTAATGCAAGCATAAATAATAATATAATAATAATAAAATTCTTTATTAGCCAAGTGTGATTGGACACAGAAGGAATTTGTCTACGGTGCATAAGCGCTCATTGTACATACAAGCTATAAGTGATAAATTGTGATCACAATCATCGTAAACTTTAATTACAAGAAGCGAAAGGTGTACAGCTAGTCCTCGCATGAGCCCCAGATTTCCGTTGCTAGGTGAGGCCGTTGCTAAGTGAGTTTTGCCCCATTTTGCAACCTCTTGTGCCGCAGCTGTTAAGCAGATCGTTGCATTTAATGGAATCGGGCAGTTTTAACTTTGAATTTGACTTTGCTGCTCATTGGAAGCCAGCTGGGGAGGCCGCCCAGGGCGATCACGCGACCCCGGGATGCCAGAATGGTCATAACTGCAGGCCGTTTGCCAAGCACCCAAATTCGGATCATGTGACCATGGCGATGTTGTGACTTTTGAAGTTGAACCGCACCTTCCTCACATCTGGAAGAAGCTGGGATGATGGGGTGCTCTGAGCTGGGTGGTTTTCTTGCAGACGTTTCATGACCCAACTAGGGAACGTCATCATCAGGCTAGTAAGGAGTAGTAAATTGAGGGCAAATCCCCTTCTCTTCTAACCCTGATGACATTACTTAGTTCGGTCATGAAATGTCTGCACAAAAAGAACCAAAGATCAGAGAGCCCCAAGGACCCCACAGTCTTCTTCCTCCTCCTCTCCCCACACCCCACTCCCTCCCAGCACTGATGGTGTTACCTAGTAGGGTCATGAAATGCCAGAAAACCACCAAGCTCAGAGAGCCCCCACAGCTCAACCCCGAGTTACAAATATTCTCCTTTAATGACGCTCTTTTCTTTTGCAGCCTATCTTCACAACCAGGGTATCGTTCACCGGGACATCAAGGTACAGGACCCTCACCTTGTTTCCTGGCGTGGGCTCGGGCTGCGCAGGGCAGCTGCAAAGTATTTGCCCCCTATTTCGTTGCCAGCCCCTTAACCAAGCAAGTTTCAAGTTTCAAGCCCTTCTCCCGAAGGACTCAGGGCGGTGTACAGCCATATTAAAACACATAGATTTATAAAATTTAAAACCAAATTAAAATAAATATATAAAATTGGCCCACAGATTTAAAACACACATACGCCCATAATAAAATTCATATTAGGCCAGTCTGGCTTGCTGGAACAGGAGGGTCTTAAGGGCGTGGCGAAAAGTACGCAGGTCGGGGCTAAGACGGAGGGGGCAAGCACCCTCCTTAAGCAATTCTCCACCCCAGGAGGAGGAGGAGGAGGAGGTGGGGCTGCAGGAAATTAATCTGGGCTCCGTTGCTTCACTTCGACTATTATTATTATTTTTTTTTGCTTTCTCTGCAGATGGAAAACATCCTTTTGGATGAACAAGGTAAGGGGGGGAAGGGGGGAAGAGAGGGAGGGGAGGGGTCTTTGGTTGGCCTCGCAGCCTCATTTGGGGCCTCAGAAAAGGCTGGGGGGAGAGCTGACTTGGCTGCAGGGACGGGCAGTAAGTGGAACGCCCGCCAGGCAGCTGGGAAGGCTTGCGGGAGGCACGTGGCTGGTCCCCGTGAGGCTGGGATGCGCCAGTCTTAAACCAGCTGTTTAACCAGCTGTTCTGCAGCCCAGGAAGTCCGTGCTCTGAAAGAGAGACTCCTCCCCTCCCCCCATGCGTGGGGGCAAAAGAGGGGTCTCCCTTCTGCCAGGAGCCCCTTGGACCACAGCGGGGGAATTATGGCAACTTGGCCACCTGTAGACTTCAACTCCCAGGATTCCTGGTCCAGCCCATTCAGAGAGACCCCAGCCATGATTCCAAGTTACGACCAACCCCCCTCCCCAAAAGCAGACTTGTGACCCAGATCATTGGGCTGCCACTGCAGTCACGCCTCGGACGCTCGCCCCCCCCCCCCACCCCGGCCGTTTGCAGCATCTTGTAGTCACATGACCACATTTTAGGACAGTGGAAACTGGCAGTTCCTTCTGGTTTTCGGCAAAACTGAGCCCCTAGGTTCGCTTAACGACGCAGCGTTCGCGTAATGATTGCTGCAAAATTTATCATTGTGAATTTTTACCACTGTTACGGCTTACGACCGTTGTGGTTGGACTCTATTAAGGTCATAACTCGAAGGCTCAGAAATTCCGGCAGCTGAAGTCCACAAGTCAAGTTAGGTAGTCCTCCACTTACAACCGTTTGTTTAGTGACCGTTTGAAGTTACAACGGCACTGAAAAAAGCGACTTAGGACTGTTTTTCACACTTAACGACCATTGAAGCATCCCGATGGTCACGTGATCAAAATTTGGATGCTTGACTCACGTTTATGACGGTCGCCATGTCCCGGGGTCACGTGATCCCCTTTTGTGACCTCCTGACAAGCAAAGTCAATGGGGAAGCCAGACTCACTTAAGAACCGTGCTATTCACTTAACAACTGCAGTGATTCACTTAACAACGGTGACAAGAAAGGTCATAAGATGGAGAAAACTCAACAAATGTCTTGCTTAGTGACAAAAACGTTGAGCTCAGTTGTGGTCATAAGTCAAGGACTACCCGTTGTTGATCTCTCTCTCTCTTATGCCCCACCTGGCCCAGGTCACCTGAAGCTGGCCGATTTCGGGCTCTCGCGGCATCTGCCGTGGGGCAGGCAAGCCTTCACCATCTGTGGGACCCTCCAGTACATGGGTAAGGCAGTCGGCGGGAGAGGAGGGGGCAGCTGGGAGGGGGCAGCCGAGCAGCCGAGATCACTGACCCCCTTTGCTCTTCCTTTGGGGCAGCCCCAGAAGTGCTGAGTGGCGGTCCGTATGCCCACGCTGCCGACTGGTGGTCCCTGGGGGTGCTGCTGTTTGCAATGGCCACTGGACAGGTAAGGAGGGGAACGGGGAGTGGGGGTCTCTGGGCACCCCAAGAATCTGCCTCCGCCATCAGCCAGCCAGGTGGGTTTGCTGGAGGTTTTCAAGATCGGACAACCATTTGTCTGGGGTTGAGTGAGGACCCTTAAACCCTGGGCGGGGGGTTGGGCTAGATGACCTCCAGGATCCCTCGGATTCTATTTAATTTATCGCATTTCTATGCCGCCCAACTCCCAAGGGACTCTATGCTGAGCGCCAAAGAGACAGAGAGGGATGCAGGGGGCTGAGCCATCATGGTTCCACCGTGGTTTATTTAGGCTTCTTTGGTGCCGATGCCAACTTTTATCATTCTGCCTGGCTGTGCCAGGAGGGAGTGAAGGGGAGGGGTCTGCTGCCCTCTGCTTGTCGGATGGCTGAGTGGGCAGAGGGGCATGGGGTGAACGGGGTCTTTGCCTCCCCAGTTCCCTGTCTCCCCGGAGCGAGACCACCTGGCCATGTTGCGGAGCGTGAAAGGCAGCACGTATGCCATCCCGGCCGGGCTCAGCTGCGGCCTCCGTCTCCTGCTCAGCGAGGTGAGTTTCCTTGCTGCCCTCTCCAAGCCGCCCCCCAGCCCATTTGCATCCTCTTCCCTGGAAGCCCCTCTCCCCCCCACCCTCCAAATCTTACCTCCCAAATCTCTGGTTGCAGAGAGGGCTGCAGTGGGGGGTTTACAGGAGTCCTTCGGCTAAGTTGGAGAAAGTGTGCCAGCTCAGGGCCCCCTCCCTCCCCCCTCCCCCCCCGCAGGATTGAGGGAGGCCCACACCTGAACAATTCCTACTTATGTCAGCATCAGCCAGGTCAGGGGTCTCCAACCGTGGGAACTTTAAGACTTTGGGACTTCAACTCCCAGAATTCCTCAGCCAGCTCTAGGCACAAGACGTCCACAGTATTAAAGTTCCCACGGTTGGAGACCCCTGATTCAGGTGGTTGCCAGGTAACCTCCCTGCCCCCCTTTCTCTCCCCTCCAAGCTCTTGTGCCAGGACCCTCAACGCCGGCCCTGCCGTCTTCACCACTTCCGTGCCCACCTCTTCTTCCGTGGCATGAGCTTCGATGCCGACACCCTCAGGAAGCAACCGGCAGATTTCGCCCTGCGCTGGCAGCAACTGCAGAGCCCCCCAATGGACCCCGCTGCCTTCTTGGAGTTCGACTGTGATCTGGGCGGGCCCTGAGCCACCGGCATTCCCAAGGGACGCAGCGCCCCAGCGGTGCCCGCGAGATACTCTGGGCAGGCACTTCTTGGCGTGGATCCTTGGGCTGAAACCCCACCGTAGACCCCCAAGGCGGGTCCCCCGTTACCACCAGCAGGATGTGGGCACCGGTTTCCTTCTTTCCAGCCCTCGTGGTGCTTTTTGGGAAGGCTTGGGGTGGGGTTTGGGGACCACCAATATTGGGGATCGGAAGAGGCAGATTTGCAGAGCAGGATGGGAGGAGGATGGGACCCCAAAGGATGGGAATATTCTCTTCTTCCTACTGTTTATATATTGTTACAGGTAGTCCTCGACTTACAACAGTTCATTTAGTGACCGAACGGCACTGAAAAAACCGACTTAGGTCTTAAGGGACTTAGGGACTTAAGCCAGATTCACTTAACAGCCGTGTTCCTAACAATTGCAGGGATTCACTTAGCAACTAGGGCAAGCAAGGTCATAAAATGGGGCAAACTCACTTAACAACGGTTTTGCTCAGCAACAGGCTCAATTGTGGTCGTAAGTTGAGGACTATCTATACTGGTTCAGTCTTCTTTTTACCAGTTTTACAGACTACATCCATGCTTTGCAGTGGGTTTTGCTCACACCGGAAATCTCTTTTTGGGGTCTCTGCAGGGGTCCCTGCTTGGTCTTCAGGGGGAGGGGAGACTGTTCAGGGTCTGGGGGTGCTACTCAGGGTTTACACAATAAATAGCTCCTCCTGATCCAGGGGTATCGAACCTAAGAACTTTCAGACTTGTGGGTGTCAACTCCCAGAATTCCCCAGACAGCTGGCCATGGAATTCTGGGAGTTGAAGTCCACAAGTCTTTTAAGTTCCCACGGTTAGACAGCCCTGCTCTAATCCTTGCCTAAGTTCCTTAAAAACAAACCAGCAAAATGAATCCCTTGCAATCCTCTGAGCCAGGTTTCTCTTTAGGATCTAGTTTTTCACACTTTCTTCTTTCCCCCCACTTATGTTGATGTTGTATCACGGTTTATGTTAGCACACACACACACACACACATACATATGTCTTTTCCCATTAGTTCAAAGCAATAAAAGACTTTCCTAAAAGTGTGATTCTTTGCCGTCTTCCCCAGCACAGAGGAGACATTTCCAGACCAAATGTTTGCGGATCCAAATTGGCCTCATTTTTTTTATTTTGGGGGGTGGGGTGGGGGGACAGGACTAAGGCTCTTTTACGACCTGTGGACTTCAACTCCCAGAATTCCTGGGAGGCTCTAGGGATTCTGGGAGCTGAAGTCCGCAGGTGGTAAAGTTGCCCTAGCTTCCTCACCCCTTGCCTTAAGATTCTTTCTCGGCCCACTCGCTCCAACTGGTCACCGAGTCAGAAAAATCATTTTAAAATTTTATTGTGCCGTTTCAGCTAAAAGAGGGAAAACGGGACAAAGGCTGAGCTTTCCGTTTTATCTTCTGTTCAGTAGGACATAAAAAGGACAGAAGAAGAGTGGGTTGGGTCCAAAAATCCCCCCCCCCAGTTATATCAGAAATATAACGGAATTGGAAGGGACCTTGGAGGTCATCTAGTCCAACCCCCTGCTCAAGCAGGAGACCTGATCCCATTCCTGACAAATGGCTGCCCAGTCACTCTCTTCTTGAAAGCCTCCAGTGATGGAGCACCGTAACATCTGGTGGCAAGTTGTTCCCCTGGTTAATTCTCACTGTCAGGAAATTTATCTTGACTTCTGGGTTGCTTCTCTCTTTCCTAATCTCCCATCAATTCCACCCCGTCCTGCCTTCAGGTGCTCTGGAGACCAAGCCAATTCCGCACGGAGAGCCCTTGGTGGTTAATGACTTTCACGCATCTAGTTTTCTGGGCAACCTTTATTTCATTCCCACGTTATGAGAGTATGGTAAACGTTTGTCAAATAATTTTGCCTACAAATTCGAAATTCCTCGGCCTTCGCTTCTTTCCGCGGCGGGAAAATAACGTTTATTCAAGACGCGTGTCGAGTAATTCCCACGACCCTCCCCTCTCTAGTCCCGGGGAAACGCCTTCCGTCTCTAGCTCCAGGCAAACATCTCTCCTGCTGCTTAGAAATAACATTTACTCGCCACCATTAGGAGCCGCAAGACGCGTGTCGGAGCATTCCCACGATTCGGGAAGTGAGCGGCAGGGAGGGAGGGGGAGAGAGCCGCGCACACGTGTCTTCGGAAACTGTAGCGTCCCCGCCAATCAGCATCCTGGAAGAGGGCCTCTGGGCGTGGCTTCGCGGCGGGCCCCTCCCCTCCGCCCAAAGCCAATCAGAGGCCGCGAGGCGGCGGTTTCATTCAAAAAAAACCCGCGGCGGCGGGGGTCTCCTTGCCCCCCCCCCCCCCCCCCCCGGGGCGGGGGGGGCTGTGGGCCAGGGGGGGGCGGGCGCGGGGGGGGTTGGGGGGGGCTTCCCAAGGGGCTGGACTGCCAGACCCATCCTCCCCAGGAGGTTTTCCGGGGGGGGGAGGGGAGGGCTGCCTTTCTCCCCCTCCCTGCAGTCTCAGCTGCCGCCTCCCAGCTGTTTTTCTGGAGTCCCAAACCTCTGGAGGGGCGCTTCATTGGGGAAGGGGACGCGTGTTCGGCTGACCTGCGTGTCGGGGCGAGAAACGAGGCTTCTCTTCTCTGGGGAAAACGTGAAACGGGCCGTGTTTCCTCTCCCGGCTGAGAGTGAGTGGGAGGGCGGTGGGGGCCCTGAAAGTCTTGAGGACTAGAAACCTTCATCTCCTCAACCTGCTTTGGGACCTCCCCCCCCCGCCCCACCCCGTGGTTTCCTCCTCCCCAGGTAGACTGTGCTGTGCAAAGGCCCTCCGCAGCCCCCCCCCCCACCCTTAACCTCCTGCTGTTTGACCGCAGGACTCAGCGGCTCCCTCTGCCCAGAATGGGCCCAACGGATCCCCCACACGTGGTACCATCTCCTGGACGGCCCCCCTGGTCTGGCTGGAGCAGCTCCTGCCCGCTTCGCCCATGCTGGCTGACCTCCGTCGCAGCCTCTCAACTGGGGGCCCCCAGCAGGAGGAGGGGCTCACCCGGACCCTTGAGCTCGGGGCCACTGCCAGCCCTGTTTCCCCGGGGTCTCACGAAAGCCCCTGCCTGGCTCCGGCCTTGCTGCAGGACCACCGTACCAGCACGCCTCTTTCGGGGGCGTCTCCTGGAGCCTGGGCAACCCCCACCAGCTGCCAGGACTTGGGGCCCAAGACCCCCTTGGAGCAGGCTGGGCCCATCGCCTCGCCCTGCTTGGCTGCCCCGGAGGCTGATGCCACGGCTTCACCGGAGGACCAGGAATCGCCTGTCGTGTGCCAGGACCCGGGCACTGCCTGCATCTCCCTGGCCGGCTGCGGGTGCCACAGCCTCTGGGGGTCTCCTCTGAGCGTCCTGAGCGATGGACTTGGGGTCTCTCCGGCCGGGAAGGAGCCCTCTTGGCAAGGCCCCAAAGGGATGAGCACCAACCCTCCCTGCCTCACCTGTGCCCGAGCCTGCCTCCCCCAGCAGAATCAGGGCACCGGCATCACCCCCGTCTCCGTGGCGTCTGCAGCTGCCTGCACCTCCCAGCTGAGCCTCCGGGAGGCTGGAGTGAACACCTCCCCTGCGGAGAAGGCCACCACCACCGACAACACAGCCGAGACCGACTCCCTTCTCTGGCAGTAAGTCTTGCTGGCAGGGCCTGGGGCACACGGGCCCTTCAAGGATGGGGCCAGGAGGGAAACTGAGGCAGCCACGCCTCTTTCTCTCACTCTTGCTGGAGAGTTTGGGGCAAGGGAGAGGAGGGGGTGGGGGGTGGGCAGGGAGTGCAACGGGCAACCGAACTGAGGCTGGTGGTGTGATGGGGCAGCCTAATCATTCCAGGGTGCCTGGCACAATTTTCTTTTATTGAGATTTTTCACCCACCTTTATTACTTTATAAGTAACTCTGGTAATTTTCCTCCTCCTCCTGTTTTTCCACAACCACCCTGTGAGGTGGAACTGGCTTCCATGCCTAAAGGCGGGACTAGAACTCACCGTCTCCTGGTCTCTAGCCCAGCACCTTCACCTCCAGACCAAACCAGCTCTCAGTTCTTCCACAATCTCCCCATTGCAACAATGACTCCTGTGACTGGCTGGCCCAAGGGGTTGCAACAGCCCATAATTTAGTTTTTTATTTATTATTATTATTTTGCAATGGGACCAGAGCACTATTCTACTAAAGCAGTAGACTTTAAGATGGGTGGACTGCAACTCCCAGAATTCCCCAGCCAGCTGTGCTGGCTGGGGAATTCTGGGAGTTGAAGTCCACTCATCTTAAAGGTGCCACCGTTGAGGAAGTCTAGAGTAACATGGTTAGAGAGATGGTTTACGGAAAAGGGTTCAGCCAGCAACAGCCGTGGTCTACCTTCGCCTTGGCTGAGAGCCAAGAGGGGGGCTACATCTGGGCAGGACGTGGATGGGGGACCCCGAAATTCCAGGGCGGTTGGGGTTAAATTGGAAATTCAGGATCCAGAGATATTTCTTAGCAGGCGCCTCTTCCAGACCTATCACCCCTTTGCACCCATAGCCTGGGGGGAGCCCCTCCCCCCCGCCTAGATTGAGTGGGGGGTCCTGTCTCCTCAGTTGCTCCCGGGACCAGCTGAGCCACCTCTCCCGGGCGGAGCTGGAGGGGCGCCTGGAGAGCACCCTGATCATCATGGAAGCCCTCTCGCACCAGATCCGGGCCGCCCAAGACTTCCGGCGATCGGCAGCCCCGGTGGGGCCAGCGGACCAGAGGGACGCGGCCACCCAGACCCCCACGGCCGACTCCAGCCAGGTAAGCGGGGGAGGAGGGTGACCTGCGGGGAATGTGAGTTTGATGGGCAGGTCCTCCAGTGGGCAGTGCTGCCCCAGGCACGCAGGGGCTGTCCCTGATTTGGGGGGGGCTTTCCTTGGGATTCGAGGCACCCACCCCTCCCTCAAAAACCCAACAGCTCAGAGGGTGTGGATGAGGGGTGAAGCCTCTTCCTCCCCTGAGATTTACAAACCCCGCCCCTCCTCCCCATGAAGTGAAAGGGATGGCACAGAAGGGTATACAGGTAATCCTCAATTTACAACAGTTCATTTAGTGACCCTTCAACCTCAGACTTACGACTGTGTTTCACACTTACAACTGTTGCAGCATCCATATTCTTCCTCCCCCCCCGCCACCCCAGTGGTCACCTGATGAAATTTCATACACTTGGAAACCAACTCGTATTTATGACGCTTGCATTGTCCCGGGGTCATGTGACTCGCTTTTGCGACCTTCGGACAAGCGAAGTCAAAGGGGAAGCCAGATTGACTGAAGAACGGATTCACTTAACAACTATGTCAAGAAAGGTTGCAAAATGGGATGAAATTCACTTAACAAATGTCTTGCTTAGCGACAGAAATTTGGGGCTCAGTGGTGTTTGTGAGTCGAGGACTGGGTGTGTTTGTGGCGGGCAGGGTAGACCTGTGGGAGGGGGGGGGGCTGGACCTGCACCCTCGTGTGCACCCCAGGCCCCTCTTAAACCCAGACAAGCCTCGTTGCTTATTGGGGTGGGTATCTTGTGCACCCCAATCCTGGGAATTTGGAGGCATCCAGAATAACCCAATAGGGGAGTACAGATAGTCCTCGACTTACGACAATTGAGCCCAAAATCTGTTACTAAGTGAGACATTGAATGAGTTTTGTACCATTTTACGACTTTCCTTGCCTCCTCTTGTTAAGTGAATCACTACAGTTTTTAAGTTACTAAAATCGTCGTTAAGAGAATCTGGCTTCCCTGTTGACTTTGCTGGTCAGAAGGCCGCAAAGGGGATCACGTGACACCCCACCCCCACCCCTGGGACGCTGCGTCCATCATAAATACGATCCAGTTTCCAAGTGTCCGGATTTTGATCAGGTGACTGGGGCTGCTGCAACAACAGTCGTAAGTGCAAAAAACGGGCATAACTCTGAAGTTGAATGGTCACTAAGACACTGAAACTCTTTATTTGCCAAGCAGCTGAATTCTGATCACGTGACTATGGGGAATGCTGCAATCGTAGTGAAAAACGGTTGTGAGTCACTTTTTCCAGTGCCGTTGTAACTTCGAACGGTCACTAAATGAAACCATTGTAAGTCCAGGACTCCCTGTCCCTTCCACTACACAGGGAGTTGAGGGTCTTTCTTTCCTAGATGCCCAAGCTGAGGCAGTCCTGACAGTCCCCCTTCACCCCTGGCCAGCCCCTCCCCCGTGTCCCATTCCCCTCCGGCTGGCCTGAGGGTCTCGTGGGGTCTCCTTTGGCAGGCGGAGGAGCGGCTCTACCACAAACTCTACCTGGAGCAGCGGCTGCGCTTCCACTCCCTGCAGGGCCGCCAGAAGAACCTGCAGGGCCTCGCCCAGAAGCTGGAGGGCGCCAGCGAGGAGATGGCAAGTACCCAGGCCCGGCTCAAGCTTGGGGAGGGCTTCCCTGTTGGTTCTCAGCTGCGCACAGAAACCCTCTACGGGTAGTCCTCAATTTATGGCTGGACAGTTAACGACCGTTTGAAGTTACGGCGTATCTCGGGGTACAGGTAATCCTCAACGACAGTCACTTGTAGTTAAGTGAGTAACAGAGCCTTGGTACTACAGTGGTTTAAAGCACCCTGTTATTAACACAGCTGCCTGCAATTTACTGCTGGTTCGAATCTCACCAGGCTCAAGGTTGACTCAGCCTTCCATCCTTTCTAAGGTAGGTAAAATGAGGACCCAGATTGTGGGGGCAATAAGCTGACTTTGTATAAATATACAAAAGGATGAAGGCTATTGCTTAACGCACTGTAAGCCGCCCTGAGTCTCCGGAGAAGGGCGGCATATAAATCAAATTAAAAAAAAAACAAAAAAAAACATGGTCGGTCATTAAGTGAATCTGGCTTCCCTGTTAGGTGGCCTGACCCCGCAAGGACTCTGCAACCGTCATAAATATGAGTCAGCTTCTAAAGCGTCCAAATTTTGATCATGTGACCGTGCGGAGGCTGCAACGGTCATTAAGTGTGAAAAACAGTCATAAGTCACCCTTTTCGGTGCCGCTGTAACTTGGAACGGTCACTAAACGAACTGTCGCAAGGACTCTGTGCAGGACTTACAACAACCTGGTTGCAAAGTCCCGATGGCTGACACCCCACCCCCACTTTCATCAATTACGGGGGACCCCAAAAAAGCTTGCTATTTATGAATCGGTATTTACCGTATACCGCATTGTGTAATGCTAGAAGAAAGAAGGCTTGTTTATTATTGAAGAACGGACAAGAACGAAGTTGGATTGATTATTTTCAAGCAATAACTGGTTTAAATAGTTATATTCAGATATGAACAAGGGGAGTTAAAAAGGGAGATAAATCTATAGATAGTTAGCTTATGTTTTTTTTTATATGTTTGTTAAATGCTATATCCTGTATTTGCTCTGGGAAGTCGGGGGGGGGGAGGAAAATATGTGTAAATTTTTTAAAAACTTTTTAATTAAAAAAAATTAATTGGATGCATTGCTAGAATATTTATCCACTGAATGATGCAAAAATAACAGTATTAAACCCATTAGATAGAGAGTCCCATATTTATTATGGGGGGGAAAGCTTTTTTTTAAAAAAAAAAAAACAGACAAAAATGATGAGAAAAAATGACATTGTCTTCAGTTTTATAAACACCGTCTTCCAGCAAATAATTTCGGTTTTGATTTTGACCTGGGAGACCCCCTCCCCACCCAGGGGTCTTTGGACCACTCCAAGCTTGGCCACTTGAAGACCTGTGGACTTCAACTCCCAGAATTCCTCAGCCAGCAAAGCAGTTCTGGGAGTTGGAGTCCACAGGTCTTAAAAGGGGCCCCAAGGGAAGAACAGCCACTGCCTTTTGCTGGAGTGGTAACCGGCTTCCCCCCTCCCCGTTCTGCTCATCAGAAGCTGGCAGGTTCCCCTCTTTGCTGCTGGGGGCCAGGCAGGGTCCTTGTGCGTGGGGTGGGGGGGTCCGAAGGTCCAGCTGCCCCTTCTTTGCGCCTGGATTGAGTGTGTGCTGTAAGCCTCCCTTTCCCAGCCCTGGGATGGCTGCAGCCACGGTGCCCGGAGCATCCCAAGCGTGGAGGGTGCCATGCGTGGGGAACGGGATCAATCTCCGGTGGGCCACTTCCCTCCCCCTGCCCAGCCCAACAGGTCCCCTCTCCCCTCCCTCCCTCTGCAGAGAACGTGGTCATCCGATTCCAGGCAGCTCCAGGCCAGGGTGGACACCGCCTTCCAGCAGCTCCAGCATGACCGGAGGTCTCTCTGCCAGCAGGTGAGCATCCTTTGGCCGTGGGGGAGGGGAAGGAGAGTGGCCCTTCCTTCCTTCCTTCCTTCCACTTTTCTCATCTCCTTCCTTTCCCTTTCCTTCCTCTTTCACCCTTGTTCTTCCCTCTGTCCTGCCCTCCTTCTCTTTTTCTTCCTCTCCTTTCTCCCTCCCTTCCTCTTTCCTTCCCTTCCCTCTTCCTTTCCTTTATCCTTTCTTTTCTTCCTTCTGCCTTTCCCTCCTTCCTTTCCTCCCCCTTTCTCCCTTTATTCCTTCCTTCCTTCCACTTTTCTCATCTCCTTCCTTTCCCTTTCCTTCCTCTTTCACCCTTGTTCTTCCCTCTGTCCTGCCCTCCTTCTCTTTCTCCTTTTCTTCCTTGCTCCCTTCTTTTCTTTCCCCTCCCTCCCTCCCTCCGCTGGCTGAATGCCCACCTGTTCCCCTCCTGCAGCAGAAGCAGATGGGCCGTCTGCTGGTTCAGGGCAGGGCCCAGGTCCAGCACTGGGGCCAGAAGCAACAGGAGATGGGCCGGGAGCTGAAGGCGGCCCTGAAGGCGAAGGACGCGGTAAGAGAGAGATGGGCCTGGGTCCCCCCCACCCCAAAGCTGAGCCTGGGTGAAAGCTGGCAAGATGCCAGCCAGACACCTCCAGCCCTCCCCAAGGGCCCCATGCATTGGGGGAGGGGGGGGGCTGGCAAATGCTGGGCATTGGTACCAGGGGCAGGATTGCAGGGGCTGCCTGAGATGGGGGAGGGGGGGTTGCATCCCTGGCTGCCAATCTGCTGACCCAGGAGTGTGCCTGAACAGGTAGTCCTTGACTTACAAAAAATTCATTTAGTGACCAAAGTTACCTGGGCCCTGAAACAAGGGTCTTTTCACACGTAGGACCGTCCCGGCATCCTTGGGGTCATGTAACTGGCTCCTCTTTATGACGGTTGCAGGTCCAGAGTTTAGGTCATCCCCCTTTTTAGAACTCCTGAGCAGTCCAGGGGGAAGACACGTTTCACTTAACAACCCAGTTAGCAGCTTAACAGCTGCGCTGATTCATTTAACCATGGTGGCACGAAAGGTCGTAAATCAGAGCAAAGCTCACTTAGCAACAGAAATTTGGGGCTCTCTTGTGCTCGTAAGTCAAGGACCGCCTGTCACGTCCCGTGGGGGCTGAATGTGGCTTGGGGGCTCGGGCAGAGACCTCACCGGGGGGGTGGGCTGCCCTTTTCCCTTGCAGGCCAACCTGGTCCGGGAGTCGGTGCAGGCCGGTGCTGCCACCAAGATCCGGAGGCTGGAGCTGAGTGCCGAGTCCCGGCAGCGCTTGTGGGCCCTGCTGCAGAAAGCAAAGGCGCTTGAGGTGGGGGGATGGGGAGGGGAAGGGTTGGGGATCCGGGCGGGGGGGTTGCTTGCTCCCTCCAATGTCTGCAGCTCCCTCTGCGCCCCCCCCCCCCCTTTTGCAGGTGGATCTCTTGTCCGGATACGGCCGCCATGTGGCCAAGGGAGACAGCCTTGCGGCAGCCCTGCAAACTGACTGGGCTCAGATGCGGCTGGATGTGAGTGCTGCCCACTGACCTCTGACCCCCCCCCCCTCTCTCAGAGCCTCTGTGCACTGACGGGGGGCTTCTCGGTCTCGTCTCTTTTCCCCACCCACGCACCCCCACTCCCACCCCACAGTACCAGGGGTACCGCAGCATCGTCGGCAAGTGCCTCGTGGCCAACCGGAAGATGGCGGAGGAAGTGGAGGCCGCCCGGACTGAAAGCGCCCGGCACCAAGAGGCAAGGCTCTTTCCTGGGAGGGCTGGCAGAGGCGGGGGGGGCTGCTTCAATCCTTATTGAGACCCACATGGCTGGAGCTACAACTTTGTGGACACTGTGCCAGAGGACCAGCTCTACAGGTAGTCCTCAACTTACGACCATAAATGGAACCCACCATTTCCGTTGCTAAGCGAGACTGTTGCTTCGTGAGTTTTGCCCCGTTTTACGACCTTACTTGTTACAGTTGTTAAGTGAATTGCTGCAGTTGTTAACTTAGCAACACAGGTGTGAAGTGAATCTCATTTCCCCCTGGACTTTGACCGACGTTACCACACCAGGGGAAAAAAGTGACTCGGGACCATTTTTCACACTTACGACGATTGCAGTGTCCCCACGGTCACATGATTGGAATTCAGACACTTGACAACTGACTCGCATTTACGACGGTCTCCGTGTCCTCGGGTCATGTGATCCCCTTTTGCAACCTTCCGACAAGCAACCTCAATGGGGAAGCCAGATTCACTTAACAACAGTGTTACTAACTTAACAATTGCAGTGATTCACTTAACTGTGCAAGAAAGGTCGTAAAATAGGGCAAAACTCATTTAACAACGGTCTCACTCAGCAACAGGAACTTTGGGCTCAATTGTGGTCGTAAGTCGAAGACTACCCGGTGCTGGTTCACTCTTCTTTTTACATCAGTTTACAGACTTGTGTCCACTCCTTGCAGTGAGCTTTGCTCGCTGTCTCTCACCGGAAATCCCTTTTGGGGGTCTTTGCTTCTCTTCCCTGGGGAAAGCGTGAAATGGGCCGTTTCCTCTCTGGGTAGAGAGTCTGTGGGCGGTGGGGGCCCTGAGGACTAGAAACCTGGAGCCTCTTAACTCCTAGCAACAGAAATGTTGGGCTCCATTGTGGTCGTAAATCGAGGACTACTTGTATCTTTTGAGCTGCTCCCTTAATTCTTCCCCATCAACCATGCTCCACAACTCGGACCTTCTGAGAATCCTGGACACAGGAAAGGGGTGGGTTCCCCCCTTTTTTTCTCTTCATAGCAGGGGTCTCGTGGACCCTCTCCCCAGCATTCCTGCCCCCTTTGGCAAAATGGCCCTTTGGGAAGGGGGGGAGGACAGGGCTGAGCTGACCCCGTATCCAGGGACGAGCATCTCTGGACTCACCCACTCAGACAGGCAGGGACTACAATGCCCATGCCCTCCGTGACGTGTGCAGGTGTGCCAGAAGCTGGAGGAGACGACGGTAGAACTGGTCGAAGCGCTGGGCCGGGTGAACGAGCTGGTGGAGACCAACACGCGGCTGGACCGAGGTGAGCCCCCACGACGGCGGCCAGCCCTGCACCTGGTTCAAAGCAGGCGCCGGGAATTGGGGTGCGTGGCCAGGAATGCTGGGCCTGGAGCAGAGAAGTTGCAAAAGTTTTGCTCCCAGAGCTCGACCACAGACGGTGGAGACTGAAGCTGACTCTTGTTATGGGGCAGGGCAAGATCTCGGGTCTCCTTCTGACCTCTGCCCTGTCCACAGACCTCCAGGCCGCTCTGGAAAAAGGGGCGGCCTCGGAAGAGCAGCTGCAGCAGCTGCGGGAAGAACAGCTGGAGCTCACCCAGCGGCTGGAGGAGAAGACGACGGCCATCCAGCAGCTGCAGGACGAGGCTGCCAGGTGAGTCCTGGTGTGCTGGGAGGGTCTCCTTGGCTGCTTCCCCCAACCTGCTGCCCACCAGATGTTTTCAGCCAAAATTCCAGCTCTGGATGGGCTGGCATTGGTCTATGGTCTTTTTGTTTATTTAATTTCACCTGGGAATTATTTATCAACCGTGGCCCCTTTAAGACCAGCGGACTTCAACTCCTGTGCTGGCTGGGGAATTCTGGGAGTTGAAGTCCGCTGGTCTTAAAGGGGCCACGGTTGGACACCCCAGTCTTGGATAAAGGGACCCCAACCCTAAGGGCTGCCCCCCTTGCTTCCTTCCCTGAGGGTGGGAATCGAGGGGGCAGAGGCAGCCCCATTCCCCCAAAGACTGTGGGGAGACCCTCTTCTAGCAGTTAGGGGCTTCTGGGGAGGCAGCAGCTGTGAAGACCCCCTGGTCGTTTGGTGGGGGGTGAAACCCTGAACATGCTTTCCATTTCACCATCGATCGGTTCACCCATTGGACGGAAGTAGTCCTCGACTTACAACGGTTCATTGAGTGACTGTCCGAAGTTACATCTCCACTGAAAAAAGTGTGATTTAGGACTGTTTTTCATACTTACGACGTTGCGGCATCCCCGTGGTCACATGATTAAAATTCGGGCCACTGACTCATATTTATGACGGTCGCAGTGTCCCAGGGTGACATGATCCCCTTTTGTGACCTTCCGACAAAGGGGAAGCCAGATTCACTTAACAACCGGGTGACCAACTTAACAACTGCAGTGACACCACTGTGCCCAGAAAGGTCATAAAATCCAACAAAACTCACTTAAGGACTGTCTCGCTTAGCAACAGAAATTTTGGGCTTGATTCTGGTCGTAAGTCAAGGACTGTCCTGGCTTGCAAACCGGCTTTCGGATACTTGGAGTTGCACAGACTCAGCCAGCCGGATTCATTCAATGGGATTTCGGGCGGCTTCTCCCACAGGCTGGCACAGGAGAAGGAGAGGGCGCAGCAGGAACGGGACGGTGCCCAGCGGGACTTTCGGGAGGCTTTGGATTGCCGCGAGGTAGGTTGGCAGCCGAGAGAGGGAGCCGGCAGTGGTGGGAGGGAGGGAGGGGAGACCTGGCTGCCATGGGCCTTATTTTGGGATGCTCTTCTTTTCTTTCCCCCCCCCCCCCCCCCCCCCCCCCCCCGCTCTGCAGTTTCTCGAGCAGGAGAACCAGGTTGCCCGCCGCCAGCTGAGCGAGACGGAAGAAGAGCTGAAGGCCAGCCTCTCCGCCCTGCGGGAACGCGGCAGCCAACTGGAGGACCTCAAGGATGCCCGCCAGAAGCTCCAGTAAGGGTTGGGCTCTCCCGCTGTCAAACCCCCTCAGGGTGGGCAGCCGAGCCCAACCTCTGACCTCTTCCTCTCCCCCTCCCTTCCCTTCAGGCAGGAGCAGGAGTCGCTGCGCGCTGAGCTGGATGGCGCCAGGGCTGAGATCCAGGACACCAAAATGGGCCTGGAGGGGCTTTTCCGGGCCGTGCTGGAGTTGGGGGGTCTCCACGCCCAGTTCCTGGAGGCTGCCAACATTCTGCAGACGGGCCGGCCAGGCGAGGTAGGAGAGGCCCATTTTTCTGGCCGTGTGGGTGGCCCCTGATTTTCTCACGAAGGGGGCCCCTCAATTCCGGCTTGTTTCCCAGGCAGCCCAAGTGGCCCCCCAGAACAGCACATGCACTCCGGCCCGGCGCACCCCCCACCGCCCGGGGGTCTCCTTGGTGGACAGCGTCCTTCGAGCTGCGTCCCAGGGAGGTGAGCGATCCCGGAAGGAGGCCGCTTCTTGATTCCTAGAGTGGCTGCCATGGGGTTTTGTCCTCGACTTACGACCACAATTGAGCCCCAAATTTCCCTTGTTAAATGAGACATTTGTTAAGTGAGTTTTGCCCCATTTTACAACATTTCTTGCCACCGTTGTTAAGTGAATCTTAAGTTAGTTACATAGTTAAGTGAATCCGACTTCCCCCTTGACTTTGCTGGTTGGTTGCAAAAAGAGGATCACGTGATCCTGGGAACTGCGACCGTCATAAATACGAGTCAGTTGCCAAGCGTCTGAATTTTGATCATGTGACCATTGCAAGGGTCGTAAGTGTGAAAAACGGCCATAAGTCCCTTTTTCCAGTGATGTAACTTCGAACGGTCACTGGTTGTAAGTCGAGAACTACTTAAATCCAACTTCTGCTGTTTGGGGGAGTTTCTCAAAGGAGGAAATCTTGGTCTCTTTCAGCCCCAAAGACCCCGGGCCTCTGGAGCGAGACCAGCGCCTTTATGCGCGCAGCCCCGGCACCCCCTCCCCAGCTCTCAGGTATGAACGATTAACCAGGGGAACCGCCTGCCTCTGGGAGTTGTGGGGGCTCCAGAAGAGACTGGACAGCCTTTTGTCTGGAATGCTCTAGGCTAGGGGTTGGACTAGAGGACCTCCGAGGTCCCTTTTGACTCTGGGATTCTGTGGTTCTGACTCCTTGCTCTGGGACGACCCCGATGACCGGACTCTCTCTGCAGATATTCAAGCCTCCCTGGCCAGTCACACCCAGGACCTGCGCCTGGCCGTGGAGCAACTGCGCCTCCTGGCCAGGCGTTGCCAAGAAGACTTTGGAGAGCTGCGGGCACAGAGGTGAGCATGGGCTGGAGGGAGGGGCGGGTCCCTGGCTCTGCTGGGCTGGGAATGGGGGGGGGGTCTTCCTGCCCCTTCTCCAGGGCGGAAGCAGCTCTGCTCTGAGCTCCCTCTCTCCGGGCAGTTTGCAGATGGAGCAACAGCTGGAAGCGTCTCAAACGCAGCACCAGGCGGAGATGGAGGCTTGCCAAACCGCCCAAATCAAGCTCAGCAAGATTCTGCACCTGAAGATCCAGGTGTGCTGGGGGGAGGGGGCTGCATGGCCTGGGACCCTCTAGCCCACTGCTGTCCAACCTTGGCAGGTCTGGCTGGGGAATTCTGGGAGTTGAAGCCCCCAAGTCTTAAAGTTGCCGTAGTTGGACCCCACTTCTTCAGCAGGCCAGAAAGATGTTTCTTCCCAATCCTACAGGGATTTCTCTTATTAAACGGTTGTTCTAAATGTAAGGTTCTAGTCCTCATGCTTCATTAGGGAACATCTGAGTTTCCCACAGCACACGAAAGCCGTGATTTGTCAACTCAGCCAGAAAAGTCTCGTTCGTGCCAAGCTATAAGCCAAAACAGAGGCTGGCCAGAGCAGAGGGGGGTGATAATAGATGGTTATAATAACCGAGAGCTTTCAAGCTTAATAATAGGTTACCCTCGAGGTCCCTGATGGCAAACCTTTGGCCACAGGTGGCACACCGAGCCTTCTCTGCGGACATGTGAGCCGTCACCCCAGCTCAGCTCCTCCACGCATGCATGCATGTCTCCCACTGGCCAGCTGATTTTAGGGCCTCTGCCGCCTATGCACAGGGGTGGGGTGCATGCGGGAGATGTCTACACATGCACAGGGAATCTGAATGCCTGTGCGGGGGTTGCATGTACATGTGGGGGGACTGGCCACATGTGTGGCGGTTACAAATGCATGCACAGGGTGGGGCGCACACGCATTGCATTATGGTGGGTGGGTGCACGTGTGCGTTTTTTTTTATTATTATTATTATTATTATTATTTTGGTTTGATTTATATGCCGCCCTTCTCCGGAGACTCAGGGCGGCTTACAAGGCGTTAAGCAATAGCCTTCATCCTTTTGTATATTTTATACAAAGTCAGCTTATTGCCCCCACAAACTGGGTCCTCATTTAACCTACCTTAGAAAGGATGGAAGGCTGAGTCAACCTTGAGCCTTGGAGAGATTCGAACTAGCAGTAATTGCAGGCAGCTGATGTTAATAACAGTGCTTTAGTCTGCTGCACTACCAGGGCTCCTTTTATTGGCACTTGGTGCCAAAATGGTTAGCCATTAAAATAGTCCCCGTCTTACAGCATTTCATTTAGTGACTGTTTAAAGTTACAACGGCACTGAAAAAAGGGACGGATGGCCCTTTTTCAGACTTACGACCGTTGTAGCATCCCCACAGTCACGCGATCGGAATTCAGACACTTGGCAACTGACTCACATTTATGACGGTCGCAGAGTCCCGGGGTCACGTGATCCCCTTTTTCCCGACCTTCTGACCAGCAAAGTCCATGGGAGGGGGAGCCAGATTCACTTAACAATTTCTGTGTTACTAAATTAACAGCTGCAGTGATTCACTTAACAGCTGCTGCAAGAAAGGTCGTAAAATGGGGCTAAACTCACTTAACAAATGCCTTGCTTAGCAAGAAAAATTGGGGGCTCAATTGTCGTAAGTGGAGAACTCTCTGTATACCTTTTTCGTAGAGTCGGTGGGTGCCAGGTCAAACTGGTGGGATAAACGGAGTGGGAGGAATTCATCAGTTGTGGGCCTGTTTTGCAAAATGGGGCTGTGGAGATTATTTTTCTTGAAATATATTCAGGGGGGGACAGTTTGTGTGTATCTGGTTTTTTATACACTTTTTAAATTTCCAGTTTAGTTTTGATTTGTTCTAGTATTTTTTTTCCCTTTCTTTGAAGTTTGTATTTGGATGTTGTCAATAAAATAATTGAAAGAAAGAATCCAACAGGGGGCATCTCGGGGGTTCTCAGGGAGGGCTCCAGAGGTCATCCAGCCAGACCGCCTCCTGCCCTTCTGCAACCTGGTGCCCTCCGTCTTCAGCAGGGGCACCTGCTTTGAAAGGAGGGTTGTGGTCTGCTTGCCGTGTCCCCCAGCCACACAAAGGCCGGACAGGCTTCCTCCTCCGGCTGCCCCAGAGACCCTCTTTCTCCCCCCCAGAGCGAGAAGGAGCTTCAGGAGCTGCTGCGTCAGCAGGAAGAGAAGCAATGCCAGCTGAGCGACCAGAAGAGGGAACTGGCGGTACGTGACTGGGAGGGGGGCAGCCTTGGGGGGGGGGTAGGCTCCCTGTCCTGGCACCCCAGTGACTGACCGGCCTTTCTCCCCCAGACCCTGCGAGAGGAGGTGGCCCAGCTGAAGCTGGAGCTCCAGAAGTCGCAGATGGCAGCCACCACGCTGTGGGACGAGATGAGTGGGACCCGGCGCCCTGACGTCCAGGAGAAGATCTGGCTGCGGCAGGAGGTACCAGGGACGGAGGGGGGTGGTGGGCCTGCACCGGTCCTGGCTCTCAGGACCCTTGCTGGGGCCGTAATTCCAGCCCATGCTTAAGTTCTTGGGATGCCCTCCTATCTGGAACACGGGTGGGCGCCGAGGAAATCAAGAGATCCAGCCAGTTCAAAAGGTTATCAAGATTGATTGTCAGCTTAAGCTCTATAAGAATCTGGCCAACTAACAGTCAAGGCAAATGAGCGGGAGATAAGAAAGGCATTCAAGTTGGGATAGAGTTAAATCTCTTGTGGGCGCGAAGGGACTCGAGGACACACTCCATGGGGCTCAGCCTGGTCATCTTCTACCCTATGCCCCCTTTACGACCTATGGACTTCAACTCCCAGAATTCCTCAGCCAGCCTTCTGGGTATTGTACTCCATAGGTCATAAGGGGGCTATAGCTGCCCACCCCTGATCTGGAACCTCCTTATCTAGAATGGAGACACATGAACTACAGATAATCTCGACTTACAGCCATTTGTTTGAAGTTACAATGGAACTGAAAAAAATGATTCTTTTTCACACTTATGACCATTGAAGCATCCCCAGGGTCAAAATTCAGATGTTTGGCAACTGGTTTCATATTTATGATGGTCGCAGTCTCCCGGGGTCATGTGATCCCCTTTTGCGACCTTCTCACAAGCAAAGTCAATGGAGAGGCCAGATTCACTTAAGGACCGTGTGACTAAAGATAACTGCAGCAATTTGCTTAATAAAAGTGGCAAGAAAGGTCATAAAAGCGAAACAACCGTCTCGCTTGAGAGCAGAAAGTTTGGGCTCTGTTGTGCTTGCAAATGCTGACTCCGGGACACTGCAAGTGTCATCACTTCAGGCCAGTTGCCAAGCCTTCAAATTTTGATCGTGTGACCATGGGGATACGGCAAAGGTTTTAAGTGTGAAAACTGGTCATAAGTTGCTTTCTTTGATGCCGTTAAGTTCAGACGGTCACTGAACAAATGCTATAAATTCTACCGATGTGGAATCTCCTGTTAAATCGCGGTCAGTACCAACCATGAGTCCTTCCAGACTCGCTGAGTAGAGCGGGCGCTCTGTGCATGCCCAGGTGCCCCCTCTCGGGGCTCATGGCCACCTCTCGTCCCCCGCAGGTTGGGAAGTTAAAGGAGCTGCTTCTGCAGAAGGACACCGAGCACACGAAGGCCCTGACCAGCCACGTGATGCAGGTGAGTGTCCGGTGGGTGGGCCGGGGTCTCCCCTCTTGGCCGACCTTCAGCGCCCGTCCTCACCCCCCACTCTGGGGTTGTGCCCACAGGTGAGGTGCCTGGAGGAACGGCTGTGCCAGGCTCAGCAGCTGCTGAGACGACAGGAAAAGGTGGAGGCGAACCTGAAGCAGGTGGGTGGCCTGGAGGCAGGCGGAAATTCACCAGGGTAGCAGCTTGGCTCTGGTTTTATTCTGAGAAAGACCAGAACTAGCAATAAGATTGGGGACAAATTTTGAGGTCTCTAGAAAGGACCAAAATCCATTGGGGCGCCTAAGGGGCTAGTCCTCTTGTTTTGAACAGACCTTCCACCCACCCAGTAGATGAAGCTTCCTATAGAGAAGGGATATCCAACCTTGACCACTTTATGATTTATGGATTTTAACTCCCAGAATTCCCCAGCCAGCATCTTTAAGACCCTCCACTCCTCAAACCCCACTCCCTTCGAGCACTGATGATGTCACCTACTTGGGTCATGAAACGCCTGCAAGAAAACAACCAAGCTCAGAGAGAGCCCCAAGCACCCCACAGTCCTCCCCACTTCATAGCTGGCTGGGGAATTCTGGGAGTTGAAGTCCACAAGTCTTAAAGGGGCCAAGGAAGGTTGGAGACCCCTCAAATAGAGGATTCTGCCTAGAATCATAGTTGCTCTTCTTTTGGGGGGGGAGGTGAGGTTTAAATGGCAGCTGGATGGCCACCTTTTGGGTACAGGACGGGGAGGGCTAGATGACCTCTACAGCCCCTTCTAACTCATAACCTTCTGAGATTCATGTGCTCCCTTTGACCTGCTGGCTAAGGGACCGGCTGCCACCATCTTCAGCCAAATTCGCAGCATCTGTGCCCAGCTTCGCCAGAAACAGTCCTGCTCTCAGCCCTGGGTTCAAGACCCCCTGAGAGAAGAGGGTCATGTGTCCGTCTGTCCATCCCCCAACTCCTTCCCCCACTGCTGTTTTTTACATGGTGGTTGCAAGCCGGAGTCCAGTGGCCTGAGTGCTGCTGTCCTGTTTCCCCTCCAGGCCCTCTCCACGTTGCCGGCTGAAGTGTCCAGCCTCGCTGAGGTCCAGCGCCTTGTGGGTCTCTTTGTCTGAAGAAGCCACGGAGGCGAAAGCAAGAGTTTGTTCTCATTTGTCTAATGAAGTAAATGTTACGTCTCTTAAGTTTGCAAGACTCGGGCAGTTTGCCTCTGCTTCTGCCCCACCAATGGCTTTGTGTCCTTGTAGAGAGACACACACCCAACACCACACAGCTCAGCTGTGCCTGCCCTCCCTCTGACCCACCGCCAGAGACCCTGCTCCGCCTGGCCTCTCTTCTGGGGCCACGGGGGTCCCGGACACACAATCCAGGCTCCCTGCTTAGTCAAAGAAGCCCCGGGGCAGTCAAGGACATGGGAAGCCTTTGGCCCCTTACCCCCCTTGGGCTCTTGGTAGCATCACAGGGGAGAAAATCAGAAATTGCCTGGTTTGGCTCCCCTGGCAGCTTAGAAGCTCTGTTTGGGGTAGGGGTCTCCAAACGGGCCCATTTTAAGCATAGCTGGCTGAGGAATTCTGGGAGTTGAAGTCCACAAAAAAATGGCCAAGTTTGGAGACCCCTGATTTAGGGCACCAGTTTAGTCGGGGCCAAAAGGCCCCCTACTCTTCCCCCCCCCCTTTGATCAGACTAAGGCAGCCTGGAATCCCAAGACTGGCCTTGTTTTCACTTGCAAAGGAACCAGGATCTTCTAAGGAAAATAACAGGGTGGGGGTGGGGAGGGGTCTACAGCCCAGAGCCTTGCCTGGAAAAGGGGAAGGCATCTGGGGTGGGGGCAGCAGAGAGATGTCTGGGGCCAGTGGGGTGGTGGTGGGGGGAGAAGTGAGCACAGCAGTTTGCTGTTTGGGAAAAATAGCACAGTTCCCTCTCCGGACCGCTGGCCTCAGCAGAAGAAGCCCCCTCCAGAGCCAGGCTGCCCTTTTAGTGGCTGGCATTTAAGGGGTGGACGGGTGAGGGGTCTCCCCCTTAGGACATTGTCCAGCTTCCGTCTTTCAAAGGCAGAGGTTACAAACCCAGCTGCCTCTCCCCCTCCCCGTATTTTTTCTTGGCATCCATCTCTCTCTTGGCATCCCCTGCCTGCTCTGATGCCCGGATGGTGCGGCCCTCCTTTCTCTCCATGGGAGGGGGGCTGAGTGGCCTGGCTTTACTCAGGACCCCTCCTCCCTGCCCCCAGCCTAGATTTCAGCTACAGGGTGCCATTCTGTCCCTGAATGGGGGGTCCGGACTCCTGTCCAGAGGGGAGAGGGGCTGCGGCAGCTACTTTGGGAAGGTCTGTGCCAGTCTGTCTGCTGGGCATGGCCGACCGGAGGAAGCCCCCTCCCCTCCTTCTGGGCACAAGACCAGCCCTCCGTTGCTTTGGCACCAATGATAAAAGCGCCTTTTATTTTCCAGCGAGAAAGGAAGCGGCTGTGGAAATCCTTAAGGTGGCAGCTGAGTGAAAATAAGATTTATTCCCTCTTTCTCTCCCCCCCCCCAACCTTCCTCTCACCACCAATTTGGGCCAATCGTAGGCCACATTCAAGCCCACGTGGGGAGACACCCCCTCTCCCGCCATCTCCAGGTGGGGCAGCTAATCTTCCACCCCTCCTGCATTTGCCGTTTTCCTATTCTGGGTTGGTATACAACTGCTTGTAAACACTGAGCAGAGGTTCCCCAGGTGGGGAACGCTGGCCCTTTTATGACTGCTGGACTTCAGCTCCCAGAATTCCTGAGCCAACAGTCCACCAGTCATAAAAGGGCCAGCATAGCTGGCTGAGGAATTCTGGGAGTTGAAGTCCACCAGTCAAAAGGGCCAGCGTTCGCTCTCACAGGCCTAAAAGGTGTGGCCACAAGGTCAAAGAAGTCACGATGGCGGCTGTGATCATATGGCCAGTGCCTATTTTGGGGTGCAAGTCCAGCTTCATGGCAAGAATGGACTTTGCAGGCTGGCAGAGGCAGAAACACCCCCCCCTTAAGCCCTGGCATTCTCTCCATTCTGCACCATGGGCCCGTCTGCCCCCTGGCAGGGCTCTGCTCCTTTTCGTAGGGCGGCTCCTCCCGGGAATTACAGGAAGTCCTCGAGTTATGACCACCATCGAGCCCAAAATTTCTTTTGCCTTAAGCAAGACAGAGACTTTCGCCCCCTTTTACGACCTTTCTGGCCACTGTTGTTAAGTGAATCACTGCAGTTGATAAGTTAGTAACCTGGTTGTTAAATAAATCCGGCTTCCCCTGTTGACTGCTTGTCAGAAGGTCACAAAGGGGAATCACATGACTCCGGGACACTGCAACCGTCATAATTAACAAAGTTCTTACTTGGCAACATAAATTTTGGGCTCTGTTGCAGTCGTAAGTCAAGGACTTACCTGTATTTGCTGTATTTTCCAAGACTCGTGGCAGGTTATACAGGTAATCCTCGACTTACAACCATTTGTTTAGTGGAAGTTATAACGGCACTGAAAAAATGTGACTTTCAGCTGGTTTTCACACAACTGTTGCCCCCCCCCCCAGGTCACATGATCAAAATTCAGTCCCTTGGTGACGAGTGCACGTGTGACGGCTGCCATCATCCTCTTTTTGTGACCTTCTGGTCTACAAGGTCACTTAGCAACTGTAGCAACACAGGTTGTAAAACAGGACAAAACTTAACAACTGTCTCGCTAAGCAACAGACATTTTGGGCTCGGCTGAGGTCGTAAATCGAGGACTACCTGTCCTTCAATCAAGCCGCATTGCAGTCAGACCCACCAATAAAACCTTAAACGGTTTATCAATAAAGTCTCCAGTGAGCGAATTCTGTGGGAAAGGATGCCAACTCTCAGTGCTCTTTGGCAGGGGGGGAGCCCCCGTCTCTTAGGCCCAACAGGACAAACACCTGACAGGGTCCTCTTCACAGACAGGTGTTCCTGCATTAGCTTGATGCCCCCATCAGCAATCCGAGTTATGCCCAGAAGCAACCAGGCAGCCCCCGCAGCAGAGATGGGAGACCTGGGCATCAGCCACACTTGGTGCTGTCCAGGCGCAGGGCGTCCCGCTCACCAGGCAGGCGTTGAGAAGGGCATCCTGACCAGGGGCAGCTTCTAAAGGACGGCTGCCGGGGCAATTCCTCTACTTGTGGCCTGGTCTAGAGATTTCCTTGGGTGGTTCTGCTCAGGATCAGGTCCAGGTCGGGCACAGGGCGATGGAGAGTTGGGGGGCTTATGGACATCAGGTGCCCCCCCCCCCCGCTGGTCCCACAGCCTGCGGACATGTTCCTGCCTTTGGAAGAGGTGCTGACAGCCAGCAGAGCGAAGGCTCAGTGGCCCCTCACACAACACACAGACACACAAAAGCTGCAAGCACAAGCGCCCCAGAACCCCCCCCCCCGTGGCCCTGGCCCTTCTCCCTGGGCTGCCTGGCCAGGAGGAAGCGCAAGTCCAGCCCCGCCCTCACGCCAACCACGGCTTGGGGGCCTTTCAGGGTCCAGCACAAAGGAACGGGGGCGGGGTCATATAAAGAAGGAAGCGACTTTAGAGATCATCTAGTCCATCCCCTCCCCAGGGCAGGAATGCATCCGGGGCTTCCCCACCGGAGGGCGTCCCTTCCAGTCCCCGTTTAAACCTCCCCGTGCAGGGGAACGCGCCCCACCGCCGGCCCCGAGCCTCCTCCCGCCGCTCTCCAGGGCAGCCCCTCGGCTACAGGTCTCGGGGCGACCCCCGGGGCTCCCCAGCCAGCAAAGGTGGGGGCGGCCGCCGGCTGAGCTGGCCTCCTGCGGTGCTCCTTTAGCCGAGGTGGGGAAGGGGAGGGACGCGCTCTTCCCGTGCTCAGGGGCGCCTTGGGGCGGGAGGGAGGCGGCGGCCCTGCGGCGTCTGGGATGCTCCGAGCCCCTGGCCCCGCCCCCCCCGCCTCCCTCGGTCACGTAGCTCTGCGGCACCGGCGGCGCCTTTACAGCCCCGCGCGAGAACCGGCGCCCCACAAGCCACGGAGGCAGCCCCGACGGCGCACGGAGAAAGCAGCCGCGACAGGTAAGGCGCCCGCGGGCGGCCACTAACCGGAGCGCTCCCGGGCTGGACGGGGGTGGGCAGCCGGGCGTTCCCTGCACCCCTTCCCCCCCCCCGAAGGTCCGTGGCGCCCCTGGGAGAGCCGGGAGCCCCTCGCCTGCCCAGCTGAGCGGAGCCGGGCCGCCGAGTCCGGAACCGTCGCATCCCCGGGAGCGCCGGACGCAAGGCGGCCTCCTGCCCGGAGAGGGCTGCGGACCGGGCGCGGCTAGGACAGCTGCCTGCAGCGCTTTGCGTGGTCCACCCCCCCCCGGGCCCTTGGGGGGGGGGGCCCCCGCCCTGGGGATTCCCTGCGGAGGCCCCCGCGTCGCGGTCTGGACCGCCCCCCCCCCCCCCCCCATGGATTACTTCAAAGGTGGCTCTGGTGCAAGTGCGCATCGCAGGGGAGAAGGCAGAAGCAGCCGGGCTCTCTGGGAAATTAAGGTGGGGGGTCCCTGGTGGTCTCTGAACTTGGGAGGGGGCTTTATAGAGATTTCAAGACCCAACAAGGGAACCTCACCAATGCTAGGCGGCAGGGAGGCTGCAAAGAGGAGGAGGAGGAGGAAGGGGGGGGACTGTGTGGCCCTTGATGCTCTCTGAGTTTTGTGGTTTCCTTGCAGATGTTTCATGATCCACACTTGGTAACATCATCAGGGCTAGTTTGGCTCATGAAACGCCTGCCAGAAAACCACCAAGCTCAGACAGCACCAAGCCCCCCCCATTCCCCCCTTTCAACCCTGTTCTGCAAATGTTCTTCTTTCTCGGGAGATTCAGGTGTCTTGGCCGCAGGACCTGATGGCGCAGGGGGAGGGGCGTCTCCTTCCATCCTGAGGCTGGGGGCTTGTTTTGAAAGCAGCGAGGGAGGGAGGGGGCAGAGGGGGGGAAGGGCAGATCCTTCTGATCCAGGGCATCCTCCTCCTGGCTGATTCCAAGCTTCCTACGTGGCTGCACCAAACGTCCTTTAGACTGAGTGGTGAGGAGGACAGTCAGCTGGCTGCTACGAGGGGTGTCTAGTGGGGGGGGGGTACAGGCGCCAAAGCAGTCAAGGGAACAAACGGCTGTCTGGGTACCCTGCTGGCTTTTGGCTCTGCTGGCCCCTCCCCTTGATGCTGGTGGTGATGGGAGGGGCTCTGATGG